TTTTTATATTCCGTCACTTGCTTATAATTGCGTAATGTATGATAAATTATAGTGTTCTAAATAATTTATGAAAATATTACTAAATTTATTGTCAATAATATTTTTATTATAAAGAAATTACATTTCTTAAGATAGATAGATTTTTGCATTAGCTTTATTCAGGAACATTTCACTCAATTATTAATTGAGCTTTGCAAGCATTTATTCATTATTGCATTACATCGCAGCACAATGCATGTCGATCGACAGGAAACTTCCTAGTATCGAACTGCTCGAGAACCTTGCGCAACAAAGAAATTTTTGAACGCGAATCGTGGTCGGAAGGACGTTCCGTAACCCTGCGATGGAAACATTTAAATGAAAAATATTATGATAATCGTGTTCCGTTATGAGATTCTTCACGCCGGCAGACGAGACTCCCGCGCACGAGAACTATAATTTTTAGAGAAAGATCGCATAGACGGGAGAGCGGCAATGGGGAAGGAGACGAGGGGCAGGGTGAACGAGAGAGGCAGGTAAAGGCCGTTGCACTCCCCGGCTCAAAGACTCCTGGCCCTGCATAGCGGTACCTTATGCCTCTCTCTTTCTGCGTGGCACACACGCGCGTACTCACACGCGGTATGTTCGTTCAATCGTTATACGATCGTGCGCGCGCGTACGATGTCTACGGTCGCATAGTACCGCTCCGAGAAATCACGTCATCAATCGAATCTGGCACGAGTGCACAACGGATTCGATCAATGGTCTCGAATGTAACAGCCTCGTTGCCGATAAATAAGGGAACCGTCTGTCGCGACTAAAAGCGTCATTTTGCATCATTTTACTTCGAGCCACATTAACCTTCAATTTATTAATTTTTAAAATCTCGTTCGGCAAATATTCGTCTACAAAATCGAGACGCTAATATAAATTAAACCGTATTATTTAATTGAGATTATCAAATCACTGAACTAATCACCGCGTTTAGTTGAACGTAAATTCAGTCTTTTATTAAATAAGATATTTAAATAGAAGTTTAACTAAAAACTCAATAAAATTTTAAAAAATCAACAAGTTGCAGCTTATAACTTTCTATCAAATTTTCGCTTCGAAAATATTAATTTAATATTCCATACAAAATCTACTATTGAAAATAAAATCACTGGTATTCACGGTATTTTATCTATAAAGAGTTAATTGTAAGTAAAATAAACTATTTATCGATATCGAATCAATTTTATTTTTTATTTTTTAGAAATTTAAGTGTTATTGGCTTGTTTCAATTTTGTTCAAACTTTTATGTGAATATCTTACTTAATCCAACTTTGAAACATCAATATGATTGCACGTCGTGTCGATAATTTGCAAATAAACGTAACAAAGAGACGGCTTTCCGAACTGTTATGCAACAGAATCGATCCGATCTCCCGATTCGGCGAGCAACAATAGCGCGCCGCGTGCAAGGGAGAAAGAGCCGAAAGATGTGTTCGCGGCTTATCGACTTCTATCGCGGAACCTGCCCGTCAGCCCCATTTCTCCGTCTCGTAATTAACAGCTTCCCTGCGCGCATCGTCGCTCTCGCGCGTTACGCACGACAAGAGCGTGTATGTGCGTGCGTAACAGTACCCCCTGCCACTTGTGAACCGTGCACACCTGTGTAACGTAGGGATCCCGTCGTTGATAGATACAAACCTGGTTACCTGTCGCGAGCGACCGTACCCCTCACATTTACACATTTTACATTTATACAGGATGTCCCTGAAATAAGTGGCCAAACGAACTTCCATTCACATAAAGAAGTTACGTAATTACAGATCCAAAAAAGTGACCCCTTTTTAAACTATTAATAATTCTTATCTGCAGAGCTATTTGCTTGTCTTTTCTCTACGAACTCTTAGAATACTTACAAAAATTTAATCTCATTGTCAATATAATTTTTTTATTTAAAAAAAATGGTTAAAAATTACCTTCATAAATTACTTCCGTAGCGACGTGTACTGATCTCCTTTTTCAACTATGCGACACGTACAGCGCATTTCCAAAGTTTGCCGATCTATTTCAGGAACACCCTATAGATATACTCTACATCCGCGTCCGGTATTCAGCAGCGACATATGGTGGCAGACACCTGCTACGCATAGGCCGTGCTTATATGTTTACGTGTGCGTCGCAGAGCGCGTAACGCGACTACGAGTTTATCGAACGACGACGAGTGTGGGAGCGCGTTCCTTCTTGGCTCCGGCGAGGACTTTATTCCCGCCGAGATATTCTTCTCCTGTCGCGCGGGCAGGAGGAGACCTGGCGGTCGTATCCTCTTTCCACGATGCTCCTCGATATGCGTGCTTACACGCGGAACGAGAGAAGCAGAGAGCCGGACAATAGCAGCGGGAAACGATGGGAATTGCACGTATGGGAAACATTCGCATCCGCGTACGTAAGCACGTACATACACATATACGTTGCTCGGTTTCGCTCGAATTTCAACGGATTCTCTTATGATTATCCCGTCAGAGCGATTGCTCTCGCGAAGAACATCGCGTCGAAATAATTGCAAGTTGGAAGATCGCGCGGTATTACTGGATTTATTACGCGACATCCTACGCGGAATAACGTGGATCAGAAATTACGTGTACTGTTGTATTTAGCACGAGGAAACCGCATACTATTGGTTTCCAAGCTGCGTGTATTGAGCAACGTCCCGTCGTCGGTTCGTTGAAACGCGCTTTTATACCGCAGAATATAATGGATAATGAGCGTCGCGACGATGTGCTTATTACGTGGCGTGAAGACGAGAAACGTGCTTTGATCGTATATAACAGTCACTTATGTGAAGCGTTTTGAAGGAATTCCTTGAAGGAATCTTGCGATCTCATAAATGCGATTTGTAAGAGCTACTTACGGTACTTTTATCCCAAGAAATTTATATAATGTTCGCAGAATGTTTTACAAATATGTAACACTTACGCGGTATATAAATAATTTTGAAAAAGTTTCAGATATTTCTCACTAGAGTTCTTTTTATTTTTAATTATAAATAATTATATTAAACAAAATAATATAAATATAAATAACGAAGTAAATTTTATTTTTGACGATAAAAAATAATTCTGTGAAAATATACAAATCTACATCCACGGTTGAAAATGCTCAAATCTTTAGACAACAAATATTCGACGTGACTAATTATTTTAACATTGCACAAAATACGAAGAAATTTGAAATTAAGTAGTCGGATGCATAAAGTTTGAATAATAACTGTAATCCAGACGAACATCTTCCGCAGCGGCGAACGCGAAATAATTAGTACGAACGCTATACGCACGAGCGACAAATTGCTCTCGTTAACCAGGATAGAGGAAACATCATTAACGCGATTACGCAAAGACTGGATGGACTTTGAGAGCACCTCATAGTGGAAACTACGACGATGCTGCAAGAAAATATCGCGGTAAAGTCGAAGGCCATAGACTGCTCCGAAGAGTGCCGTAACTATTAGTCAAGAGAGAAACAGGTCGGTGAGAGAGAAAGAGAGAGAGCGAGAGAGAAGTGGATGAAGAAAAGAGCGGCGCGCGTAACGCAGCTGTAAAAACGAGCTGGAATTAATTGGCTCGATATACGGGAAGCTATGTGCATTGAATTGGGTCAGACCTTACTACGTAAAACCACACGAAAGGAAGAGGGGGAGGAGGAATCACCGGCCGGTTGCGTTTTGATACTTCGACTGATATGAATGAACGCGGAGGAAACGTTTCTGGCTCTTTGAACATATTTAACATGCTCTACTTGCGCCGCGAAGTCATTGAAATCCTCTCGATAGCCCTCGTCCATATGTCGTGAGAAATAACGTAGCTCTGCGATAATTACGCATTCCTGATCCGTGGAACGTCATGGACATTTCTTGGAATGTATTTGAAGAAGAAGTGTAAATCATTATTACGAATGAAAGAAGTCTTATTAGTCTTATTAATCGGTATAACTTGCGTAACTGCAAACATGATGTCATCAGCTTCGTATCAGGCGTCATAAATATTTTTGACGTGTTTGATGGGAAATATGAATCACAACTGATAACTAGCTAAGAATTCAAACATGTTTTGCATCTGAAAATAAGACACTTTAAATGATTTCACTGTTATTATTATAATACCCGAGTATCATCGGGTGTGTCATTAAATGCATTTATGGGTTTTGCAATTTTCGATAAACGTATTCGCAATGCAATCTTGAAAGTGTAAATATTTTGATTTGTTTAATCTAAGGATTTTATTTTGTTAGGAAAGACTAATAGAGTCTTTAAAATCAATCAGCGTAATTTTTTGGATAATATCTTTAAAGTGCCTCATTATGTCTCACGTTTTTATCTCATTATCCCACCGAAGAGATTGTTATCACGGATTCAATATCCGTTTGTTCATTTATCAGGCGCGAAAATAAATCCAATACAGCATAATCTAACATCCTTTGACGATCCCGTTACGTGCTTGAAGACCTGTATCGCTAATCAATGCACGAACGAGATGAGATTCTCGATTATCGATCATCCTGCGAGATGCGCGAACGTATAGAACATAGAACATCCTATTTTATCATATACGCGAGATTAATGAAATTGATTATACACAAAATATAGTTAAACAAAAAATGATTAAAAATTAACCAAGCGACATTTTTTGCTCTTTTCATTATAACGTTTCTTCAAAATTCTCGTGACATGGCAGCTAACTTCGACAAAACATTGTCGGAATCGATTGATTATGACAACCGTGAAATAAGTTACGCGCAATCAACCGCAATTAATGAAACCAATCACGTCCAATTCGACGATTTGATACATCTTCCCTCTTCCAGTAAGTCAGTTTCGTTAGAAATATTCGCAGAATGTTATGACCAAGACAAGTCAAGTTGAACGTCGCCGGGATCGCGAAAAAAAAATTTGGTAGCCCGTATCGCCGCGACATGAATCATGTGTGCGGCGATCTTTAATTAATAAAACCGATCACGTGTGTCTAACTGTGACTCACCGTTAGGATTGGTAAAGTATCCCCAGGTGGGAGTCCCAGCGGCCGCCGATTGGATGACCAAAGCCGCAACGCTCACGGCAAGCGCCCCGGCAGCGCCCCGCGCCGCGCAGGCACGTATCTCGTTTTGACGCGGATCGGTAGTCGTCGTGGCGACCGCCCTCACGCCCTGACGAGTGTTCGAGGGATCGGTTGCCATTCTTCATGCCGTTTGGTATTCCCAGATTTCTCGGCCTCGCATCGACGACGTTAGGATAAATCTCGCGTCGGTCTTGCGCGACGGACCGACCGCGACGAGTTGACTGCACAATCGAGACGAGAGTTCTCAACGATACTCCCGCGTCGTCGTCGATCGTGGATCAATAAATTATAACAACTGCGGTACGATCTGCGGTCCGATAACAGCACGAATGGGGCGTTCTGAGTTTTGAATCAATGTCGATCACGTCGATGCGTATGCGATTTACAACGACTGTACGTAGGCCGATGAATAATTCGGAGATCAATTCCCGCCTTCGAGGTATCAATTTATTACAGTCGGATTTAATTTCATCGTTACGGTCTGCCCAGTGCGATCGGAAATTAAGCGCTTCGGGCATCGGCGCGATTCGATATTGCTGGCGGGTATCGATTTTCCCATTTAACGCTCATCGTCCGGGGAACGTGTCGACCCTCCGCCAATTCTGTCAACTTTTGTTTTTCTTTTGCAAAACACAAACTAATGCATGTTCGTGTCTTGAGTAAATATTTGCAAATCAAATTTTATTTATATCAGTTCGTTTACTTTGTATCAGCTCTTTCGTGAAAATTGAATTAACTCGTTGATGAAAACTCTTGATCTCTCGATTAAAAATTCAATATTCCTCGAAAAGTCTCGTTAATTCCTCTCCGTTGCGCGTCCTTGGCGTGATCGGTCGCAATACCGGCAGTCTCGTGTACAGTACCAGCTGGTGTCAGGTAGCTCCTTTAATTCCGGAGTGCGTCGCTGTGTCGTCGTCGCGGTCGATAATCGAATCTCTCGCGCCGACCACGTTGTCGCGTACACACGCATGCAATCGATCGCCGAGCGAGGAGCATCAGAGGTGGTTTATAGCTGACGACGGGGAGGGGGGAAAGAGGATGGTGGACGAGCAAGGTGCGGCGGGGTGGAAGAAACTCGCGCGCGTATCGGATTAAAGCAAATTCCACGTTCCGTGTCACGGTTTCTTCTCTCTTTCCCCGTCTCTCGCACGCACTAATAATAAGTTTTTTTATTAGGTGCTTAGTTTTTATTTTATCTAATTCCTTGAAGTCATATATTTTTGTGTAGCCCAAGAGAATTTTCAAAGCGTCTGATAAGTATATCTTTCTCTCTCTGTCTCTCTCTCTCTCTCTCTCTCTCTCTCTCTCTCTCTCTTCCCCCGCTACATTCGTCCTCCTATCGTAACAGAGATAAACGCGTACACACCTCTATCACCTGCATACGTTTTATATTTTCCTCCCTCGAAAACCCTTCGAGAAAGCTATCGGTTCCCTTCGTACTTCATGAACTCCTGAAACCGGTTTTTGTGACGTGCGAAGCGCACTACTAAAAATAAGACACCTTCTTCCTCTCACTCTCTCTCTCTCTCTTTCTCTTTTCTTCTTTTTCTCAACCCCCTCTCTGCGTGTGTCTCTCTCTTTCTCTCTCTCTCTCTTTTGTCCTTTCACTTTGCCCTTCTTCCTTTCTGCCTTCTTCCGTTTGTCTCTCCCCCTCGCTCTTTATTCTCTTCGTCCGCGTTCCGCTCCGAACGCTTCGTCTCCGGTCTCTCGCTTGCTCCGAGGAATCTTCCGGAGAACAGAAGGACGAAGATACCGGCGCGCAGTGCGCGTTAGATTGTTTATTGTGCGACGATCGATCCGACAATCATCGTCTCGTCATCCATGATCAAATCGCTCGCGATCCCGAGCATCGCGTTGCATCGACGCACGTTCCACGTCGCGCGCGTCTCTTTCCTTCTTTTTCCCTCGCAGAACCGACGCTCCTTTTGTTCGATGCGCAAGAAAACGCCGCCGTGGACTTTCTCTCTACATCGTCGTTGTGTCGAACCAGTTGGGATCGCCGGTTTTACCTGCCTGCCTGTCTATCCAGCCGCGCTGTACCTGGAGGTCGCGCGTCCGTCCGTTAGGTTGGATTGGCTGGTAGCACGGGTCGCTTGCTGTTCACCGAGTCGACTATAGTGCCGCTATAGTTATCGATCGCACGCGGATATGCTCGCTTCATTTCGTGCTACGTTTCTCAGACCCGAGGAGGTGTATTTTGCAACTCCGGGCACACTTGCGTTCGTTCGTTCGCTTCTCGCCACCTTCGCTGTTACAGCGCCGGCTCCGACACCTGATTTTCCCGCTCTTCGGAACAATCGCGAGTGCGCGCATCCACCTTCTCGCCTTGCTGATCACTTTCGCCCGTGTCACCGTGTCACCGTGTATGTGGGTCGCGCGACGAGTACTCAACCCGTTGTCGCCGATGCACCGACGATGCACTCTCTCCGTTTCGAGAGAGTCCGCGACGAGTTTTCTCTCTTTCGAGGACTACTTTTCAGCGCGCGTTGTCCGCGCGAGGCGCGCTTGACGTACTAGCGTTACTCGCGCGAGCATTCCACTAGTCGGCTTGGCGCGACGCGACGGCCGATCATGTCAGATATATCCTCCGTGTTGTACCTGTCCGCCCGTTGCCCAACGTTGTGCGCGAGTAGTCATGCATAAAAAAAACGAACCACACACATGCCACACACTCGCGATTACTCGTACTCGCACCAGAGCGATGTGGAAAGCACGCAGGAAAAGGTGGGCCGCGAACCGCGGGCGAGAAAAAGATAAAAAGCCGCGGGGTATGTTTGTACCTGCGTACTGATCGCACACGCGCGCACTACGTGCGTACGCGAGGAATACGGAGCGTGCGTGCGGACACAACGCGATGGGAGGAAGAGAGAGAGGACGTGCCGCCCACCGTGGGCGGGAAGGAGATGACGAGAGAGAGAATAACAATAAACGTGTGCGCGAGCCTGCGCGCTGCGCAGCATACTGAGCTCCGATTCCGACCGATGCGGCCGAGCTGCCTCGAACCCGTTCTCTCCGTCACTCTCTCTCGCTCTCTCTCTCCCTCCACATTTGTGCATCGTATTCTCCGTCTCTCCGCTGCTCGTCGTGCCGTCTTGCACCCCTTCCCAACACGCTTGTCACTATACTCACCACTCATGACTTGGCGACTCGCTTGCACTCACTCGCTCGCATTCGCTTGCATTCGCTCGTATTCATACCTCGCCCTCCCTCGCTACTCCAAACCGCATTTTTGTTCCGTCTTCCGAATGTAGGCGAATGGTGCAAGTGAATTCCACAGACAGGGAAGAATAAGATCGATAGAAAATTGATCTGATTGATTTTACCATTTTGGCTACTTTATTTCGATGTATCGTAGGAAGCGCAATTGATTATTGGGATTTGCACAGGCTTCTATGTGATAAGATAGTTAGTTATTTTTCTAAAATATTATCCACACATTTATCTTATGGATTAAAATTATAACGTAATAAATGTTAACGATTATGTATTCTATAATATGAAAATATTCACTTCATTAAAACTGTATTATAATTTATATATACACTGTATGTATAGTTTATTTATAGGATATATTTTATTCTGAATTATAAAGTAGGTTTTAATTAACTAATTTTAAACATAATTTTTTTAAACATTCATGATGCAGTAAAGCATTACGTGGAGAGGAAATCCTGATCTTAAAAGCAATTTAAAACCAATTTTATTGCTTACACGTGCCACAACTGCATTTTTTCGAAGCATTGTTTATTTTTCTAAAGTATTCAGTTTATTACTTCAAAGTTTTTTACTTTATTGAAAAATATTTTATTGGAGTTTTATTTTCTTCAATTTATGAGCGTTCAGAGATTCCAAACAATTGTTCTAAGTCAATTAAAATGTTTTATATTTTATTTCTGTTCCAATAATCATTCGAAATTAAACATTTTTTTAATTTCAATTCTTTTTTATCTTTACTGTGTCAAAAATGATATTTAGCTAAATGGCGCATTCAAGAAAAAAATGACTGAGCTAGCAATTTCTTGAATACGTTAGAGAGAGAGAGAGAGAAAGAGAGAGAGAGAAAGCGTAGCCGAAATCATTTCGTAACGTTCGACAATTGAACTAAAATCAGAGTGCGATACATTAACACTTCTTTTTTTTAATTAAACAAGTGCCTTTACTCATCGTCACGTCGCATCACGCGGGAAGCGAGCGCCGTTAAAATAGTTAAGTGAGCAATTATGTTTTACGGTATGTAATAAGCCAGCACTGACAATTTCCTGGCCGTAGAATCGGTGAAAATAGAAGAGCATTTAACGACGATGTCGCATGGAAATATATATCATCGCGAACCAGTTTCTTCGATACGCTCATTTTTCAAATTCCATGTTAATTTCTAAACCTGTACACACATGGAAAGATCCTCTTATTTGATAAAAAAGATTCTTTATCCAAATTACGCGGCATTATCAAATTTTCTAAAAATTATTATGATATTTATAATACGCAATTTAAACTTTTTCTAAAAGATATTTATTATGCAAATCTGCATTTTTGTATGGCGCAACAATTTCTCATCGTTATGCGTATTGCGTCAGTTGTAATGGTTCATCCGTAATGTAATCTCGTTATGCAGGACAATACATGCGTGCATCGCATGGCGCACATATCTCCGCCGGCGGCCGACATAAACCTGTTTAAATTGCGAGGACTTCCGCCTTTGCCGAGATATTCCGCTCTTAGATTTCCGTTTTACTCATGTTTCGAGTTAAGTTCTTAAAACCAAGGCTCTAGTGTTCCAACTCCAAGTACAAATGGTCTTTAGGCATATTTAACTTGAAATTCTAGTCCAAGTTGATATCACTTCTCACAATTTTGATATAATTTATTAACGTTTCAATGCAAAATATTAATTCAGCTGTATGATTAAATATTTTATTACTTGTAAAAAGATGTTACAGTGGAAGGACATAAAGATTTAATAGAAAAAGATTCTACCGCAGAACATACAGAATTTATCTGACGGATGAATTAATTAATTTAATGACATCGTAGCAAATGAGAAGAAATTGTAACGTTTTGTTCTCGCTGTGTCTTTCATAATACAGAAACCGCTGTCACTAAAGTAATCAGACAAATGCAATATAACTTCCATTAGACGTGGCGGTAAGAGGCAGGAATATAATCGACGTTATTGTTTCGCGGCTTTATTAACGAGGAAGTCATTGGCTGTTCGATATACCGATATAACGTATTCCCCAAGTCCTCGCGTGTACACATGCGACCGATGAAATTCCCATATCGGCAAGTAATTTAAATTAACAACGCGTGTAGGCAGAACACATTGGAGTAATTAGCGCCCGTGTAGCCGCACGCATCTACCAAGGAATCGATAAGTGTGTGTCCGCACATCGGGTTGCCGCTAAATAAACCTGTACCCTGTTGCAGGCCCCTAGAAACAACTTGAAACAACTTGCGCGATCACTTCCGCAAAGCGTTTTATTTTAATTAATAGCTGCGACATTCTATATTTATCATGTCATCGAAGGCGTGGTGGAATGCGGTGTCGTGTCCCGGGCTGAAATGATGATTTCCGCGACGCGGAACTCGGGTGCAATAAACCCGCGGTCCTACGACCGCATTAAGGTTGGACATTTTATTTCCGCGACGCGGTAAATTTCGAGCGCGGATGGAGCGCAGGCGGGAAAAAGAGCGCAAAATTGCAGAAACGGATGGCCGAATGTCGCGCCGTCATGATAAGTCGGGTGAATGTCGGGGAATCGTAAAATTCAACGCGCCGCTTTTTGCATCGAGCGAACATTACAACTAAACAAATTACGTTAAAGATTATATTCTGGCGCGAAATAATTCTTCGTTCCGCGTATATGTACGAGAATATATGCTTTGCGTGATTAAACACGCTAAATCGTTTTCATTACACGCGAAACGTTGAAAGGACGAAGCAGTATTTTAACTGAAAAATCGCGGTTGAAAAATGCTCTCTCTTCAACTGCATTTCGCATCGCAATAAAAAAAAAAAAATGAGGAAAATCCGGTGATACTTGTCTTGCATTTGCAGTGCTCACTGAAATATTTATGCATAAAATCTCGTAATAAAGTATCCTAGTACTGGACATTGTTAATTTGATTTACAGCAAACGTAATGACTGTACATGTACATAGTTTTATAATATGTTATAACATTAATGCTTTTATGTTGATTACATTTCAGTGATAGTAAAAAATATTTAAATTCGTATAAAAAATACTTCAAAATTAGATATTAAATTAGAAAATAATTGTTAAATAATCAAGTAGAAGTAGAAACAGATTATTAGAACGAAATTGATCTAACGCACAGCGTATTTCATAAAATTTTATTTTCAATCTCTATTACAAAGCGCAATGCATATGTTCGAACACGTAGTCCCGATATGTATAAGTCTTTTTTTTCGTGACACTCCCGGAACTAGCCGCGATAATTCATATGTACTACCCACGGATTTGTCGGATGTATTTTATCCATGCATTTATACATAACATTCGACATATTTTCCGATAGTCAGGGTCGATAGCTAGCAATTCTGTGAGATAGAAGATATACAATACACTGACGCATTATCCCTAACAATAAGTTTAAAATCTTCAGCTATTGCATCTGTGACAAACTATAATTTATCTTTTAATTTCTAAGCAACATTATTTTTTATAAATAAATTCATACTTTAAATTCGACTATTTTATCGATATTCATTATCGATTATATTGTTGAAATTACATTACACTGCAGACAATTTTTTTTAGCGCGTATGAGAAAACATTGAGTCGTTAGAAAAAATTAATACAACGTTGATATTTAGAAGAAACAAATGTCTCTTTATTATGAGGTGTCATGACCTAAATACGCTTTATCGCCTTACATCGTAAATGTCTGCTGTCACGAGTTCCCATCTTCCTGGTCGTGCACGATGGTAAATGACGTCAGGACGTAGGCAGAGACAAGACGTGCTCGCTTATGGTCTGCTCTCAAGGTTACGAGCTGCACGCTCGCGTAGTAATCTCACTTACGCAACGATGTACCGAGACATCGGAGACCACGTAATATGCTTCGAAAGCATTAACAGACTGGGTAAACAGGGCTGAGCAAAGAGGACGGGCACACTATCATAAAAATGTTATCATAATATCTTGAAAAATATGTGATTCACGAAAAGCGGACAAAATAATATTTTATATTAGTTTTATGTATTAACTGAATCACAGCTTTGTGCAGGTGTTAGTTTTATAGATCTTTATTGCTTTTTCTAAACTAAATAAAATTTGTCGTCAACAAATGTCACAAGCAAATGCGATTGTGCCGTTATCTGAAAATTTATCTGTTCAAACGCCTGTGTCTATTAGTCGAGATAATGGAAATTCTACACCACGTTTGAAATACCACAATTCTGTCTATAAAGCGCAAGGTACAGAAGCGAGTGCCGATGTGTTTACAAAAGTGATTAAGGTGTCGATCGGCTTCTCGTTCAGATGTACATATGTGCGCACCACAAACAACAAACGTATTGTCTCTTCAAATCCGTAACCTTCGGTTTTATCCGCTTGTTCAGCCATTTTACGAGCGTCTATCATCTCTCTACGATCGCACGACCGTTACTCGCGCTACCATTAAGGCGCGTAGCGTAGTTAGAGAACGATCTCCACTCGCTCTCGATCTCGGCGATAGCTGCCACAGGTAATAAATAAATGGTAGATCTCACAGTATTGAAACAAAGACGTAACGCAGTACGCACTACGAGCAGCGACAGTATAAAGGGGACATTAATTATCCTTGTAATTATCTTCGTAATAAAATACAACCTATAATAAAATCCGTCGAGAGAAGCTCATTTAGAGAAACGAAATAAGCGCAATTCGGAAAATGGATTAAATTTAAATGAAGAAAAATATTAATATTTCAAATATCAGGTAACGAAAGTAATCTACATCAATCTTAATCAATCCTAATATGAAATAAACTCACGTTTCCGTACAGAGCACGTTTCAGTGCTACATATAGTTATAAAAGAGGATATGTGTATATATATATATACTATTATATACTCTATATAAAAATTATCAATCTTAAATTCGACGTGAAACAAACACTCTTTCCGAAAAACGCTTTGAAGCGCTGTATAAAGTTATAAGACACTACATTATGTAAATTTCAATAACATGGCCAACGCAAAGGACTTCAAACATTATGATCCATCGCCGTTTTTTCGGCTATTTTATTTTTTTCTCTCACGTGCTCATCTCCTATTTTGAATAGCTGAAAAATACGACCGCTCTGTAAAAGATTCGGGTTCATTGAACTGCAAACTACCTGCAGAACGTGATTCACAGATTATGGTTCCTTCTGCGATCGTGTTGTCGAACTCTCCGACAGTGATTATATCCTTTCGTAGTTCAACCGGTGCCGTCTTCCTCTCCTTTCACTCGGCAATGTTTTGTAACCGAAGATGCTCGATCTTTTTTTAGCCTCAAGCATCTATCTTGAATATTCTCGGCATTTTACCGAAATTTTTGTATGGATTTGGCGATTACTTGAGTGTGTTAAAATATTTATTTCTGACAGAGTTTAAAGATGGTTAAACGATTATTCTTTTGCGATGTTATATGTTGTATGTAAATTTTAAATGAGATAAAGATTTAATTATCCACACACACAACACACACACACACACACACACACACACACACATCAGGATTAAGGTGTCGAGTATAATACATTTTGTACTTTATAAATTGTGACACACGCCATACGACCTGAAAAGACAATTGACCTACGTGTGCTTAATAGAAGAGAGCAAAACGTGCGTGATGAAAAGCTTGCCCGATTAGATATAAGAATTTATTGACGTTGTTATTGCATCACTGACATACATACAGACTCACCTCTCATTACCGTCTATTGCTGAAATTATTTATAATTTAGACACTCATTGTAGAATCTCATCATAAAACGTTCTCGTTCTACCGTTCTATACGAATTAACAAGTTATGGTGATAAAAAAATTTAATTAAATCAATTATAATTAATAATGAACTTAACGTAATTGATTAATGAAATACAAAGTTTTTTAATTGAGAATCAAAATGGATTTAAATACAAGCGCACAGACAATATTAACACTTTCGCGATCGTTCACGTATTTTTACGTTTATATTTTGGTTAAGTCAGGAGCCGGTCGTGTAATTTTACGTTTACTGTTTTTTGCATCATTGTATTATGTCGTGTAATATAAAATATCGAATTTCACATCAGTTCAATATAATAGAGCGGCTCCAAGCACTGAACAGAGCCGAATATATAACGGTCGCGAAAGAGTTAACACCTCTGTTATTGTATGAGCTTCCGTAAACTCCTCTCTTGTAATATTGCTTTTATTAAAATACGGAATATATGTAAATGTATATATGTTGTATATATATTCAGAAATTTTATTGAGTAGCCCAGATTTAATAAGATTAGAGAGTAAAATCATGAATTTTATTAAAGAGAAACTTCGCTTGTAATTAAATCCATATAAAAGTGACGCTTAGTTGATTATATTATAAGGAAAAGTTAAAAGTTAAAGAATCCTTTTAATCGGTACGACTCTTTACTTAAACATTTTTTTACTTTTGAATTTTCCCTCGTATTTAAGCTCCCGTTAAGCAATCGTGGAATCTCGAGAGATGTAAAAATATAAATTTTCTCTGAAAACAGACATCACTGATAAATCGGTATTTTACGTTGGAAGAAAAATTGTTTATTCTACAAATTCAATTTGGTTTTACTTGCTCGTAGATATATTTCCAGAAAATTCGACCTTCGATATTTCCGTGAAAACTGACTAAACGATTAATCAAAATTTGACATAAATGGTAAAATATTTTAAGAATATATACGCGTCCGGGACACCCGTTGCATTACCACGAGAGATTATTTACGACATAGAGTCGACTCGGACCGAGAACGTAGATCATCGCGGTTCCGCGGGGTTAACTCGTTTAACCTTTTACCTCTCCCCTCGCGCATGAGATCGAGATCGACATCGTCTTCAGTTAGAGATGTGTATCTCGATTAGCAAGATCTGCAATCGATTATAATTCGTCACTCCTACTTTGTTTCCTATTAGAGCGGTGTTGGGCAAAGATGCAAGTAAAATATGAAACCAAACACGGATAGCAACAACGAGTCCTACGAGAATTATTTAATATCTGTTCAAACGAATATCCAGTATTTTTGAATCAGTTAAATTTTTCAACCTGTTTTTCATTTATTCCTTTTAAAGTAGATATCTTGCTTTAATTAACGGCGCGTAGAAAAATTCCACAAGGGTCAATCGTACGCTGTCCAACGTTTAAATTTGAAAAAACATTTTAATTTTATCTTTTGTAAACATTTTTATTTCCGTTGATCAGACGATTGTCAGTACGATGAAAAATATAATTACACTAAGATTACTTTGCCGTTATTTATAACGGCAAAGCATAAAGCTGTTATGCCAACTATTAATTCACGCTTTTGTCGATACTGAATCAGATGGGAGGTTTTCATTAAACGCCCACAACATATAGTCTTAAATATCACGGTTATTTTCAATTACAGATATTAGCAATCGAAGCGAGAAGTTAATTGATTTTAATATGTAGATATCAGTAGTTTCCAAATTCGTAAGCCATTGATAAGATTTTCACGAATGTAATTCACCTTTAGCAATGCATATATGTAGATAAAATACTTTTTTATTTAATTTTATGCAGATTTTATTTTAATCTAATATGACATTTCACTCTAACATCGCCGATGAAAAGTTTACCAAAAAACTGACATTTAATAAAACTTTTCTAGAAAAAAAAATATTTCTAAATCACTCGAAAATTTTTTGGGAATATCATATATTTTTAAAGTTAGACCAAAAGAAAAATAAAATAGGAAAATTGAACATTGTTTATTTAAAATGAAATAGTTGATATCATGTGACCACTTATTATTCTCCGCTTAATTTAAATCGCGACAGAAATTACGTAAAGGTTACGCGCACGTAATCTGCCAGGTAATCCTTCACCGCAAGAAAATCACGTTGCGAGTTAAATCGTACGTCACGATCCAGTTACTTGACCCTGCGGGCCTAGCATGACGTTACCTCGTCGGCCTGGCAAGGAGGAGGTCATCGTGACTTTGAAGGTTCACAAATAACTCAGCAAGTAGCAAAAAAAAATTATCTTTTATTTTTTTATATATTTACATGGAAAAAACATTAAATATATTCAATAATTAAAGCGAACCATCAAATTAATTTTTAAATCATATTTTAAATCATAAAATATTACAAATTTTCTTATATTAATTATTTTGCACTTGCAATTAAAATGAGAAAGGTATTACACTTATCTTAAATGAAATATTTAGATGATCTGTCTCTTTGAAATAAATTAATGACAAATTAAATTAATAATGCTAGGTCGTATAACAATGAGACTATTACGTATTAACGATGACATATTCGGAAAAAATGATTCGCACCCCCTAAAATAATAACAAATGGCACATGAAATTATAATGACATTGGGGTAGTATGACAAGAAGGTACTCTGCGCGTGTACATATATAATATATATTATATTTCCATGATATATCGGTACGTGTGTACATCCACCTTCGGATACAATTCATAACATCTATTATTGTAATATTTATTTTATAATTCATATGCGTACATGTAGGTAGTTTAAAGATTAAGAGGCGGTATGGAGAAATGTAAATTGCGGGCCGTCTGTATCTAATGTATACCGTGAAGGTATGCGTTCACAGATGGATCGCCGACATTTTAGACACATATACATATTAATTATCAATTTCTGCCGGCGACCGTACTATAATTTCACGTCCTCTCAATCGCCGTATCAATACTTCATCGGAAGAGAATCCATTTCATCACATTGATCATAATTATTCTATCGATTATTCGCAATCATCCTCGACGGAGTGACGACCGAGGAATACCGGCGATCTGATTGGCGAAAGTGGCCGGAGAGATATCTCCAATCAAAGGACGGTAATTCCTACAATTTATCGCGAACTTGTTCGCCAATCTTCTCCAATTTTTCGTCCCGTCGCAGAAGGATTGCGAAGTCACAAAGACGCGAGAACCGAGCTTGACTCGTCGGAGGGATCGCATTTCTCGCAGCAGATGTTGCGACGAGATTTCCCAGGTTGTTAGTCGAGCGGGAGTCAAGCTATAGATTCTCCATGGATAATTTCTTGAAGATCCAAAAGAGGGTCGTCGAAAGGAGCAATGTGACGCGCGAGAATCGCGACTGACTATGTCGAAAGTTTCATCAATAAAGATATAATTAACTCTCACATATATTTATTTTGTTAAATTTCAACGTTTTATTTTTCTAAATATATTTAGGGGTCGGATAACGAGTTCTCGAAGAAGATTGTCGGCATGAAGTAAACGCAATTTCCAGTTTTATTGCATTCCCATATATTTTACGTAGTTTTAAACTGAAGAATTAAACTCAACTTTTGAACTCGAGAATTAAATAAAGAAACTCGTGTTTCAATGAACAAGATGTTTCGTACATACTTTGCAATTTTATTGGACACTATTCGTAACTTATTTTGCTAGCAGTTAGAGAAAGTGATAAAATTTGAAACAATACTGCTACAATACATCCTCATGGCTGCATTCTTCGCGCGTCTCATCCGGGAAATCCGACGAGGCAGCTGCAGCTGATGGGATCGATCGATCGGTTGCGAGTCGAGGTCCTTTGAGCGCAGTTCGTTCGTCACTTTCGGCTCCGATTTCGACGATGACCTTCATTGACGAAGATGAAACGACGGGAAACTCAAGGAGGGATTCAAGGAACAGATTGTTTTTCTTTATTAAATAAAAAACGAGAATGACAAAAATAAAGATAATGTCGGATGAAACGCGATATTACGTTTAATGTAATAATTCCCACAAGAATCGCGATTTCCGATAAGAATCTCGATAAGGGCCGACTGCACCGTGGTTGACCATCGCTAATTAATTGAACATTTCGCTTACACAGAGCGTAATCAGAGCTAGAGAAGGACCGGGAATCATTAAGCGAGATTGGTCGGCGCAGCGGATCCCAAGCATCGAATATCGCGTGAGAGGTAGTTGTGAAAGACTGTATCGAGAGACTGGAAGTAGGAAATATCGTGGAAGAACGTGCAAGAGGTTTCCGAGCGTGATATTTCGCGGGCTATCGCCTTCTGCCAATCGTGATATCGCAAGCTTAAAAAATCTCTTATGTGTCTCTCTGTTTTTCTCTCTACGAAAAAGGATTAAAAAAACACGCGAATAAATGATGTCAAAGCGTATTCATCGAGGCCTTCGTTTTAATCGAAAATGCAGATCGCAAGCGTTGTGAAGACGTTGGAATTATTCCCACGGGACAAATATACATCGGGTGGGCGAAGTAATACAGAAGGAACGTTCGAGCGTGCTCGAGGAGGATATCGTCATTGGGATAGTCTCTCCGGAGGTGTAATAAAAACAAACGAAGGACGCAAAAAAAAAAAGAAAGATGGGACAGGTGACGCGGGCGTAGGAAGACGGAGCGGGGGAGGAGGAGGAAATCGTTTAGCCCCACTTCTGGAAGAGACCCATCCGTTGACACTGGCAATTGGAGCCCCAGAGATTGCAGCGGCAGCTGGAGCTGTAGCAGCAGTCCTTCGGCCGGTGGTCGCAGTTGCCGCCACGCCTTATGCAAGCCCGCCTGTACAGGTATCGCCTGTACAATATCGACGAGGTACGTCTACTCGAGATTAGGGGAATCGAGAGAATACCTTTTCGTGACATTGAGACATCGAAGGGGGTGGGCCGAGGGGAAAAACCGAATAAAAAAAGAAAAACCGCGTTGCCAATTCGGTGTGTCACGCGTATTCACACGTAGCACATATATTCATGCACATTATTACAACGATACGGAGACACACGCGTGGACGTCGAAAAAATTTCTCCGGAAATCGCGCGGATGAAAAACTTTTTTGCCAGTCTCTTTCTTTTTCTATCTCTTCATTTTCAACGTTATTAAAAAATTTAGAGTGTCGTGGAGTCCGTATGCGTCTCCTTATCATTTTTTACGTATATGTTTTTTTCTTTCTCTCTTTCCTTTTCTCTCTTTCTCTTTCTCTCTCTCTCTCTTTCTCTCTCCCTCTTTCTCTCTCTCTCTCTCTCTCTCTCCCGCTCTCTGTTAATAATAAATTATTTGCATTATGCGAAAAGAAATTGAATCTTTTTGTTCGTAAACTATACAATATCCGCACAACAGCTAGTCAGGGAAGAATTTATGGGAAATGAAAGAAGCCGTTTTTCACGAAAGAGTTCTCGTTGAAAAGGATTGTAGGAAAATAAACCGACTTGACAGTAAAATAATCCACTCACTTTTGTGCCGCTCGCATCAGATTCTCCAAAGCATTGTCTGTATAATCCGAGGAGTCGCCACCCTGAAGATCGCCTACATCTTCTGCAAAAGACGAACGGACTATTTTAATAATCTGAAAATGCATATTTTAATCCAATCAGAGTTGGATCGTTAATTGAAAAAAAACAAACGTTTTTTATTCTGAATACGAATCTCATAAACACGAGTTCTTGCGGATTAATGATCATCGGAGAAGGATATCCTTCGCGGGCGGAAAACAAGATCGTTATTTATACGCGAGCGCAGATCCAAGGACGCTTACGATCCGCGATCCGAAAGCTTAAAGGGCGCATCTCATCGCAGGAATGTGGGGAGAGAGCAAAAATAGAAGAGTGCTCTATGTGCTCTCGATAAGACAACATCAACAACGGCATTACGAACTCAATCTCATTTCTTTTTGACTCGATACACAATCACCGAAGCAAATACTTCTTTGGTGAAAATAAATTTATTTTATCAAATCGATGTCGGCGCGCTGTCGATATTCAAAAACATAACAAAAATATCCGTAAAAACATTATGGATAACGTTTATATCGAAGAGTGTAGAAAGTATCGCATGCAGCTGCAAAGTATGTCTTAAATTTAAGAAAAAATAATTCAGGTAGAAATTCGCTCACAAATTCGAAAAATATTCGAAGTTCAACAAAAATACATTGAAACATTTCGAGAGAAAGCACGGTATTTTTAACTCTGTCCATATTTTTTCTACTTCTAGTAAAATTCACGAGAGCTGAATAAAGTTGACGAGAGCTGAAAATACAAAGTCAACTACCAAAGTGTACAATATAAATCAAGAAAGTCATATTTAACAATTTCGTTTCGTTTTTATTATCGCGTAACTTTATTTTCCCTGCGCGCGGTGCAACTTCGCGAAATAATGTCCACGGTTCATTAAAGTTATTATGGCAAATCTCGTTATGCGTTACTGGAGCTTGCATAGAGAAGCTCTTGCTTGCGGCGCGAAGAGATGAAGCATCAGGGTAAATAAAATAAAATACTTTTCTTTTTCTTTATGGACAATTTATGTTTCCTTGATTGTTCGCAGGGTTAAATTGGCGCAATATCGTATTACTTACTTAGAAGCTCGTCGTATTTCATTTACTAAGAGATAAAGGGAAGCGAATAAAGAATTTACAGCTAATATAATATAAATTGCGCAGCATTGAATCTCCTGTAGTGATATTTCTGCAATTTTATTAAACATTTTTAGTCTTCAGATATTTTTTGAAATCTAAATAAAAATGCAATGAACCGATTAAATTACGATTTCATTATCGGATCACCCAATTTTCGCGCGGCAAATAGAAAGAAATGAAAGAATTTGCGGTAAAAAAATGATAAATGATCGCGAGTTCATTAATCGTCATAAAATGATCTTGATAAGTGGTTCTACCGAATCGTACGCAGACCTGTAAAACGTGAAATGACGATAATCCTTTATCTTTCTTCTTTTCTTCTCTCTTTTTCTCTCGTCGAAATTCTCATGGGATCAGAATTAAGCTTCTAATCTAAGAAATTTCTTGCTCCTTCTTTTTCTCGTTGCCACTCTAGTTTCTCACTTTTATCGTTTCTCTCTTTGCATCGTTAGAGATGCATCAGGGGTGCCGTCAATCTTTCAATATTCCTGCGGTGTGTATAGCGCTAGGAAATCGCGAAATTCTTCGACTTCGTAAACAAGATCATTTCTCCAGCAACTTCTTACATTATAAAAAGAAAAATAATTTTACACTTTAGATAATCACATAAATATTAGTTCCATAATAGTGACTAATTTTATATACTGCATTGCCATTCTAAGTAAAATAATTTTTTATAAATAAAATACAAATCTTTCATAATGATTGTTATATCTCATGTTTCTTAATGCATTAAAAACTACTTTACGAATTTTGAAATCGTAAAAATCATCGTGAAATCGAATTAAGAAATATATATATATATATTACTACATATCATTTATCACTGTGATGTCACTGTTATAGGATTAATGTACGAGACTTTGTTACGAATTCCATAACACCTCGATTATTTTCTTTCCCTTACGAACGCCCTTTTCCTAAGAGAATACATCTTCCTCGTATCTCTCTGGTTACTATTAGAAGTTATATATTACAACATAAGTTCTCGAATAAAAATGTAGCGGACGACAGTAGAATAAAAATCCCATTCTATCGTTCGTAAAGTAAAATCGTATTCTTGCCATCCGCTGAGAGAAACATATAGCTCGCATGTACACTGTGAAACACAGTAATCCAATTATTATGCACTATTCCAACGCTTACACTGTTATTCTTATATAAAATGCTAAGAAATTCACAGGAGATTCGAAATAATATCGTAATGTTTGACTTTAGTATAAAACCGACAAAAATTAAAATAAAAGAAGTAAACTTACTAAAGATTTATATAATAATATTAAAATAATGTCGGAAGCATAGCTGATGCGACAAATGAAATCGTGACGTGCCGTTACGAAATGTCGTAAGATCGATGTTCAAGAGGAAGCCTTGAAAAGCAATCAAATGTTGCTGTAATTAAATCTCCGTGACCGACGCCCTGCCGGAAACTGATTACAGTTTCATTAACGTCGACTGTGTTTTTACACAGTCATCATAAATTTCCATATCCTGAACGACGCACTTTGCTAATTGCAGTTATTGAAGAATAGCTCTATGTTCACGAACAGTTGATAAAATCTGAATAAAATTAATAAAGGGAAATGTTTATGTATCAACATTGCGCCTCGCAGACACAATTTCGAGGAATGCTTAGACAACGTTTAAGAATACGTGACAACTTTAATACGCGCCGTAATTTAATCGGTATGCGTCAGACCATGTATAGACTTATCATCTCACATTGCGATCCGGTTGACGTAACGCAACGTGAATCCGTCAAGCAAGCAAGTCTGTTAAATTCAATTTAGTGATTCAGATATTTTATCTCAGAGATATAAACACAACAAAAAAAGACTCATAAACAGTTATGCGCCTGATAAAAAATTGCACGCGACAAAGATACTTTGATAAATAAATTCACTTGTTTTATTTTCAAACTACTTTACTTTGAAATACTGCGTATTCAGTAATCTATTTGTATTTGCAAGTGGTAATGAGACAAATATAATCCTGGTTGCTAAGTATTTTACACATATGTTGCATTCGTAGGCGCAATTTCGAGGAATGCTTTAGGTAAACGTGATGGCTTTAACGCGCGCCATTATTCAATCGGTATGCGTCCGACCATGCATAGACTTATACCACTTGCACTGTGATCCGGTTGACGTAACGCAATACGAATCCGACAATCATCGCGTCAAGCTTTTCTATAAAAATCCTCTTTGCTTTATGTCGTTCTCAAATACTTTTATATAATTTTTAATAGCTTCGACAGATCTATTTTTTGAATGCATTCGATCACTGTTGCAAATCGAATCCTCTTAAACGCAAGATTCTAAACAAACTACCGCAAAAAAGGACAATTATATATCTCGATGAATTGCAAGTTTAAACAACTTTCAGAATATCGTAATGCCAGCGAGCAAAATATGTCATTATAGTTCACAAGTTTTAACTCGCCAAGTTTCGATTAATTTCGAAGCGTTAAATAAATAAGATCGGAAAGTTCACGGTGTTCAACTTCTGAGAAGTTTGCACATTTTCGAAGAATTGTCATTATCAATAAATCTTCTTCGCCGGTGTAATTCAGATTAAAATTTAATTTCGAAGCAAAGACAAACAGAGTCACAATTTTATCAAAATGTACACTCAACGAGATTCTAAAGCTATCATAACTCTAATAAAATGGATATTTGTTTCAATCAAACTTCTTTTGCGAGATGACGCATTTTAACTAGAAAACTTTACTCACACGAAGTTTCTGTTTTCTCTTTTGTTATCTAGTGTAGACACTATTATTTAAGAATTTTTATGTAGCATAAAGAAAATTACTTCAATTTTTTTACGTAAAAAATGTAACTGAAAATAAATTATATTTAGAAAAATTTTATGTTTGTAGAAGATGCAAAGAAAATTTTAATTTAATTTTACATATTTTTAATGTATTTTAAGAAATAAAAAGTAACTTCCTTGCACGCGACAAAGGTGCTTTGATAAATAAATGCACTTGCTTTATTTTCAAACTACTTTACTTTGAAATATTGCGCATTCAATAATCTATTTGTATTTGCAAGTGGTAATGAGACAAATATAATCCTGGTTGCTAAGTATTTTACACATATGTTGCATTTGCAGGCGCAATTTCGAGGAATACTTTAGGTAAACGTGACGGCTTTAACGCGCGCTATTATTCAATTAGTCCGTCGAAGTAAGGATTGGCGAAGCTTCTGTCGGTCAGAACGACCAACAGAAGAGACAGCCACAGCAACCAGGACCTCATTGCCTAGCGATGCGCCCGCTCGGCTCACGGTTCGCGTTCACGAAAAAAAAAGTAACTTAAAAGGTAACTTTTTTAACACATTTATATAATTATAAATTTCCCAAAAATCAAAAAAATTTTTTAAATTTTCTTTGAAAAAAATAAGGTGCTCTGCAAAAATTGGTTTACTCTTAACATGCTTTTTTATTCTCAGCAATTGTACACTTTATTTTTATTGTCTGTGCGATGTACACAGTGCTTTAATATTTAAAAAAAATAAAATTTCTCGTAAAAAAAGTTTCACATGTAAAAAGTAATATGTTAGTATTTTTCATTCACGTTTAGTTCGCGGCTAGATATTCTGAAAGTAAACAGAAATTATAAAAATAATTTATTCTACAGTTAAAAAATATTTTATCAAAAAGTGTGTTTTTTTATAAGTTAAGTTGCCATCAAAATGATGAACGAAAGCAGTCGATTTTTAATATTTTCATTTTCCAGTAATAACAATTTTTTATCTCTTTTATATGAGTACTTAATGCAAATGTATCGATCGCGATTTTTTAAAAGAGACTCGCGAACTACTATTTGCAGCAAAAATAGATTAGAGTCGTATATAACTCCTTTTATACACTATTCTGGTATTTGTGCCGCATACAAAATGCGTCGTGCCGCATTTGCATCGTGCTGTCTATGAATGTATAATTTCCTACTCATTCATACAAGAATTAAATAATTTGCATAAATAAACACATAAATATTTACAATCAAATAATAATATATATCGATTCACCGCGATAATTCAGATAACACAAACGTGTCAAAACAGTCATAAGGACACAGATGTTTGAAACTTTTGCAACGCTCCCTTGCCCTCCGTACGTTCTTCAGAAGTCTTCGCAATTTTTATCTTGCATTTAGAACAAAGTGCAGCTCGCGATTAATGCGTAAAACAAACTATGACTTACCACCTTCGTCGAAGTAAGGATTGGCGAAGCTTCTGTCGGCCAGAACGACCAACAGAAGAGACAGCCACAGCAACCAGGACCTCATTGCCTAGCGATGCGCCCGCTCGGCTCACGGTTCGCGTTCACGAAAAAAAATCCGGCGAGAGATGCAACACGACGTCCTGACGATCCGCAGATCCCGCTCGTCCTCCGCTATCGGGAAGGAGTCTCGTCCTTGGCTCACCGGGTACTGGGGTGCGAGTGAGGGTTTCGCCGCGGTCGTGGTGCTTATATAGACGCGAGAGGCGTGGCGATGCGCCCCCACGAGGATACGTAGAAGCGGAGCTTGAGTTTCTGGATCGGGCGCGAGGTCTGATCCACCACGCGCGCTCTAGTGCGCGCTGTCTGACCGTGCGGTGCAGGAGCATCCCCTCGGAAGAACGGGGGATGAAATCGTTTCTGGCTATTGCTACTCGTTCGTCAGTAGACTCATACTTGACGGAAAGGAGCAACTGGTTGTGAAGCAACTGGTAGACTCTGTCTCTATCCCCGTGTCTCTCTTTCAGTGTCCCTTTCGTCCTTCGAACCATTAAAGCTCTCCGAAATTACACTCGCAATAGTTGAAGGTCCAAATGTCAGAGGTATCATAATTATGATGCAAATTCCGAGCGTATGAATAAATTTAGTAATCGCTGCGGGCAGTGGAGGAAAGGGTAGAAATTCCAAACATTTATGATATGAAATATTTGGCTTTATTATTTATATCCGCTACATTCCATGTTTCAGTGATATAAACACGAATTGCGTAGAATCTATTATATCGTATTAAATTTTCTTTCTATTTTTGTATTTCTTGCGTGCTTCGATATTTCCAATTTTATTCCACTTCATATCCCTACATTCTTCTCATCGACGAAAGTGATTTTTGTGCAAATGATGTAGAAACTTGTCTCTCTATTACAGTCGCCGATGTACACTCATTAATCGTATAAACGCTAATATTAACAGAAGATTTAGGAAAATGTAAATTTCGCGTAATTAAGTAGAAAATTAGTTGAGATAGACAGTTCGGTCGTCTCAAGGTTAAGATCAAGCAAGACTCAACAGTGTCGTCTCATGTGTCGAAAGGATAATAAGTTCTGCTTATTTCTGATACGAAATTGCGGGTAATCATCCGCTCATTAGATGCATTGCTGAATGTAGAGTTAAAATATATTTACCAAACACAATTCTTATTTGCTCGAGACTCCGACAGGGATAATTGCAAAAATCAGCCAACATTGTTGCGGAATGAATGACAATTTTTTTTTTACTCATTTTTATACAGTAATCTCATATCAAATTACATATCACAACTTATGAGAAAAATTTTGTTGGATTCCAACCTAAAAAAATAATCTTTGTATAATTTTTGATATTTTTCACAATTTTAAAATATTTTTATAAATAATTTTAAAGTTAAAACAAAAGTTACTTTAATTCAAATGAAGAATAAGTTTATCTATTTGCTTTTTTTAAGTTTAAGAGTGGAAATCTTCGAATGTTTAATGACTTAAAATTTAGCAGTTGTTCGATACTATTGTTACCTCTGTTTTCATTTGATTAAAGCGAGAAAATCAGATAACTTGTACACGCGTGTTACGGCAATTGTTTTTGCATTTGGCTTTCACTGTGGCTTGTGTATAACGTTACTTACGTGCGAAATAACCGGATGATTTCAGTGGAGGACGATCTCGTTAGCGATGTTCAAGGGTCGTTTATCGTGGCCGTCGCGTTGTGTATTTGGCATTGTTCGGCTGGAAAATGCAATTTAGTTTATTCACACAGAGCAGTTCCGAGCTAACGATTGCAGCTGTAACAGACGTGAAACGCTGCGGCGAACTAGAGAAAGCTAGAAACGGAACAAAATTCCGTGCTCTATACGATGCATCATAATGTAGTTGAAAACGAAATAAACAACGCAGATGTTCGTGTTAGCATTTGCACTCGCACTCGCGGATTTACGGTATGATTTGAGATATGTACTACGCGCATTGAAATTTAAATGCAGGTGGAGAGATTAATACGAGAATAATTTTGAGAATGTGAGTAATATTCGTGAATAGTATTATAAGAGAAGGATATATAAATTAAACATTAATCATTGTGTTATCAAAAGAGAAAATATTATACATCATTTTCTTCACTTAGAAAATTCAACATAATTTAATTATATATTTTGTGAATTACGTTTACATTTTTTTATATCTTTTTAATTTTTTGCACATCTTGTTAATTGATAAATATAAAATGTATAAATTATTAGACGTTTTTCTTCACTCTTATTTTCTCTTTAAAAAAAGATAACACTCGCACTTTAATCTTTCAACCTTTTGTCTGCCCTCATACCTCATGTATTCTAAGGATGAAAACATAATACACTTCTCTGTTAAATATGTAACAGTGAGGCAATTTAAAAATTTACTGTCGAGTGTTCACCTTTGATACGTCGGGTTTCTGAATTGAATTCGGAAAGTTCACGACACGTGAATTACACAAGTTGTAGCTTAAACCATGCACGGGAAATATAATGAAATGACCGCTTGCGACAATATCCATTATTCAGAACCTAACTTTGATCACGGCGCTATAAACGCCTTTGCGGCGGCTGTGAACTTTCGACGTTTACTTAAGGGTATATCAAAGTAGCGCAATTTCAGCTTGCTGCAAGCGTGTCGAGTCCAGAAGCTAAGAGAATACGCCTCAAGATATACGTCTTCTTCGCAGCGTCTTGTTAGTTCGTTCGCGTACCATAAATATTCTCAACATTATTCGCAACGTTAAATCTCGTTAAAAACGTTTGCATTGTTAATAAAGTCTTCTCTGGCTTAAGAACTATTTAAACAAAAACGCAAGATTGTTAAATTATGTATAAAATACCAAAGCATCAAATTCAGACGTTAATTAATTGCACTCGCAAAGTTTACGTTAGTAAACACTATATATTTGTGTTTAAGGAAGTAATAACAAGCGTTGCTTCTATCTTAAGCAATACTCAAAGCGCTAATAAATTTAATTAATATTTAATATTTTTATAAATTAATAAGTAAGAGATATGTTGATTAGTTCTTAATTGTGGCGCATATTACACCTGGTTTCCGATTTTTCGTTTCGGTCTTCTGCGAAATCAAATAGTGTCTCACATCGTGTCTTCGCGTCACGAATAAAAAAAATTCAGTTAATAATAAAAAAATTACATGCATAAAAAGATCGAGTCCGAGTGCAATTTATGAATGGGTAGAATGACATTCACCTTTTCACGAATGAAGGTTGCCGTCGTGGGTGGAGGAGAGTACCCAAAGGTAATGCCGAGATAGAAGTTACAAATTGCCGGTTGTGGGTGGCTTGTCAAGGGAAAATCCTCTATGTGACTGTTGTGCTTACGAGAGTTCGATATGTCCTTTCATTGCATTTGGATTATCGGATGAACCGTATCTAGCCCGCAATATCACGTTTGTAGGTTCCTTTCCCGTAAATTCTTGGCAGTCGCAATCGTATTACCAAAGTCATATTTGTCAGATTAAAGTCGTCCGATATGTTACATTTCATAACCCAAAAATGATTCAATTTTTACCAGAATTACGGTTTATACACACATTGCGTGATAGATCGAGTTGCCGCCCCGACGTTCTAAAAATAGATCTCAATAGCATTTGTGGATATTTTTCGATATCAAGACTTATATAATTCTATTGATTGGTGAATAATACTCACAACCAGTATCAGAGAATTACAGTAATTGATTTATGCAAGTAAATAGACTTTACGTAAACATTATTGTAATTATATTACTTTGCATTCCAAAAATCCTGCATTTCAGAACTAAATCAAGAAGGGATTAAAATCAATATTTCCAATGATGAAATAAATTATTAAATAACTCTTATATAATTTGATTATTAAGACTTGATTTAATTGATTATTAAATTTAATAATATAAATAATATAATAATAATTTAATAATATAAAGAATAAGAAAATTTTATAACAAAAAGATAATAGAGCGAGAGCAATGTTTTATTAATTGGTTTTTTTTTGTTTCACAACGACACCGAAATTTATAATAACACCTTTAGATAGATCGAAGATAATGACGATGGCAAAAAGGCAAAATGTCACGAATGAGATATATACCAATTTACAAGATTTTCAATATAATGACGCAGATTTCTCCCTGTCCTCGAAGCATCCTATCACCCTAGGAAAACGAGCGTGGAGAGAAAAGGTGTATTTGTGTATCGCGATGGGCGCACCCGTATAACCAGGAAATCCGATGTCGTATCCTAATTGGCGTACACGAGGGTGCTATGTGTCACTCGGTATTATACATCGCCTGTATGTAATGAGTTACCAGAGACTATGGCGGTCTCATTAGGCGCGACGTAGACAGTCGTAAACCTTACATCACGAAACGATTAGTATGCCTGGCTTCTCGGCGAGAGAGAAATTAAGCATAGATTATGGACCATTAAATGATATTACAACAATAACGCGAGCGTGTTCCTACATTTTGATGTTCGCCAAAAGCCAATGATAAATTATCTACTTAACTCGGAATTTTAATTAATATTCTAATAAAAGCGATAACTTCTCTGATGTCTGCAAACATATTTATGATTTCAGATTTTTATCTTGATTTTTTATTGAATTCTTTATCGTAATGATTCAATAAATAGTTGAGAACTTTATAAACTTAATATCTAAGAACTTAAATATCTATTCGTACGAAAGCCTGGATACGCATAGTTCTCAAATCGATTTTCCGAATTAGAATATACAGCATATATTTCCGCTTTAACGCTATTTCGAGAGTTTCGAGAGCGTATCAACTTTTACCTCTCGAAATCAAGAAACTAAGCAACTTGAAACTTATCGCGGAAGACTCGAATCTTGGAATTTATTACGGAGCGGGAAGAAACTTGATCGTATTTTTTTTCCCCTCCTGGACTTTTTCGCGAAATTGTCACGCATGAAGACGTGTCGCTCGTAAACTTCTCTAAAGAATGCAAGTCTCGCAATGCTGCCTGCGAAATTTTTCCGCGGAATGAATCACTCGCATCAACTCGACGGAAATGATCGTAGAAATCGAGGAGGAATCGCGTGACTTCGTGACGGTCTTCAAGAAAGATTATCTCGGAGGGAGAGTCGAAAGACCGACGGAATGTAGACCGTTGCCGACCTATCCTCCACCTTTGAATATCCTAAATGGACCGTATAGGCTGCACTTGAACACGCAACTAGAAAATCAATCACTGCCTGAGAGTGAACGCAGCGAGGATCCAGTGGATAATTTAAATCGAGTAAAGATTGAAAACTCTCTGTTTTTGTGATCTCTCGTACATCATCGTAATTGTACATCAATACAGATGCGCGACAAGTTCCCCCACTTAAGAAACGCTCTACCGCAAGTCGTGCCAGACGAAAACATAATAGAACGCGAAAAGGAGAAATCAAAGAGGACTGTGTATCAACTCGGTTATTCGAAGAAACTCGGCAAGGATTCGTTCATTATAACAATATTCTCCGTTGTAGTAGTTGCATCGCTACTTATATACAATTTTATATATCATCCTGTCTCAAGTAGAGCAGTAACGGAATTTGTATCTTTTAAAATGTTTAAATTATATCACGCTGTTTAGTTTTTTGTTCATTCACTTTTAATTTTAATATCGCACTGTCATCGCAGATCGTTATGATAGAGATGTAACGTTACCAGAAGACTGGGTTATACTCGAAACGATGCAAAAACGCGCATATCGAGATCCATGGACGATCGCAGCGAGAGAGCTAATAAAACCACCAAAAATTCTCAGACCGCGCAACAACTTGGATCCAAATCTTAAAGAAAGAGAGATTCTCCGCGTAACGTATGTAAAATTGATATTTAGTCATGCAAAGATTTGTGAAATATCACTTTTCTGCGTAGAACCGGAAATTCCGAATATATCAGCACAACCGGAGCTACTGGGGAGAGAATTGCGCTACGAGGTCTGTTAGATGTAACAAGACGCGTTAGATTACAAAAGCCATTAAAGAATCTTGAAATATCCGATTCGGAATGTTCGCTGATACTGAAGCAAAATTTAGTCCTTCCGTCAAAAATAATTTGAGTTATTTTTCAATTAAGGTTTTATAATTGAGACAGAACACGTTGGCATGCAAAGTATTGAGATCACAAGTGAAATAAGCTATACTCGTAAACAAGTTACTAGAAAAGAGAATTTATATTTTTCATACTGTTCATACATAGGAATTTCATTTACAATCTTGCTCTCATATTCTCAGTACACTTGCTAAATTATTTATAGCTGTACAAGCCGTTCGCATTCACACCAGACACATATAGCAACATAGACGTGCTTACATTGCTTACGTTTTACTTTCGTGAAATTATTTACATTCGACAACCTAGAGCTAGATATTTTTACAAAATATTCGCAAATTGTTACATATAAAATACTAAGTATTATAAATATTTTATAAATATGTCGAAATTATCGGCAAACATTTACTTTATCTAATTGTTTGAACAAAATCAGATTTTGATTTTCCGTTGCACGAATTATTATTTTCATCTTTAAAAAATTTATTTTTGATAAATAGATGTGTATTAATTAAGGATGATTGACAAATGTATAAAACCGCAGAAAGAAAACGAAACAATAAAATCAGTTCCTAACATAAAACTTATATTTTGTACTAGAAAGTTAAAGCTTAAAGTAAAAAATTTTTGAATTCGTAAAATGTACAAATAATAAGATTCAAAATTATCATATCGATTTAAATTGTGCATATTATTCGAAAATTCCTTATCTATCAAATCATGCGAGAGTAATGTTTCTGTATAGATATTAATTAAAGAACATCTCACATTTTATATTTTAAAAATATAACTATTTTGTATAAAGGGGTGAGTTTAATAATTAAATAATATTGTACTTGCAGTAAAAAATGTAAATTCCAGTGTCGTGATTTATACTTTTCGTATTCTTTAATAACAAAAATTAGTGATAATCTAATCTACAGATACCCAGCACATGATATATACAATGTACGATTTCAGTCTCACTTTATATCTATAACTCCAAACTCCACAACGTTCAGATTTTACATTTGACAAAATATGTTTAAATGGTTGAAAAATTTTTATGTTTATCCGCAATTATTATTCCACATATAATTTCATTTATTATTTTTTCAAATATGAAAACCAAATTTTTTATACTTTTATTATTTTATTGTTACGTAGTAATATCTTACTAATCAAATTCTCAGATACTTTTTAACTGTAATAAAATTACTGTGAAAATATTAATATTGTGATTTTAAGTATTTATGTATATGTGTATACAAAGTGTATCTCAAACGATATTCCTTTCTAGAGTCCGTTTTCAATTAATTTCATTGACTAATGTGGAGACTAGATTTATTTAATACAAGAAATTTTAAACAAAATAATGATTCATTATACTTTTCACTCTAACGTTAAATATATAATATATTTTTCTAATTAATTTTACAAATTACATTTTCGAAATTTAAAATAAATTCTAAAGAAATCAAATTCCAAAATACAAATTTGGTTTTAATCATCATCTTTCTGAATATGAAAATTTAATTCACTACAAATATTATTAATCGTATTATTTGAAAATTAAAGATGGAAAAATCCGAAATTAAAGATCAATATATCTGGGACACTTTGTAAACGCACAATTTCATGATACCTTTCACAGTTTTGAAAAGTTAGATAATTCTTCCGCTCGTATTTATCGAATTTGGATGAATATATTTACAAAATGCAAATGTCCAATATAATCACCGACACAAAATTATGATACTTATTTCAGTTCCATTTATGGTATTATCTATATTAAATGATTGTTTGAGGTAATAATGTCGTCACCAGTGATCATATCTTGCAGAGGAATATTTTGTTTCTGCAACAAATAATTAAAAAAAGCAAATGTAATTCTCATCTCTGCCGAATCGCAAACGACATTAATTACAGAATAGAAAACGTTATCTTACTTCAATTACAATCGTGGTTGTCAAATCATCTGTGTCGTGATATTGTACACCTACATTTGCGGCTGCTATTGCTACAGTACGAACGCTATCGGTGCTGGTTGAAGTTGTGATGTGCTGGGTAATCGTGGAGTTTGCATTTTCTCTACTGGAACCATTACACTCTTATATGCGTAACATTACCAGAACGAGACAGCATGTTATTTTTTTTTTCTTTTAACAAATTTGCATTAGGGAAAATACAAAGTGAAACTTACTTCCGCTTTTTTGATTGACCGGAATGGAAACGGCCGCCTTCACCACGAATTCTGTTCATCGCGTGTCGATGACGAGATTCGTGGAGATATTTCTGTAAAATAATGATTCCGCTGTTATAACCCAAATAATTATAAATATTGTGCAAATGGATATAACTTTGTATCCGACTTGAAACGCATATAATAACTTTAGATTTCTTCCTTGCAAGACTAACGTGTAATCATACATATCTTATCGTACAAATTTTAGCTTTTTAAATATTAATTTAAAAAAAGTTTTAGAAATTTTAAAATACATACCGGCCTTTCCTTAGGTATCTTTCCTTCAGCTTCTAGTTTAGCACGTGCTTGGCGGCGTTTCAGTATTCGTCTGTACTGTTTTGCATTAACATATAATGGTTCTTCTTCAAGTAGTTCTGCATTAGGTAATGCCACTCTTTGAAATTGCGTTTGCCCACTGTTACCTGGTACCATCTGATTTTTGTAAGATGACATAAAGTATTATTATTATTATTATAGTATTAGCTTATAATAATAATATAATGCAGTATTAATTTTTCTTAATAAAAGGGAAAATCATGTTACTTGAGATATAAACAATATATATATATTTAATAACAATTACCATAACAACATTTCCTGCTTGTGTTGAAGTAGGACTACCCAAAGGTTGTACTGGAGTTGTAGCAGCTGCAGTGGTTGCAGTTTGAGATGTTGTACCAGCAATTTGCATAAGATTGCCATTAAGATTTATCACTGTAAATCCGAAATATGTTTAGAAAAAAATGTCTTGTGCAAAAACACAACAAATAGGTATGTAGCTGTTTACCTGTTGGCTGAGCTTGTTGAACTTGACCTTCCAATTGCACAGGTTGATAGATGTATGTCTGTCCATCAGGAGTTTGAATGATTTGTGGTGTTTGTGGCTGTTGAATAACTATCTGTTGACCAGTATTAGTTAAACTAGAAACGGGAAGAACTTGAATCTGTCCATTAGGCGCTGCAACTTGTAGAGCCTGTGGAAGCATCATAGTTTGGCCACCCTGACCCATTTGTACAACTTGTACTGTTCCTCCAGCACCGCCTACCACCACTGCTTGTCCTTCGCTGAGCTGCTCCATGACGAATCCTTTATCTAATAATAAATATTGACTTTTTCAGTAACATATACTAAGCAAAAGACATTGCAAATATTTGGTAGACATAACGATATTGATACGATGCACGTACCGTTCATATCGTATGATCATCCAATTCATTAAGGTTCTACGTATTAATCTAGAATCGATGAAACGGGACTCGGCGCGAGCATTGACATAACTCGTTAACGTGGCGCCAAGAATTGTCGTTTCGGCGATAGAATCGTCATTTCACGGAAGAGTCCACGTGCGATCGCACATGCGGGACGCCCGTGCGATATTGGGGTCATATCTCGCGAACGAACGAGCAAAGTGAGCGAGCGAGCGAGCGAGCGTGTTGAGCATCATTTCGTGTGAAAGCAGAAACGTACGCGACGAAGGTCGTCGAGATACCGTTTTGCGACGTATGTTTCTCGACCACATTTCCGGCCAAGATTCGCGCCACGATCGACGCGGCCACCGGGCCGCGGCATGTAGGACGCGCGATATCGCTCGGTCGCGGTGATCCAGAGAGGACGGGTCGGCCCGCCATCGAGACGCGACACGGACATTCGTATGTGGGAACAGCACAATATTGCCTTAGCAAACATGGCCGTGTAGAGAGAGCTTTTTCGGCGTCGGCGAAGGCGTTGGCCAGCACGGACGAAACGTGGACGCGGTCGCGAAATCGGGGTTAATCACAGATGCGGGCGCGCGAGCGTGCCGCGTATCGGGCTGATGTTTGATAATTTGTGAACTTACATTGGATATTTTCGTGGGCACTTTCCCAATGATTGGTCGGCGGATTGGGGACCAATGGTCGGCGATAGAGAGCCCCTGGCTCTTGTGTATTGGTGGCCAGAGGTACGGTTAGAACTGCTGAACCGATGGCAGCGACGCCGAGACCGGTCGATGCCCCTCTGCGTCTCTGATACACTGGCCAATCGAACAGTGCGTCTCATCCCTCTCCCTCACCGCGCGCATTTTAAAGCTTTGAGAACTTTCTAGATCAAGTTAAGGGATAAAGGGACACATTAGGCCCAACGCACAATACAGAAAATATTAGGAATAAAAATAAATGTTAAATATTAAGAAGAGCAATTCGGAATTATTTTACTTCAAAACAAGGGAATGGAAAAGATTAATTATTTCTAATTCTCATTTCCTAATTCACGATGCGTTGATCCATTTCATTTTCTTGTTTTGAAATAAAATATAATTCCAATTTCCTATTCCTATTTTCTCTTGTGTATTGAGCCTTAAGATAATTGTGTATATAAATTCTTCAGTATAGATTCTGCACAATTTAGGAAAACAATAATTTTCCTATAATTTTCGTATATTACAAAAAAATCATGCTCATGTAGGATTTAATTAAATTTATTGAACAATGATAAAATAGCATCTTTCTTCATTTTTATCTAAATGTATATATATATATATATTAATAGAATATTACAATAACAAATGAAAACTTTTACATAAATGTTTAATGTAGATAAAATGCGGGGAAAATTCATATCGTACATGTACATCTTAACTCTAAACTTAGAAAGTAGAAGAAAGAAATACATAACTGTTCCGATAATTTTGAAGCCATTGGTATGCAGCAAGCAAACGCGATAGTGGTACTTTAACATCCTTTATAATACACTACATCTTTATAATTAATCGATCCTTTACCACAAGCTAATTGTCCAGCCTTAGGTTGTATATTTCCGAAATGTATGTTTTTTAATGCCACATCCAAAATTCCAGTCAAATGGTATGAGGTTATAAATTAGTTTGAGGGACACTTAACAATCACGATAGAAACGGAACCACTAAATCCTCCTTGTGTGTGACTTTTACATTGCCTAATCCTGTCACAGCCTTGTTGAGCATTTCCGTAATCTGTACAGTTAAATTGCTTGTATCAGTTTCATTGCAATCATAATGGCAAGTGCAATGGAAGAAAGTAACTTTAAAGTTACTTACCACTTCTTGATCTCCAGTGGCAAGTGCGTCAGCTGCTAATATTCGTTCTGGAGCAGGTATATCTTTAAGTAGGCAAGGTGAGACTTCAGGGAGTTTAACTCTACCTGATTCTATTCTTTTCGAATATGCACGAGACCTTTCCACATATTCGTGCTGTTCTAGATTGTGTGTGTCTAATGCACCCACATCTATGACATTACTGTAAGAAAAAATATTAAATAATAAGATTATAAAACGCATATTATTTTCTCATGTAGAACTAATTTGATTTCTATAAAATATGATTCAAGATTAGAAAAAAAAACTTCAAAAAAACTATATTATTAAAGGACATAAGAATAAATATAACATAAATCAAAAGATTAAAAAAACAATAATATAGAAAACCATAAGAATCGGTTGTCAGAGCTCAAGAACTATTAATTATTATCAATTAATATACAAAAATGTTTGGCTACAAAGTATTAGATTAGTATAAAATAAAATTCACTTACGCTGCTGTTTCGTGTAAAATTCTGTTTAATGCACTTTGTTCATCTGTCTTCTTAGGCACTGAACTTGCATATTGATTGACATAATCATCACTGAAACAAAAACATAAGTTTATTTAATCTTATCTGAAAGTCCAAAGTATTATGAAATTCATATATCTATAAATGATAAACAAGTCAAATAACTTACCTATGTACTCTTGGGATATTTGTGTTGTTACTGACAGGATCTACTAACAAATGTGTTCTTTCGTTTGCTTCCCCACTCTGGGAATGAAAAACATTAAAACAAATATTTATACAATGATAAAAATTGAATACCTGCAATTTTATTATTTTCTATTATTATCGTTATTATAATATAAAAGGCATATTTGTATGTATATGCGTATAAATAATAAATCATGCGTCATTACTATCGCTACAAGTAGGCGTATTATTCATGATAATGCGTGTAGATTATCACGTGCAAAGTGTCAGTGATAAGGCGAGAAAGTTTATCAAAAAATGTGGAGTAAACAATTTTTACCTGCGGCCCGCTATCTTCTTTACAGAAACTGTAACAGCATCCCATATTTAAGAGAATTTTTTACCAGGCTTCACCGATTTTAACAAAGTAGTATAGTATAGTCGTTATTGCAAACAGTCTTTCATTTTTGCTGCGATAAACAATCGAGTGAATCAACTGTTGTCGCAGTAGTTTCTACACACACAATCATAACTCCATAACTAAACACTAATCCAGCACAAAATTATTCACAGATACGAAAACTCAAAATGCGATAAAGCCGGATATACGTAATGTCTCCAATGGAACTAGTCTTGTACTGTCGTACTGCTTAAAAACATAACCTTGTAAAGAGCAAGAGAGATTTGGCGTTGTGACTGAAGCTAACGTTAGATGGTGCCAACTGTTTGCGCCATGTGACATCAAAGTACAATGCAATACCGCTAAATGGCACTAGCTGTCAATGCCAACATGTTTACAAAGCGACGCATCTTTTATTTTTTATTATCCATGGCTATATCACATTGTACAATATCGATCAAAAGTTTTGAAAAGCTACGTGTTGCAACAGAGGAGGCGGATCCGTCGTGCCGGTTGTTGATTTCGCAGTTTCTCTCGCTTCTCTGTGACACTTTTCCGTGAAAATCGTCTGTTATCGTTCCTCGTGCGGTCGTCATTATGTTTAATCAATTGCAACCTTTTTCCAAAGTGTGGTCAGTCTCGCGAATCCCGTTAGTGAATAATGCATGATAACGAAGGAAGGAGCAACGTCAATCATCGACATATCTGTGGCTGCACCACGTTACACTTTCTGTACTTGAGATGAAACATCCGAAGTAAAACAGATGCATTCGTACTTTGAGAGGAAAAGAAGGAAGAGGAGAGAGTGCAGCTAAAGCAGCTGAATCTATTTAAGCTTAAGTGAGAGAAAGAAAGAAAAGTGATAAATTGCAGAGTATAGGATGTACAATTAAAGGAACAACCTCTTGTTGTACAGTCATCTTACTCGCGGCACAAAGTAACAGGCAGTGCACGAGGTACAGCAAACCGCGACCACGCAAATGTCAGATGATCTGCGGTGAAAAAGTAACGTAGGAATGCGACCGGGTGCATCCCGGTAACTTAAATCTTCGCAGCAGTGAGAGACCGTACGCGCGGATCGCTGAGATTACTGTGAACCATGGAAGGTCAACAGGTATATTAAATCCGCATTCGAGAAAATCATATTGCTTTGAATACGTTCACTATGACTCACTCGTCATTTTATTATGGAGCAAGAGTGAATAATCCTTTGTTCTCAAGCAAAGAACTGTGAATCGAGTTCTGTTTTTTTAAATTATTATTTATCTTCTTTTTTCTTTCAGGTAAGAGCGCTGTACGACTTTGCAGGCGAAGCAGGGACAGCTGAGTTATCAATCACTGCCGGTGAGCTCTTAACTGTTATACGAGACAATGTGGGGGACGGCTGGTGTGAGGGCTTTAATCAGACTGGACAATCAGGATTATTCCCAGCAGCTTATGTCCAAGTGGTTGAACAAGCTGCACCATCCTCCAGTACGCAGTATACTTATATACAAAAGAAATATGGATCTATTATCTCTGGATCTACGTTATCTCTATTATTTACCATATATTTATGATATCTGATTTAAGAGATAAGCTGTTCACCTTTAGAAAATTATATAATATAACTGATACTGACATAATTTTATTGTTACACATATACAGATGCTATGACATCATCCCAGCAAAGCTCTGGAGATTATTGGGATGATGACTGGGACGATGATTCCGAGGTTGGACAGACACAGGCTTACGTTCCGCCCATGCAGCAGCAACAGTCGCAGATTATACAATTGCCACAACAGAATAACGCCGGTGACTATGGTGATCAAGTATCCATGCATACTATACATTCTGTGATACCAGAGAGGCCTATACCCAATGTACCAAAGAAAAACAATAAGTTCTCCACGTTGATCAAGTCGGGGGAGGATAGTTTCCTACTGGGCAGAGTGGTCAATGTACCTGAGAACGAAAAGATCTTTATAGAGGAAGGAGATGGTGGCCGATGCATATGGGTGGCGACCGGGGAATCCTACAATTGTGTCGTCACCTCTCCCAAAAAGGAATCAAAACTGAAGGGTCTCAAAAGTTTCATTGTTTACCAATTAACTCCTACGGTAAAAAGATTTTTCATCTTTTTTTTACATCATGCTACAATTGAACATTTCTTTCTAATATTAAGTGTCTTCGTTGCAGTTTAATAATATACAAGTCTCAAGAAGATATAAACATTTTGATTGGCTGCACGAGCGCTTAGAGGAGAAGTATTGCTTCATTCCGATCCCACCTTTACCCGACAAGCAAATATCAGGCCGCTATGAAGACGCGTTTATCGAGCATCGACGAACGCAGCTGCAAGAATTCGTCGACTACGTCTGTCGGCATCCTGTGCTGTCGCGCAGTCGTGTCTGGGAGCACTTTATCACCTGTACGGACGAGAAGAGGTGGAAAGCGGGAAAACGGCAAGCGGAGAAGGACGAGCTCTTAGGCGTGAATTACTTCAACGCGATTCAATGTTCGGACGCGCCGCTGGACGCTATTAAGATGGAAATCCAGGCGGACAGCTTTGGTAGATTTATTAGCGGTTTAGATCCAGTAGTGAAGAACTTTATGGCTATGGCGGTCGATCAAGCGAAGAAGCATCAAGTGCTGTATAAAAGGGAATTTCAAAAGATCGGTCAGCTATTCACGTCACTTGGCCACGCTCTGGAGGCAGACGATAGCGGCCGCGGGAAGCTGATGCGCGCTTTGAAGGCCACTGGTGACGCTTACAACGATATTGGCAAGCTATACGAAGACCAGCCGAAGTTCGATTGGGAGCCATTAGCTGATAAGTTCCATATTTATCGTGGTATTATTAGCAATTTCCCTGACGTCATTAGCATCCATAAGGTATTTCGCGCAGTCTCTTCGCTTTAATTAATGTCTCGTCTAAACAAATTTATTACCGCTAACTACGTCATTTTCTTGTAGAGTGCCGTGCAGAAGCGAAAGGATTGCGATCGACTGGTCAGTGAGCACAAAATGGAACCGCAGCAATTGCGCGATCTGTCCCATCGAACTGATGTGATAGCTCGCGCACTGATCGCCGAGGAAACTCATTTCCAGACAGAACGGGAAGTGCATATAAATAAAGCCGTAAAGACGCATCTCACGGAACAGATTGCGTTTTACCAGAAAATAGTCGACAAACTGCGAGAGGCGTCAAGTGCGTTTGACGAATGAAACTCGTAATTTGCCGCGATTTGCCTAATATAAACCGGTCGCTTTACGGCCAGCGCTAGGAAAGAAGTATTCTACGACCACGATGACGAATGTACCAACTGCGCATTGATTCAGTGAAATGTGTACATATATTAAATACGCCGATTAACTCTCGTATCATCAGTTGATATTAAGCAATCTGAATTAGACAAAAATTGATATCAAAACGATTGGAGGTCCAATATTTGTGAAGTGATCGAGTGGTCGTGTAAAAATTAATATATGACTGGAATTAATGTAAGTACATAATGATTATTGACGTATTACGAAAAATTATGATTTACTTCGAGATTAATTTTAATCTCCTGTCCGTTAATTTTTGAAATTAATCTATTCATTATGTAAAGTTCGCTCTTTCCAATGGTTCCTCATGATATTTTCATGGGGATTGTATCTCATTACCATTGATATTATCATGTATATACATTTTGAATTTTTACACAATTTCTATGCGCTCGATTTTATTGCAAATATCAATCGCAATATATGTATTGCAATATAAATTGTTATATAATATTATATATAATATTTTCTAACTATATAGAATATTTTCATCCGTGATTTTTTTTGTGTAACATTAAAAATTGATAGTCATGTGTTTTCCATTGATTCCACGTAAAATAGTCGATGAATAGCACGTATCGAAATTTTTTACAATGTATCAATACACGTGTTATTATGTCCAAACTAAATAATCAAAATCAAAGATATATATATATTTATATATATCTACAATTGTTTGTACAAGCTTATGCTGTGTTTTAATTGCAAAAATGCTTGAATCATAATTGAAAAGAATTAGAATCGTCTAACCAAACATTGAATGTATAGTAAAATTTTGTGTTGTAAGATAATATCTGCTAGTTTGATGTTAATTTAATTTTTTCCCGCAGAATGGAAAAATAATTCATTCTATTGCGGTGAGAATTTAAGTGTTTGGCGCGTAGAAACGAAGAAAAAAAATTATAAATCAGCGCGCAATGCGCTCCTATAAAGCATTCTAAGATCAACCAAGATGTACGCGTATGTTTGATAAAACGCAATTACGATTTGTGTAATTACAACACGAATCTCTTATACATTTTTATGTAACAAATGCTAAAGCGCATAACGATAGGGAAAAGTGACAAAATGTAAGGCACGCTACATTCTTGTTATCGCATTTAAATAAATTGTACAAATAACAGAGCTTATATACACATATTAAATACAGGTCGACATACCAATTTTTATAACCGATTATGGAAGAAGTGGCCGTTCTTTTGGAAAGGAATTCTAATAAACGACCGTTGAGTCAAGAATTAAATATCATTTATTATTTTATCACATTCTCAATTAACTACCATATAAACAATGTTCACATATACCATTTCTTATCATTGTCACGCCTTCTTAAATTGAATTCAATTTTATTAACAAAATATTTCTCGATACATTACGAACTTATACGCGCTTCTACAAAATAAAACGTAAATTAATGCGGTACATCGCTTGTATAAGTCAAAGCAAATTCAATGACTTCGATCACTGTCAAAGGAAAAAAAATCATTGTGCTCGCCAGTAACGAATGTACACGCGTCAAAAGACCTAAAGTACAAATGAGAAATATAACAAACCCACCCGTAACTACTGTCCCAAGTTTCATTGTTGGTGATAATAGCGGACAGTCTTTCTAAAGTGTATATTGTATACGACGATACCCTCTGTTTGTTTTCTAATTAGAGAAGCAACTTGTACAAAAATAGCGCCCTGCTTTGTGCAATCACATGATCACGCATACTCGACAACTAAATAAGTCACATAAATAAAATAAATCGCACGTACAATGCGCCATTCGCTGTAATATTTATGTCTATCTCTCAAAATATCTATATCAATCGTTAATTCTCCATAGGACCCATCGTTCTCCTTTTTCTTAAAAGGAACCAGCCCCACCTCCGGCGAAAGAATCCGTAATGGAAAACAATATCTTTAAGCAGTGATATCTTGAATAACATTTCGAACGGGATATTTTCTCTCTTTCGCATCCGAGTTTTCGAATATGTGCTCTTTCAGACGTAGGCCACAATATGTGAAAAGAACGTGTGTCATGGTACAGAGCTAAAGCTTTCGAGTCACAAGAGAGCCTGACAGGACAGCGTTGAGATGCGTCAACATCGCCGAATCGAGTGTAACAAAGAGCGTAATAAGCTGCATCATCCCACATCACCGAAAGGACATCGTAAACATTGGCACATTTTAAACTATTTTATTTTATTTAATTCTGATAATTCTTCACGACCGGTGTAACGGCCGTAAATCGTCTCAATTATCATATTTATTACAGTATAGCGTTGTCTTTTTTTTTTTTTTCTGTACCTTCTGTAACTTTGCAATAATAAGACGGCGAAAATTGTCTCCGGGATGCGATTATTGAACTCCGTGTGTTTGCGTTTCCTAGCGTAACGACCGCAAAAGCCTTGTACAATCAGAAAAAATACAGTAGGAAGATATTAGTAGTCGTGTTGCGCGCCGCATTACAGGAACGGTACAACGCTCGCCTTCTAGATAATGATCGAAATGCCTCATTAATAATGATATACACAGATGTCAAAGAATCCCGCAATCGAGGTAAGCCCTGGGACTTCCGACACCATCCTGTACACCACGACGCTACTTCTGTCGTTTTTTTTTTATTCTCGTTCTCGCTCTATGCAGTCAAAGTGGCCTTTACATATTTTTTTTTTTTTTAGATGAGATTGCACTAACAATTCGTTCTCGTCGCTACTTAAAATCAGCTTATCTTTACATCACATTTACAGTGTTCCTGCCGATATGTGTTTGTTCACGTGGCACGGTATTTTGAATACAAGCTAAAGCTCCGTTTTTTTTAGATCTCTTTTTAGAATTTTCATCGCAGAACCATCACAACGCGTTTCGTTTTTTTTTTATTATTAGCGTAAAACGAATGTTTTCTAGCGACTCTCTCTTATTAGATGACATGATGTTGATTACATGCGAAGCACTTCAGCATCGGAATCGAAAGAACGCAGGTATGTGTAGTTACTCGAGCGACTATTAATGCAAATTACACATGTTAAAATAGCGTTCCGCCTACTGTATTAATCTACTGTATTAATGAAACAAACACCTACAACGCGTCCACAATCCCACGCCCGCGCACTAAGCGTATGAATAATTGCGGACTATTGTGTGTACATTTCTCTTATAAGTACATCGACTTGAGCACTTGAAACCGCTATGAGCTTCGATCAAAGAAATTCGCGCAACGCAACAGATATATTTGAACACGTTCTATAATAAGCACCCACTAAAGTTTCCCCACTAATGGCACGTATGGTGATGTACCATCATCATGTCATCCAAGGCACTTCAGAAGTCAGTTTACACAATGAAAGACACCAATAATAGCGTGTTTAGCGTACCGGAGGTACTTAGACAAGCGTATAATTAACGGTATAATCGTACAGTTATTCACTTTATGCGTTTTTTATCGCACCAGGTGACGTTATTCTACGGCCGTGAGATAGTGTCCGTCGTTATAGAATTCAGGGCTGCGATCGAGAACATTTAAAACTTTACACGAAGTAAAAATTCTTGATATGAAGTTCAAATTCAAGTTTTTTTTTTTTTCATGGCGTTCTAATAGGCTTTTTTCTTCTTTTTTTACAAAAAGCTACACCTTAAACGTCGACGTTGAGATCTTCTTAATGGCTCATCGAGCAAGATTCACTAGAGCGATGTTCTCCAACGCATCCCCAAAGTAGTTCATCGCATCGGTTTTAGCACACCCCTCTTTATAATATTCCCTTACATTGAGAAGTGCCCGCTGTACGGACGGATGCCTAACATGATAATGCCAAGAGATTATTATTATTATTATTATGTAAGAGATTATTATATATGTATATAGTTTTTAATTCCGAGAGAGAGAGAGAAAGAGAGAATACACTGCAACAACAGGGATGCCCGCTCGATGAAGCGTAGTTAGCGTTTTTTTTTCTTCGCTCGCAGTTTTTTGGTGCTCGAATCCCTTAACAAGAGCCATATGTTCCAAGTGTTCTACTTCCAGCTAGCTACGTAACACAGAAATCGCTAGTCGGTCTCTGAATTTACTCGTGGATATGTCTTACGAAGGATAGCTCAGCTTCGCGATCAGACAACGGACGTTGTCCGGTCGCACGCTTCATCATACTTGTCCCAATCTACCAAACTTGTGTCTACAATATTCGTTCCAGCAATCAGTCACACATTTCGTAACGAGCACGCGTCCAAAATGCATTTTGATTAAGGCGTGATTTACAAGCTTCAATAAAGATTGAAGGAAACTGTAGGAAACTCGTCCCAACTCAAATTACACGCAGCTGTACATTTTCATATCTCACACGACAAAGATCTTCAATTCTACCAGTCTTGATACGAATTATCATTGCGAAAACGTAGTTTCATTACAGTTTCGCGCTGACGTCGCATGAAAAGGATGAAAACGTGATAAACAAGTCAGAAGATTAAGTAACATTTTTTTTTTCTTTCATTTCTCGTTGATTCATTAAAGATTTGAACATTGCACTGCGTATAAATTAATATTCGAGATTAATGAATTAATTACAAATTTGCTGCTTGCGCTTTAATTCCTAATCGCAAACTAAAATTCAATATATTAAAATATCAAGAATTTTTTATCAATTTTGCTAAATATATGTAATATTTGTTGAAAAACAATAAGATCACACAGGTTTGATTTACGCGTTCAACAATCGGATAGAATGAAAAACGATAAAGCGGTACAAACATAAAAAATGGTTAGCTCGGTTCTCAATTATCTAGTGTGCTTTTACCGTACAATATTCCGCATATGGCATCTTCCAATTATAAAAAATAATATCATAGCGTCTCTTTCAAAAGAAAAAGAGATATATATGCTATCGATACCAATGCTTTAAAACATGGCGAATTATTTTGAGGTATAGTAAAGTAACGCAGCAATATAACGTTTTCACGCACGCGGAAATAATCATCGATCTCTACGTTAATAACTTTACAGAAATTTGTTTCTCATGTCCGTATCTTAAAATCAGGCACGCAAGATAGCCTATTGCGAGTTTAGACGTGAATTTGTGCATTATATACACTTTACATTCCGTAGAAATAGAAGTGATAGTGCGGTAATATTCAATGTTAGCAGAGAATAATGTACATGTATGTATTTAGATATCAAGCTAGCTCAGCGAATCCTATTTCGGACTCCATGTTAATATAGTAATATCACTATGTATATGGTAGAGAGAAGAGAAGAGTATACATACATACAAGATACGTGTTGCATAAGATATAGCACATTGTACAAGTGTTCGCTCTATGCAAGCATTTTTACACAATATCTCAGTTACCAAAAAAAAAAAAGGATAAAAGTACGTCGTTAATAAAAAAAAAGAAGAGAAAAACAGATCTCAAGCTACGTCTCTGTGCACTAAGCGACCTCTCAATAACGGCTGCGTTTTGGTGATATAGGTTTCCGCGGATCAATCGGAAAGTAAATCCGACTTGTGTGTAAACAGATAGGGAGTATCTCTCTATCGTTCTGAGATTACGGCGAGCGAGGATCAAATTACGTAGGAACCGTAGTATGGAATCGTATTCGTCCGTGTCTAACGGCATAGGTCTCTATATTGCACAGAATTGTATCAAATAGCCGCGCTACTTATTACACCGAACTTTACAAAATATAAAAACTTGTCGTTGTACTGTGTTCACATAATATTTATGTATATATATTTATATATATATATATATTTCATTATATAGTAGAGCGGAGACTCGACTTCTAACAAAGTGCGCAAACATGATAGCGGCACGCAATTTTCAAGTCTTATCTCTAGAGACGCAAATTCGCCTTTTGTTGCATCAGATCGACGCGAAACGTATTCTGCGAACTGTCTACGACCCTACTGCTTATGCGTGTGTAACACAGGAAACGTCGTACAATCATAAGAATAAAGCCTGCGAACGTAACTGCCGTACTGTCGTAAAAGAAGGTACGAGAGTCGTATTGTATCACGCGGGCCCGCCAAAGCAAATTGTCGGCTCACGCTTTTCGATGGTGACCGTGTAATTTGTGTATAATGTGTGTAATGTGTGTGTGCGTAGTGTGTGTATGTGTATGTGTACGTGTACGTGTGCGTGTGTCACCAGCGTGAAGCAAATTGCCTCTAATTTATTCCCGTCGCTCGGAAGCGACGGTTGCATCACGCGGTGATACGGACCCGATTGTCGTACGTCGCGTCTCGCGCGCGCACGAGAGAAAACTCCGGCGGAAGTTTGGATTCAGCTCTTCTTATGCTTCCGTTGCTTCCTAAGTTGCGACACATTGTTCCGAAAGAGAGCGGCTGACAGAGCGGTGCGTGCGCTGCCCCACAGCATGAAGCGTTTCTTGCGCAGGTATAGCGACGGCGGGTGATCGGCGGATGTGATCGGAATGAAGTGAGGAGTGAGATTCGTAACCATCAAGCCCGACACGGTGAGCGTTGCTTGCTCGCGCATCTGCTTCAGTTGCTGAGATTGCTCGAGGGCGGCCCGAGCGGCCCCGTATGCTGATTGTAGCCGATTTGCGATTGCTCTCGATATTGCGTGGGGTTGCCGCTGGAGGGGCCGGTCGTGCCTGTGCCCTCCTGCTGTTGCTGCTGCTGCTGCTGCTGCTGCTGCTGACCGCTGTTCAATGCCAACCGTTGCATCTGACGTATGACCGTGGCTGCGTGATACGCTTGCTGCAACCATGAGACAAGAGGAAGACATTCCTACAGCGCCTGGTGGGCAAAGACACAGAGACGATTAATGTCATGCTCATCAGCCGACGATACCAACCTTCCATCTTGATTTGGCAAAGTTCTTTTTAAGTTGTTCCGATACAGTACCGTGGATGTTCTTATTGCTAGCCGCGTTGCCGGATATCCTGCAAGTATTAACGTCAAATAGTTACATTTCGGAGTTTGGATTTTAGTCAGCGATACCCCTCGCATGAATTAATTAGCGTAAAACCAGAGAATAAATGAAAGTATTTTATAAAATAAATGCTCGATGCGTGACAACAAACACACGTGACGCGTCGTTAACGATGCAATTTATAACCGTTTGTCATTTATATTTCAGTAAACTGCATGATCGTTAGATAATTGAGCATGTGGTCATTCATTTTATTAATCATGAACATTGAATTATCGTGACTCTTGAACACAGACGCAGATGAAAAGTGCTTTCAAGTAATGCATGTTATCTACTTACTTAGTCCGTACATATCTTATTTTAAACGGACAAATCGGTTCTGAGCAACAGGACAAATACGACTCTGAGCTACAGAAATACATTGGAGCTTTAAAGCTTTCCTCGCACACACGTGCTATTATACATTTATAAAGTAACACGCCTGTTGCAGATTCACATTTAGGAATTTACGTTAATAACACAAATAAATGCAAATCCGTGTAATTATCATTTATCGCGGGACTCTGAAGGATCTCTTACCAGGGATGTGCGAGGGCCTGTTTGCAGGTGTAGCGCTCCTCGACATTCACGCACATCAGTTTGTGAATGAAGTCCTTTGCGGAATCGCTGATATCATCCCAGTACGGTGAATCAAATTCAAATTCACCTACAACAGTCTGGTTAGCTCTTTGCTATAGAGTACACAATTTCATTATAAATTAATTCGATCAAAGCACTCGCGATGTGAATATCAATATTCGCGCGAAATCACATTCTGAACCCGGCGAGTGCTCTAATGTGCGAAAATCTAAATGGAAAACACGATTACTTATTATATACTCTTATCTTTCCACTTCTGACGATACCATTATTTCGGATTGCGAATATTAACATCGTGCTACAACACCAGCGCGTACTGTAGATATAAAAGATTTAAGATAACGCTTTTCACAAATGTAATTTTAAATTAATTACACCGCGCTGGTTGATTCTAAGAATCAAGTGAACTAGAACGAGCCCCACCTTGTCGCGCGCGCAAAACACCGCTTGGAAAAATCACTTTATTACCTTTCAGAATTTGTGCGAACAAATTGGCGTCATTTTCATCGTAGAACGGCGGATATCCGCACAGAAGGATGTACGAGATGACTCCTATACTCCAAACGTCCACCGCTTTGCCGTATGGTTTCTGCGCAAGAACCTCGGGTGCTGCAAAACCATCGAAATAGTTCACGTTTGATCGTCGATGCTTGAAATCCGTATCTCTTTTTTTTCTCTCCCCCATTCTTTTTTATCCACTCACCGACGTATCCCGGCGTGCCGCAAGCGGTTGCCATAATACCGGAATCTTCCATTTTTGATAGGCCGAAATCGCTGATCATAATCTTACTGTCCTCGTCCGGACTGTAATACAGGAGATTTTCCGGTTTGAGATCCCTGTGAACGACGCCCTGCTCGTGCATGTAGTCGACCGCCTCAAGTACTTGTCTTATCAAACCGGACGCATCCTTCTCCGTGTACGAGCCCTTCTCCACGATCCTGTCGAACAACTCTCCGCCGGTGACCCTGGCGTAATTCAGAGAACGTTTACCTTCAATATCTCGAATATCCACATTCAACATTTGCCGTGTCGAGGAAAATATGCATAACAACTCACAACTCCATAACCAAGTAGACTTTATGCTTATCCTCGAATGTCTCCAGCAACTGAACGATGTTGGGATGTGTTAACCTGAAACAATATCATATATTTGTTTCAAATTTAAAGTCGTATGTCGCACGCGTGGCGAGAATCGATTCGATGATTATTAATGCCGTATATTACAATAATCTGCGTGTATGATCGCATAAGTAAACCCCGTTATACATTGTTTACTCTGTAATTATCACACGTACTTCTTGAAAAGTACATAAAAGATAAAAGTTAATCGGAGAGCAAGCATGTTTGACAAGCTCAATTTATATCATAGATACTGGTAATGCACGTACCATATATTACTTGGAAAAATTTTGGACATTGACTCCTTTTCTACCAAGATATATTATTCGAAAAGAATATTGAATTTCACAAATATATTGCTTATTCCAACTAATTGCACTTTTATATATTTATAATACTTATGTACATTCACAATCTTAGAATTGTCAAAAAAACTGATATATATATTAAATAACATTAAGCAACGATGCAAAATTAACTCAATTGTTAAAGACAGCTGCATAATATATTAATAAAACATGCTCTACGGTTTTCTAAAGTTTTATCTTACACTCGATACACAAATTGTTAATTAAATATAGACAATCACATTCACATAGAAAGAGATAACTATTTACAAAATATTTCTCAGCAGCGATAAAGCAATATCTACTAAATATGTACAAGGATTTGAAAAAGAAAGCATCACCAACTGTATCAACTAAATATAAAATATAAAGGGGAAGTTGCTCTTTTCATTTGTGCTATTATCTCGTAATAACTTTGCGCAGCGGTGACCTTCGATTTAGCTTAGTCGAAAATTATTTCCTTACAGAGCTTGAAAACTTACTTCATTATCCCTTGTACATATTTCATGTTACACTACCTCGAGAAAATATGTTCATTAAGCAGCCTGCTCGTTAGAGATATAAGATATAAGTCTTTTTATAGCATAATTGAGCAAATCTGTCGCGTTTCAAGTTGCTAAGAGCACTAGAACAACATCGTGTCGCATGAGTCAACATGTAAATATGTGCAAGTTTTTTCACATGTAAAAAAATGGAATATATGAATGTAAAGTATTTATGTTATTATGTAAGGTAGGTATACTCCTCCTTCACATAAAACGCAATGGGTTTCTCTGCGATCTACTTGTGATTTTCTTCCTTCTAGCAAATATATATTTTTTAACGATAAAATTACGATTATATAATTAAAAAAATATTTGTCTTGCATAAGTAAATGAGTAGTGTTAAATTTATAATGAATTATTGTCTTATTTACTTCCAACTTGTAATTACAAGTATCAGTCAGAGAGAAAAAAAAATTCTTCCAATGCATCAAGCAATATCTAATTAACGCTGATAGAAAGAAGAACATGATACGTTTTCAAGAATAAACGAATTTAATATTCCAGCTCGCAGATTCTGATTTCTTAAGAAAAGAATCGTACATCTCTATTCGCTGATATAATAAAAATAAATCTTGAAATATATATAAAAAAACAATAAAAAAGATCCCAATTAATATTTTTTGGAAAACGACATTTATGAAGCTTGAAAAATAAAAATTATATAATATAGTTTAATATAAAAAAAGAATAGAGTGATAACACAGTCGAATGAATATATCACACTTCTCCCTAATTTGTTCTGCACATTATTATCACAAACCACGTTTTTGTCCGTCTGTACAAGTATATTATACATATTATTAAAAAAAACGCGTTTTATCATACATAAAATAACACAGTTTTGGATTCAAATTTAAAATAGCAGCATGTCAGCATGGATATATTATACAATTTTTGTTCTAAATATTTTGTATTATAAACGCGTAATATTCAATTATTGCAAAATATACTTTACACAAGTCTAATCAGAATAAATCTTCGGTACTTCCCGATTATCGTGTCCAATAAAAATTCCCCATAAATTACACAGTTATACCGGTAATATCAATAATAATATCTCGTTATCAACATCGTCGTAAACGCGTTATCACTTTATTCTGAATGACTTTATCGAAACTATCAAACTTTACTACCAAACGATTACATCCCAAGTCTTATCGTAAATTGGTTTTCACTCTGTGATTAGTGCATTATATATTATCTAACGGCTGTCGTCAAATTTATTATCTCAAGTTTACATCGTGTTCTCGCTTGAATAGTTACTCACTTCATGATATAATTATAAGCATAAAAATTGCAGATACAGTAGATGTAAGAAGGAAATATTTTAGTATCCCGTCTCCTTCCTCCGGATGACTTTGTACAAAGGAGAAAAAATATATTGCTACACGAAGTTCTTCATTGAAATAAGAGCAGTGTAACATGATAAAAATACTTTGTGACAATATTTTTCTTTTTCGTGTAAAATTACGGCAAAAAGATGGGATGCGCAAATACTTGTTCCTCTTTTTTTTTCGACTGCTCGCAGCAGATTTATAGCTTAGTGAAAGGTGTCAAGTACAAAGATACCAAAACTGTGTTGAACGTAAATCGCTACGTTGTGATGAACGTGCACAAATCGTGCATCGTGTTTATACAATATAAATATACAATATATATATACATATATATATATATATATATATACATATATAAATATATGATTTGAAACTGTAAAAATGTATGGCATCGTCGAGTGATACAGAATATACTGAAAGAGTAGTACAGGTAGCTGGTGCCCATATCCTGGGGCCCACACTTACCATCTCTTTTCGCCACTACTATCCGACTTGAACGATCCGCCACCACTCTGTGGTGTCACACTTTCACTGAACCTACGAAGTATAATAAAAATACCATACACAATTACGTAATATATATATCGAGAGCAGCTGATCGCGCTTACTCGTGTCAAGTTTCTGGAAATTCTTTAACTCTTTAGTCTTTACCGTTTTCGTTTCGTCTTATCTTTATGTTTATCGACGACTCCGCTTCCCCAGTGGCGGTGTAAATAATGGATTTACATAATAAATTCATAATTACAGACATGGTGCAACAAAGTATGTGTCAGGTTTGTTGTAGAGAGTGAAAAAACAGTAATGAAAATAGATGTACCAATGTTACTGAATTCCCATATATATATATATATATATATATATCGCATGCAGTGTTTTCACAAAATTTAAAAAGGTAATATAGAACCCGACACACATTTATCTATATGTTAATCATATTACGATGGAAATTTTATCCCATTTAAGTGAAAATATCAGCCTCGCCGCTTTAATGTATGCTACATGGTTTAGCGATACTGGTGCGATTAACGTGATGTATAGAACAAGTTTTCAATTATAAGACTCTGAGAGCGATACATAGCGCGCGCGCGCGCGCATATTGTGTGTTGTGTGTAATGTAGCACCTTGTACTCTTGCAGATCGATAAATAATAATTTGATGATACGACAGAATTTTTAAGCATCGTAAACTTTTTTTTTCTTTCTGTAACTACTGTCAAGTCTTTCAAACTAGTTGGCTATATGTAAATCACAATCAACCAGGGTAAAACGATAGAGAGAGCCCAAACGCTAATAAATATTAAAGAGTACGATTTCAACACATACGTGTATGTAGTATACAGTGTTAAAGACATTGTAAATACATATAACCAAAAAAAAAAAGAAAAAAAAGAAGAGTACACATGAGGTAAAGGATTGTATAATAGAGGATCTTTGAATCTGTGTCATATCTAGAATATGTTTAACGGTATTGAGACAATGTAGCTTATATATGAGGCACATTATTTGCATACAACATTAAATATAACAAGAGGACAGACGACAGCCATCAGAGAATTCACTCCAAATATGCCATATCACAGCCCCTCTCGGAGGAAAGATCTTCCGAGATCGTATCGCGAGCGAAAGTAGCACCATATAACCACATAGTAATACCGTATGAGTGAGGAAGCACAATGATTGTAGCTCGTAGATTAAATACTAACAACTCCTCCCGCGTAATCCGTGTTAATCGAACAGATATGGAACGATTTGTGATGTCCCACAAAAAAAAAAGGAAAAATACGGCGTATCAAATTCTAAAAAGCGAGACTCGAATGTTCCATGATACTTTCAGCCTTACAGTAGCGGTGTTATGATAGATGAATTTATTATCTGATTGTATGCAGAGCTATATAAGGGGAATACGATACTCAAAGAATAAAACGACTCTTACAGATGAAGCGTTTGTCAAAGAGAAACATGCGGTATCGATTTCCAGCGATAATAGAACTGGTACTCAAATCAGCCGATTATTTCGGTCTTCGAAATGCCTAATTATTAAGGAGCAACTATGTCAGAACGAAAGATTGCAATACCGGGAAAGAATTTGTCTACTGATAATACGTCCAGCTCTCAGTATCGCTTTGCGCAGGACTTACCTTCGCAGGACTTTGATTTCATTTTCTAGAGAGTCCTCCTTTCCCTTTAGCGCCTTCTTGTCAATGATCTTCACGGCAAACATTTGGCCGGGCTTCTCTTTGCTCTCCGCCAACCTCACTTCAGAGAATGCTCCCCTAAATAAAGGAAAATACGATATTTAGAACATAATTGATTCGAGAGCAAATTTACTCACAATTAAAGATCGCATATTTTCTTAGACGATACCATTATTCGTAAATTAATAATGAACTAATGTTTGTTTTTTATTAATAGATCGACAATGTGAATGATCCGGTTCCGACCAGTTATAAAACAGACTTTGCAATGGTGCGAATAATTAACTATGTCACAATTATCATGTAAAACGCGTGTTCGAACATTTCAACAGATGCATTATGAAACGTGCAGAATGCATTATAAAAGATGTATCATACATCAAGGTAACAGTACATTGTTTTACATAAAACTTGCAAGTAAATAAAAAAAGTGTTAAACTATCGTTATATAATTATGTAAGAGGAATTTTATAGAGAAAAAAATTGCATACCTCTATAAATAGATAAAACTTTCTCCTTCACAAACTCTTACAAAAAGTGTCATTATACAATCAGTTCCATGGGTTAATAATACATTCCACAATTCTTGACACTTATTGAGATATTAATTGGCTCCTGAGCAAGCAGAAATATCCGGCTTAATAAAAAAAAATTAATGTAGTCATCTAAACATTAAGCAAATTTTGTTCCAATGGCTAGATCGCACAATGTTCGCAATATATTCTGTTACATAAACGGCACGATAATTCATTGACAAATAGTATTGATAGTGTTATTTATAGATATTTGTGTCAGGGATCCTAAATTTTTTTTCGAAAAAGCAAATATAGATAACCGTAGAGAAAACTAGAGAAATGCTCGTGACGGATATTAAACGGAATTTTCTGAATTGATTCTAATTTAGCCAATCGACAAGCTTAATTGAAAAGTATTGCAATACGATAAAATCAAACCGAACGATGAAATTTAATTTTTCAGTCGTTAAAAAGAATAAGCGCGTAATAAATATAAAATGAAATAATAAAAAATGTGTGATAATACAGATGATACGTCAAACATAAATTTGCATCTCTTGCATTTTTCAAAATCTCATAAACCTGATGTCAATAAACGCGACGTGACGCTAAGATGGAGCACTTCGAGAAATCTTTAAGAAAGCAATCACAAAGTGTCGTTACGAACGCACATTCATTACATTTTAACGGGTTTTAATGCATACTAAGTGACATATTTCTCGCAAAACGGAACACACACGCAAAAGTTTCCGCGCGTGGAATATTCCGAAAAGCGATTCTATATCGCGCGGAGAGAAAGTTATGTCGCATTAATGCGCGCACACACGCGTGCGCCACAAAGAAAAAAAAAAGATTAAATAGCGGACATTTCCATTTATGCAATCCATTTAGCACGAGGCGCCTCGGCGTTTTATACGTAAACGAAAGAAACTAGACGCTACGTGCCCCGAAGGCCACGGAAGACGTGTCTGTACAGGGTGTCCAAAAGTCGCCGGATATCTTTTCAATCACCGGCTCCTCAATTCAGAATCAATTTCTCCTTATCGAGAGCATCGAGGCAGGTCATTTCCAGGAATTCTCTGATTTACACATCTCTACTTTATCGTTTGATTTTATCAAATCTGAAATTAAAACTGCGAAAATATCATTTAAAATCGTGTAAAGAGAGTCAATTTAAAATTCGCTTAAAATTAACATTAAGATTTTTCCTATTTGCTCCTTTTTTTGGAGTTGAAATTCACGAAAAACGCTTTCTGAAAGCGTTTAATTTCGCTAAAAATACTATCGAGATCCGACGTTTTCGTTCGTGAAAAATGTAAGAAGCTGCGGTTGAAAGAACGCATGCGGCGGTTTGAGAACATCCTGTATTCATACCCGCCATACGAATTTCGTCCCGACGGATTTAATGCGAGTAGATCATCCCGGAAGCTTGCGCGAAATGCATACTAATATCGCGTTCCCGCAGCTGAAAGGAATAACCGATATAAGAGAGGAGTCCTCGCTCGCGCGAGGAAGATAAAAGTAAAAAGAGAGAATAATATGTCGCGTCATTTCGCATTTCGCAGATTTTAAATGATACTAGTTTGCTAAACTGGTTTGGCAGCGCCGCATATTTTTCTGGCGGATATTTTCTACTTTCAATGTGACTCGCTTTCGTATCAATGTAAGAAATTCCCTGATGATGTCATGCATTTTTAGTGTAATAAAAAAAATTTTCATCAATATTCTTTGATCTTACTATTATATAACATTGCCATAGGCAATCTGTTACACACAAATCGGGATGTCACGTATACGCGACGCGTGGCAGCGAAAGTGTTAAAAGCTAAACGCTTAATCGATCTCACGGAGTGATATAGAGCGAATTGTTGCTTATATTGTCATGTAACATCACATTGTTATGCAAACGAATGCAGAAATGCAGTGAAAGTGAAATTAATGACTATTTATAATATTATATAAGCTAGAGCTGATCGAAAAGAGTTTATCGCGCAAAGATGTGTATACGCGCAGCTTTAAAGATAGCCGTTTATCGAAAATGTAAGCGTAAGAGGAAAAAAAAAAAGAAATCAGTTCAGCGCTACTTCGTATTATTCATGTTTATGCAATTTACGTTCGCGTCTCTTGAATATAAGTGGACTCTCGTAATGACATATTTTCCGGAACGCTGCGTATCGAGATTTCCATCCGTCATAAGTCTTTAATCCACGATGATAAATGTAAGTGCACGATTAAGTCGGAAATTGGATATCCGTTAAAGCGCTATATCAAATTAATCGGTGAAAAGAATCGCGTTTTATCCAGCGACGTTTAATCCGGTGAATTCCCCGGTTATCGCTAAACGTCCATCCGGGTTCAATAATTTATACCGACAATTCAATTGTCGAAAATATTTACGAGATAATTCGGCATTTATCACGGCACACAAACATGTGTCGGAGCGTGTTCCCTTAATTACGCGCCGAGAAATCTCGACGACCGTATGCCATGCAAACGGGACGACTTACGTGCCCAGCAGGTCCTTCATGATGTACTTGTCCTCGACGGACGGCGATCGGTCGTCCTTGCCGTCCTTTTTGATCTTCTTGTTCGAGTCTTTCTTGCCGAAGAGCGGCATCTTGTCCCGCTTGTCTCGAACTCGTGCAAGCAGTATAAAACTTCTTTGTGCACGTATCTGTCACAAACAGCACACGCTCGCTTATCGTCTCCGCGTAATTTATACTTTGGACGCGGTGACTTGGTGTTGGCCGTATTTTTTACACCGAAATTACAACAGGTCCTCTGTCACGACTCCAACAACGGTGTGCGCACCAATCGCCGACGGCCGATGATCGACACTTGTCGTCGTCCTCCGGCGTACTGAGCGAGATACCGTTGCGTTGCCGCGTCAGACGCGCTGCCAGATCGTCATTCTCCGACGATAACGACGGGCGATCATGAACCCGCGACCTTTCGGATCGCGCAGATCGGCCCGCTATAGCCCGGTTCGCGCGCGCTCTTCCTGCCGGCCGTCGTCCGCGACCGTCGCCTGCGAGTGTCTCCGTCCTGTTTCTCGGGCACCTATGGATTAATGAAACGCGTGAACGTATCGTCTAGCTCGCTCGCTCGTAAATGCTGGATCGCACAATCTGTCCGTCCGTCCGCCACTCCGCGCCACTAACTGCTTAACGCTTACCGTCTTCCTTCGCTATCGTTCTGCTATCGTTCACCACCACTACGTCCGCGCGGAGCTGTGCACGCGCTTCGTATCGGGCTCAGGGTCGCGGCCTCGTCTGACAGCTCACGTTCCTGCCTCGCCGCTCGCGCCAAAGCAGCCAGCAGTCGCGGCGTGTGTAATCACTCCCGCCGCTTCTTTTATTATCGCGCCGTCGCCGCGTCGTCGCTCTCCGTTGCTCCTCGTTGCATTACGTGCCCGGGCCAGCTGCGGGTCATAATGTCAAAGGCACACTTGCACTGCGGCGTACACATCCGATCGGTCGGATGACAAGTCAATGACAAGTGTGACAACGCTTGCAGAGGGTTGCAACATGCGTTCAGCGATTCACAGACGTCATTTTACATCCATGGATTTGACATTCGCGTCATCGCCAGTGCTGCCAACCGATGAGCCGATCCCGGGCTCTCCCTGTTTTGCGCAAGTGCAACTGTAATTGCCTACATTCAAGTGAAACAAAAACACCGTTTAATTCATATTATATTTCATTATATATTACTTATATCGTTAAGCCATTTAATATGAATGTAATGTAATATGAATGTAATGCTTGATATGTGTATTAAAAAATTTCTATAAACAAGACAATGCACAACGAAATAGTCAGATCTGCATTTAAATAAAATAGCGAAATAAAGTTGAGCTCTGCGACGTAAAAGCTGCTTGTTCGTGTTTCATAACAAATATTATACTTACTTAAAACTTTCTAATATCCGGACTATTCAAATGTTTAGGTATGACGATGAATCAATCATGATGAATTGAAACTTGTTGAACTGTACTGAAAACTCGAATGTTTCTCTTTCAAGTTATTCGATCGCCTTTCAACTATTCGCTACCATGATCGTCGTTTCACATTTGTTTGAAACTAATGTTTTAGCCTTGATTATCTTACCTATCTTCTTAATTATCATATCTTTGTCCGTGAAACTTTCGTACATGACTTTTCTCACATATATGTGGTTATATCTTGTTACATAGCTGCGCATGCCTGAAAAAAACAAGCTGACACTACAGCGCACGTGAAGGATTGAAGCAATATCACGCTGTTCAATCGCTATTTACTATTGATGGTTATGTAGTTACGACTTTGTTTAATTTATTACTGAATTGATTGACAAAATGGTTTACAATAATAAACACAAGATTATTTTGCAAACAATAATCAATGAAGGCGCTTTGAGTGAAAAATGTGGCAAGAAATTGGTTAAACAGTTATTTGGTATGTAAAGTTGATGTAAATAACAACATGGGACAAGTATAAAACTTTGTATACGATCGTGCGAAATATATAGAAATCAGATTAAAGTTTTAATTTGTTGATTAATTTTAGATCATGATAGAACAGGGCTAATACTAAACGAAATAAATAAAAAGTTGCAACCATTGTATATGACCATAAAATGTACAAATTGCGAAGTTACTGGTGAGCTATATTGGGTTTTTGCAAGTACATTGCAAGATAAAACTGCTAGGTAATACCTATTTAACTATCATTAACTAAAACAAATGTATTTTATTGCAAATCGCAGATTGTGTTAATGTTTATTTCATTTTAGCTACCATCCTGAATTTTCACAAGCTCAATTAACTCTTTTGCGTAACATATATTCTGAAATTGTTACTTCTAACAATGGTTATGCATCAAGCACATGGTGTCTTAATTTATGTTCATCATTACATATCCAATTAACCAAAGCTGATGCTGAAGAATTTTTATCCGAAATAGTAAAAAAGAAATGGTTATTTTGCAAGGTACTTACATTTTTGCTTTATAATTAATTTTAACAGTATACTTTAAAGATAAACTTCAACCTTATAAAAACATCTTTCAGAATGGTAAATACTTTATGGGAGTAAGAAGTATAGCAGAGTTACTACAATATTTTAAAGACACATATGATGATAATCTTCACACTTGTGCTTTATGCAAGCAAGCACTTTTTCATGTAAGCTGTACTACAAATACGAAATACACATATATCTAAATATTATTATAAAAAAATTAATTTTACTATTACAGGGTGAGAAATGTGAGGAATGTAATACTGCAATGCATATTCATTGCCTGAAGACTTGTGTGACAAATCAAGATGATTTACAGTGCCCCAATTGTCAAAATCCTATATCATCCAGTAATTTCTTATTCTTTTGGTCTATTAATTACATTTAAAAACTTTGTGTTTGATTAAAGCTGCATTTATTATATAAATTTGCTTTCTCAAAGTATATTCAGTACACTTTTGAATATTTGCTCAAGTTATATGTTAATTTCATCATTTTTTAAAGAATATGCTTTATGTGTAGATAATGACTCAAATACTGTAACGGATCTTGATGATACATATATGGAGACAAGTGATACTGAGATGAGAGGTTCTAGTCAGAGAAGAGCAACAAAAAGGAAACTTAAGGATTAATACATATGGCATTATTTAATTCATTCCTTACAAACAACCATTTTGGATTTAAAATAAAGACTCTGTTTATTTTTATATACAAAACTATATGTACTAAACAATACTATAATACAAATTTTATTATCCTTATTTATTATAACTTTCTTCAAACCTTTCTCTTAAATATTTAAGACCGGCCATTATATTATCTTCGTCTATACCTTGTGGCAATTCTTCGTGTTTACTTGTGTAAATGGAATTGTCACTGATGTTGTCACTGGAAGATGTAACATTATCTTCACCAGGAAGTGGAATATCACTCGCATCACATGGTAATTTATGCTGCTCAGGTGGGAGTGATTCAGAATAGCTGTATACATTTTGTGAATAATTACTAGACAAATGAGACAATGGGTATGAAATAGTTGCTTGCAGACTCTGAGATGACAATGGATTGGATAAACTTGTAGCAGGATTTGATGGTGATTTTCTTGCAGTTTCAGGCAATACATATCCTGTACTATTCTTACTGGTTACATTATATTCTGTAAGAGCGTCTTTATCAATTTGATTATTACTGTCAATATCTTTGGCAACAGGATCCGCCTCCTTACTGGTAGAATCGTTATTATCATGATTTTGCAAATTGGCATTAGATTCTCTATTGGATTCTTGATTGTTATGAATCTCTGTATTATCGAGCTCTTTATGAGTTAATTGCTCATTAACATCTTGCAAATCACTCTTGTAAAATCCAGCATTCGTGAAGTTATCATAGACAGGTCCAAATTCGCTAATTCTTTGTGTTCTACATTTATCAACCCATTCTTCTTGTGACATTACATACCAATGATTCTTTTTGCCTAAGAGTTCTCCAAATGCTTTTATCTTATCTTCATCAGTAGTCTCTTCTTCACTGACAGTGTTAGTTTTCTTGGAATTAGTAGGTTTAGGGTCCTCATTAGATCCAGTTTCCTCATTAGATATTTCTTCATCTTTTTCGACAGATTTATCATCGTCTTTATCAGTATTAATTTGGTCAGTAGAATTAATTACATATGACTTATTTTCTTGAGCTAGTTCCTCTTCAGTAAGCTCTGCTGGCAAACCTGCTCTGATTCTCTGCCTCATTCTTGCCACCTTTAATCTGTTCTGTTCCATTCTTTCTTTCAATTCCTTGACTTCTTTCATTTCCCTTTGCTTCCTCTCTGTTTCCTTCCTCAAACTTGCTAAATTTTCTTGCTGCTTTGCTCTCTCCTCTTCATCTTGCGAAAATGCGTAGTAACCAACACCATGCGTTCTTGCTTCGTCAAATAATATATCTTGATAATGTATATCGACTTTATCCGCAAGCTTTTGTGTTTGCTCCTCCCATTTTCGTCTCATAATTTCTATCTCAGGTTCTTTTTCTTGAATTGGATATTGTTCTTTGTTTTCTTCCTCTCCATCTTCATCAGTCTTTCCCTTCATTATTTCCTGCTTTATTAATTCGTCCTTCTTTTGCATATGCGGTAGATCTTCTCGCAAACATTTTCTAGTACGGCCAAAACAGTCTTTATACTCCACCCAATTTTCATCTGGTTCTATAGGATGTTCTTCATTAATTGCCTCATCTACAAATTCTTCATCAGATTCGTCTAATTTGTTCTTGAAATCGACAAGAAACTTATCATTATTATTTTTTGATTTTTTTAACCTTTCATATAATCTTGTTTTAGCTTCCAACATTAATCTTGACTTTTTATGGGCAATAATGTCCTCGGAATCTATTAATTCCTTAGTATTTTTTTTCACACCTTCTGTAGGAATCTTCTTACTCCTCTTCTTATTTAGCTGTGATGGCTTATTGATATGCTCAGTTTTTAGTTTGACCTCATTTACTTCAGCTTGCTTTCTTAACAGTTCTGCTTTGAGACCAACTAGAGATGAGTAGTTGACGTTTATCTTCTTTGTCATATTCATTGTTGGATTGTTGTCAACATTAATTGTTTTCAGTAAATATATATTACTGTTTGTAAGGAAATACACTATTTAATACAAGTTTTCCACAACAGAAATATACGACACAAAAATGTCAATGATAAATGTGTGTTTTCTTTTTCTGAAAAACAAAATAATATTAGATTGAATTGGAAAAATTGATTTGTTTAACAATCAACAGTGCACTTACATATAAATTATTTAAGAACAAATTTGACATATATATTCATCATGTGATTATAAAAACCACATTTTTTTAAGAAAACAACATTTCACAGATAAAGAAAATTGAAATATTGCATTAATAAGTAATTCTTTCAAAGTGACTGCTGATTTTGTGGTTATGTTTGGAATTTTAGCCATAAAATATTGTATATAAGATAGATAACCAACTCACATAACAAATTGTATTTATGCAATTTATTTATGTGATTGGTCATACTGCATTGCTAAAAGTGTGCAATTTTTTTCATAAAATATTATTTAACATAGAAACAAAAGCAAATTTAAATTTAAATTAAAATATAATTAAATGATTTCTGCATGCTTTGTTGTGTTGTCATTTTTTAAATGTGTATTTATGTGTATTTATTATGCAATTATGCAAGGTTGCTGAATAAACCTTAAACAAATGAAGAGCAGCCATCTTCCTCCGACACGCATCTAAACTTTCGAAAGCCACGTGACATGTTTAAAAGTCGCGAAGTCACCTAGGCGTTTTTAAATTCTCTTTTCACACTTGTTGACAAGAGTCTCGTACGATCGAACGCATTGAATCAGTCCAGTGATCATCAATCAATTGTGAATTCAAGATCACGTCCGACGTATTTGCTTTGATTAATCATAAATAAGATTCTTGAGTTAAAGGTTTTCGAAAACTCGGGTTGAAATATTGAAGAAAGGAAAGACGAAGATAAAACCGATCTTTCGAGGCATCCAATACGAGCATCCAATAGAAAAAGAACAGGTCCTTGAGGTTGTCTCAAAACGGTGGCAGTTATCGGCGGTTATCAATTCAAAAATCGACTCTCGATTACCGGAAGATTGTCGAGAGCGTAGTTGTGCCGACGTCACGTTGTTCCCCCAAGAGAGAAAACTTCGGAAGACGGTAAAGCCGGGTGAGTTAGCGCGCGCGATTTTCGTGACGAGCAAAGGAACTCTGTGTATCCGGTGGCCGCTCGGCCTTCTTCGTTCTTCTTCGCGATATCAACGGTGGTGTACACGCGGTCAGCAACAGTGGAGATAATACGCCGACGAGCCAGTCGAACATAAATGGCACCGCGTAAGCAAGCTAAACAACCAGCGGCGGAGACCGTTGTGGCCGCCGCTGACGGTAATACGACTCCGCCAAAAAAGAGGAAAATAGCCGCGAAATCAGTTGCGGAGAAACCGAAGCCAGTCAAGACAGGATCTCGAGCGACAGCAGAGAAGCCGGTGGTCGATGAATCCGCAATTTCACCTAAGAAACTACGCAGCAAGACCAAGAACACGGTCGAGGTACCGGAAAGCATTATAACGAAGAACAATACGAAGAGCAGGGCCAAAAGAGTTAACAAGCAGGCAGAGGTGGCAGAAGACAATGACACAGATGAGAAGGTCACCGAAGAGCAAGAAATCATTGAAAACAAGCAGGTAGAAAAAAAGCGCGCGGCAAACCTACGACAAAAAAGGCGGGAACGTCGAAGAAACCGGCTGCGACAAAATCAAGGGCCAAAAAGCCACAGGATGAAGCCGCAGTTGAAAACGGTGATAAGGATTTCGAGAAGGGAGATACCGGCAAGGAGAATTCTGCCAAAAGGTCGCCTTTACGACGTGGAAAAGCTGTAGAGAAGAGCGATGTACCAGCGGCAGCAAGCAAAGCAAAGTCCACTGCAAAGTCAAGGAAACGCAAGAATCCTGAGGATGCAAACAATGCTGTTACAGAGGCTGAAAGTGCGCAGATCGTCGAAAAGGATGAGGAGACAGAGCCAGAGACGGTAGCCAACAAAAAAAATCGTAGCAAGTCTAAGAAGGTAGAAACAGAAACCAGTGATGCACGTAAGCCCCTTTTAAAGCTTTCACGTCTCAGATCTCCTCTGAATGTTTTATCAGACACAAATATTGACAACAATTAACAAAGCAAATGCCAAATTTTGAACTTGTCTGAACTTGTGGTTGAAAAAACACATTAGATATTTTATACAATTTAGATTTGTGTAAAGCACTATATGAACATCATATTTATATGTATGCTTATTTATTGACTTGTATTGCAGATTTTTATTAATACCTATTAAAATAAGTGCCATAAATCTAACTTTCTAATACTATTTTATAAGTTCTTACACTGCTTGTATTTAAATGATGTTACTTCTTGCTTCATGCAGCTTTTTTCTTTGTTTAGCTAAGGTGAAGTCTAAAGGAAATAATGAAAAAACTGAGACAAAGGGGAGAAAGAAGAAAGGACAAACTGTTGCGGATGAAAAAGAAGCAATAAAGGATAAAATCACTGAAAAAGTAAATTTCATATCAGAAGCATTAGATGAAAATGGTGTAAAAGATGTTGCTTCCTCCAATCAAAGCGATAGTTCACAAGAAAATGATTATGATAAAAATAATATGAATGAAACGGAATCGATTCAAAATAAAACTTATAATCTTGATTCTTCTTAATCTTAAGATACATTGTATCAAATATAAAATGTTTAATTTTCCTTTCTTTTTAAACTTTAAAACTTTTTTTTTTTATATTTTTACAATAATAACATATTATCAATATTCAATATAATAATGTATTATCAATATTCAATGCACAGTTAACAATCCCGTATTAAACGCTCATGCTAAGAGACGTCTGTAAAAGGTTTGTTTAAAATATTATCATCTTTTTCTATTACAAGCCTTTCTAATAATTTAAACAATGTCAATCTTGTTTCATGTTTTTTATTTTTATTTGAAGAAAAGTAAGAATAAATATTTGTTTTACTATTACTAAGTAACAGTAAACTAATATTAATAAGACTTCTGATCAGATATTGAAGTCACATTGAGTCATGGCCTCTGTCAGATCAGATATAATGTATCTTCAGGTAAAGAAGATGGATACATTTTTGGATACATGTTTTAAATAAGCTTGTAAAAATTCCATATGGAAATTGGAAAGAAACATTTTATACTTGATTAATCGACACATAAAGAACTGTGCCATTTGTGAGATATAACCAATATTTTAATATATTTATAGTGAAACACGGTGTAAACGATCAGTCCTGTAAGATTTCTGCTCCGACATTGTAAGATCTTTAAGTCTTAATAATGTTCTAAAAGAGATATTTATTTTTTCTTTCTCTTCAAAAGAAAGTAAGGAATATATGAAAAGAAAATTTACATTGTTTGAATGATTACTTATTATTATTGCGTTATATCTCACAAATGGCACAGTCCTTTATGTGTTGATTAATCAAATATAAAATGTTTCTTTTCAATTTCCATATGGAATTTTTACCAGCTTATTTAAACACAGAAAATATTTAGATATAACTCAATAACAAGTAATAATTCAAACAATGTAAATCTTTTTTTTTTTCATTATGTTCCTTATTGCCTTTTGAAGAAAAAGAAAAATAAATATCCCTCTTAGAACATTATTAAGACTTAAAGATCTTACAATGTCGGAGCAGATATCTTAAGGACTGATCATTTACACTGTGTTTCACTATAAATATATTAAAATATTGGGTTATATCTCACAAATGGCACAGTTCTTTCTATGTATCTATTAATCAAGTATAAAATGTTTTTTTTTTTTTTTTTTTTTTTTCAATTTTTATGTGGGATTTTTACAAGCTTATTTAAAACAGAAAAGATATATCCATCTTTACCTGAAGATACATTATATCTGATCTGACATTGAGGCTATAATTCAATATGACTTCAATATATGATCAGGAGCTTAGTAATATTAGTTCACTATTATTTAGTAGAATATTTATTCTTATTTTTCTTCAAACGAAAGTAAAAAACATGAAATAAAGGTTTACATTATTTGAATTATTAAAAAGGCTAGCAATAAGCAAAGATGTTACTCAAGAACATTTTGAACAGAACTATTTTTGTAGACGTCTCTCAGCATGGGCGTTTAATACTGGATTAACTGTGCTTTGCGTATTGATAATATGTAGTGCCATATAAAAACTTTGATAGAATTCATGCAAACTCTTGATTCTTATTCGGGCAACATCTGCAAAGATGTTTAAGAAGTGCTATTATATATAAATATCCGATATTTATATAATAATGTTATATAATTAATATTAAGTGCGATTAATATTAATATATTACTATTATAAAACATATCGTCATAAATATATAAAATATATCGTCATTGCGCACAAGAAATTAAATATTTAAAATGAATTGCGAGTAATGAACGAACATGCTGATTCAATTAGCATAAATATGATAAAAATCTTTTAACTGTTGCCTGTATAAGGATTAACCATGTTACATATTTTTCTAAAATGACAATAACAAGTATTTATTTTATGTACAAACATTTGTTTTTTAACGATGCAATTAATTACCTTTAATAAGAAAACATTGATTTTGCAGTTATGACGTTCAAGGAACGAGGTGATCTTAATAATGATAACAATTAGTAGTTAACGAACATTTTCCATTCTTTAGTCTAATCGTAGTTTTATTAGCTTTGATGTCTTAATAATTAATTAAGATTGTTAATTACCTTCTCAACAAGAAAACATTTGATTTTGCAGTTTTGATGTTTGTTAAATCGCAAAATCAAATGTTCTTTTTTTGATGAAAGTCGTTATTTGCATTGGTACTAAGACATAAATTGCAAATAAAACTACAGGACCAGAGAATGGTAAATGTTCGTTAACTGTTACTTAACATTATTTAGAAAATATTCTAGCTAGAAAACATTGTAACTAGTTAATAATGACAGCTCAAATATAATCTAACTGTAAAACAGAAAAAAAACAACAAATTTGTTTAATATCTTGTTTCCTGAACATCATAATTATAGAATCTAATGTTTTTTTTTATTAAAGGTAATTAACTGCATCGTTATTAAGCAAATGTTTGTACTTTATAGAAAAGACTTTTACATACATTTCAGATGAATTTTGACCATCTGCATTTTGTGCGATTAAGTATTACAAGCGTTCTGTTTAATAATACTGTAATGTATAAGGCGTTTAATGATGCAAATTACATGTTTATTTCCATAATATTGTATTTTACACTATTGCTGCCTCCAACAATGTGAAGTGTTTTTTTTTCATTTGTAATAAAATAAATTGATTTTGCGTTTATATTTGTGGTATTCTTTTTGATCTAATTTAATGTATTGTTCCTATATATTTGTGGCAATTAATTTTTATTTTATGAACATGCAATGCGTAAAGTTATATTCTTAAGACGTTTATATCTTAATTTTTATGTCGCTTTTTATATTTTCCCGCCTATTAGTCACGTGACGCTGCATACCTAATACCGGACTTACAAGTTACGATTGACGAATTTATTTCGCGATTTTTGAAAACGCACTAACGATTGTCTCGCATGAGAAATTCGGCTTTACGCTTTTATGGATAGTCTAACATCTAGAAGGTACGGAGGTGTGATACAGCGTGACGTTTATCTCCATAGCTCTTGGAAAATAGAAAACGAGAATAATTCGTGAGAATGGCAGCGATCAGTTTGTTGAATCCGAAAGCCGAATTTGCTCGATCGGCGCAGGCATTAGCGGTGAACATTTCCGCCGCTAAAGGAATTCAAGATGTGATGAGGACTAATTTGGGACCCAAAGGAACCATGAAGATGTATGTATCTAACACGCTACACGTGCTAGCTTTGTTTTTTGTCTAAGTTGAAATTGCCAATTTTTTTCGTATTTCGAATTTGTCGATCTCAAATGTATCAAAATAAGATTTGTCATCCATCCTCGAAAATTTGTCAGAATTTCGAGAAATGACGCATGTCCTATACCCGTATTATTTCCTTATTAGGTCATGGTTTGCGAATTGCCGGCCAGAAGTTATATAGCTTTCTTTCCTCGCTCAAAATATGAACAATTTATCTGCCACAATTATTACTGTCGCGTGAATGTAATATAAATAAAAGGAAAATAAACTATTATAAAATGAACTATAATATTTATGGGCAGAATTTTATAATTTAATTTAGACTTTGGTTATGAAGAAATATTTACAATCGTAAATGCTAATTTTGAATGTATTGAATTTCCAGGTTGGTTTCTGGAGCTGGTGATATAAAAATCACCAAAGATGGCAATGTGCTTCTTCATGAAATGCAAATTCAACATCCTACCGCATCCTTAATAGCGAGAGCATCCACTGCTCAAGATGATATGACTGGTGATGGTACAACCAGCACTGTGCTAGTCATTGGTGAACTTTTGAAGCAAGCTGATTTGTACATAACTGAGGGCTTGCATCCCAGAGTAATCACCGAAGGTTTTGATCTGGCACGCGCTAAAGCATTAGAAGTATTGGACTCATTGAAAATTCCGATAAAACTTACTAAGCAGGGTTTATTGGATGTCGCGAGGACATCTCTTAGAACAAAAGTTCATCATACTATAGCGGACAAATTAACCGAGATTTGCGTGGATGCTGTATTGGCCATTAAGCAAGAAGATAAAGACATAGACTTGCATATGATTGAATTAATGGAAATGCAGCATAGAACTGCGGTTGACACCACTCTGATTCGTGGTCTAGTCACTGACCATGGATCCAGGCATCCGGATATGCCAAAGAAATTAGAAAATGTGTATATTCTGACTTGTAATGTGAGTCTGGAATATGAGAAAAGTGAGGTAAATATATAATACTGAAGGATATACAAAATTCAATGAATATATGATAAAATTGACAATATTAAAAACATGATCCTGAACATTTTACAGGTGAACAGTGGATTCTTCTACAAATCGGCAGAAGAGCGTGAAAAATTAGTAGCCGCTGAACGCGTGTTTATCGATAATCGTGTGAAGAAGATTATCGACTTGAAGAAAAAGTTATGCGACGGAACAGATAAATCATTTGTCATAATAAACCAGAAAGGAATTGATCCGCAGTCTCTTGATATGCTTGCTAAAGAGAACATCATCGCTTTGCGCAGAGCCAAGCGCAGAAATATGGAGCGTTTAGCGCTCGCTTGTGGTGGCGTAGCCATGAACTCTGTTGATGATCTGAAGGAAGAACATCTGGGATGGGCTGGTCTTGTATACGAACACGTTCTGGTAATTTCTATGTTCTAATCAATATACGAGCTATCACACAGAACAGCTGATTAAAAATGCGATTTTCAAATATTTTTTTAGGGAGAAACCAAATATACCTTTGTAGAGGAGTGCAAAAAGCCAAACTCTGTGACCATTTTATTGAAGGTAATGCGACTAATTATTTATAATACTTATGTGGACATTTATTAATGTATTGATACTGCAGGGACCGAATAAGTATACATTGGAACAATTGAAAGACGCCGTGCGTGATGGACTCAGAGCTATAAAGAATGCTATCGATGATCGTGCGGTTGTCCCTGGAGCTGGAGCCTTTGAAGTTGCAGCTAGCCAAGCTCTTCAACGATACAAAGAGCAGGTAAAAGGAAAGCAACGTTTGGGAGTGCAGGCCTACGCGGAAGCTTTACTCGTCATTCCGAAGACTCTTGGTAAATATTTATAAAGCTCCAATTTTATCATTATCGTATTGCAATTACTGACATTTCTTATTTTTATTTTCAGCTGTGAACAGCGGATTTGATGTGCAAGACACGATCGTCAAGTTGTTGGAGGAAAGCAACGCTTTGGGAGAACCGGTAGGGTTGGATCTATCCACAGGAGAGGCTCTGAAACCCACAGATGCTGGCATTTATGACAATTACAACGTAAAGAAACAAATTATCAATTCCTGGTAAGATATTGCTATTAAAACATGTCGATTAATATTGAAAATTTTATATATACTATGATTTGTTGAAAAATTATTTTTTTAATTTTCAGCACGATCATCGCTAGTAATCTTCTTCTGGTTGATGAAATAATGAGAGCAGGATTATCTTCACTCAAAGGTTAAATTGCAGCTCTCCGAATTGAAAGTTTAAGTTAAACAATTTTTTTCACGAAACTAATTAAATCAGTACGAATTATCATTCGTTTTACACAATATCTGTTAACCGAATTCATCGTTTGTATCATTTTATTTTTAATACAAATATTTAATAACACGATACAATAAATTTTCATGTTGAGCTTAATAAAGAGAGTAATGCTTTTGTAAGAACTATTTCATTCACTTAATGAAGATTTATAGCACCGTTTCAACCTGAAAAATGTGGAACTATGTATGTTTAAAAGAATATAAATTTTCATAAATATATATCCAATATAAATGCTACATGTCATGTGCTTTCGTCACTAAACTTTAGAATAAAATTGTTTATAATATTGAGATTAACAATAGTTGATATACATATTTTAATAAATTTTACTTGATTATATATTAGATTTTTTTGATCTTGCGTATTTCATGAATGCAAAATCTAAATAGATTAATATGCAAGTTCTATTGCATAAGAATATATTTTTGAATTAATGGATTAAAAAATAATTGCGAATTGCTTGATTATGAAAGTTGAAAAAAAAATTAATTATATGTATTCATCTTATTTATAAAAATCAAAAATATTTATTTGAATAGGAGGAGTGTATGGTACATATATTTACACGTAGTGTCTTATAAACTAATTCCATTACAATACATAGGACGCTTGTCAGTCTTTATCTTCACAGAAAACCCTTCGGTTTGTTTTGTTTTTCGTCACTAAAGCATTAGAATAAATAATAGGATGTCAATGAAAGTTCAGTTACTGGAAATTGCAGTGTAATGTAATACTTAACTTTGACCTATTTATATTATTAATTTCTTTGTGAAATAACACATCATATAAACACAAACTAAAAATCAATTTTACACTTTGACACAACATAGGACGATGATGAAACAATTAGATATTTAAATACATAAGAGAAAAAAGCGACTGCATGATCTTTCATGCTTTTATTTTTTTCTTACATGTCATTATACTGCTATTCCAAATGAGTTAATGAATATTACACAATGTTAAGTATTTTATGAAAGGTATTAAAAATAGTCTCGCTTGATTTTACAGCAATTAATAAAACAAATCAGTTATATAGCACTAAGTTTAAATATGATTCAGTTCTAACAAATTAAGAAAAACTTTTTTCCATATATATATATAAAAGTATCACATGAAACATATAGTCGAGACGAGACAATCCAATTTAAGGTATCCTACAATTTTTTTTCTTTATTGTTTTTTAAGAATCCACAGCTGTTTAGTCGTATCACCTCATTTACTTACCGCTGTACACGTTACATTACACGACACAAGAAAGTCAGAAACAAGGAGAGATACAAATGATATTAAATATTTCAATATTAATAAAACATTTGCATTTCTTTTTCACTTCTGACATTATAAATAAGTTTTATGTATTAGAAATTGAACTAGTTTACACTGATCATTTTAACATGCATACCAAAAGTTAATCACGCGTCATATTCGTACTAAATTGACGAAAAACAATGTATAGCACGAATATAGCGCGCACTTGGCATGAATAAGGCATATAGTGTAACCTAAAATCATCGGGGTTTTTGTCTCTTTTATATATTATTGTTTCTCTAATTTTTACAACAACCTAGGCAACTAATGATCATCGAAAATCACAAAAAATCTTGAATCTACGATTCGAAATAATCTCTATTTTACAAAAAGAATAATTATTGTTAAACACGTGTTTTCTAAGATCGTATTTAAGGGTCTTTCCTAATATCTGTCAACAATACTTTTGGATTGATATTGATCAATGCAGCGAGAGTTTGACAATTTACTTTCATACTGTGTCCTCCGACCACCATGTACGTGTTGAGTTTGGCTAAATTAACGGAGCTGCTCGGCATTCCGTAATACGAAACCGGTTCGTTCTTCGACTCTTCTACCTGGGATTCTGTCTGTACATTGTGCGGCATAAAAATACCCATTGGATATCTCGGCAGCGGATTCGTGGACTTGCGAGCGACAGCTTTGAATACTCGTGGACCAGGTCTCGTATAAGAAACGGTAGATTTAGTTGTAGATTTTTTCGCGACAGGTTGACGACTTCCTCTTGGTATCGAAACGCTCGAAATGCCACTCTGATTCAAATCGCTTTTGATTTTAATGTCGCTTTGCTTAACCAAGTTCTCCACAATCGAATTGAAGCTCGGGACGCTCTCAGTCACGAAATCCGCATGTTTCTCGGCGCCGCGTGCGGAGAGTCGCAGCGCCGCTATGAACGTGCTGAAAATATAGATTCATATATTTTGCTAGGTGTCTCCTGCTAAAAACAGAAATAAAAATGGTAATTGCCGGGCAAATATCTTTTCAATCAAATAACATAGACATGACAGATATAAGATTTACCTTTTCGATTGATCTGCCTTTTCCTCTTCCTCCTTTTTCTGCTGTTGTTGTTGTTCTTCTTCTTCTTGTTGTTGCTGCTGCTGCTGCTGCTGCTCCTCCCATGTAAAGTTCTGTGGCAGATGCGAGTGAAACATATTGTGATGCGCCATTCTGTCGTTGTCCGTCTCGCAGAATTCGTGACACCATCGACAGACCCACCCGTGCCGCTGAACGGCCGACGACGTGCTTTCCGCGCTTTGCTTCGCAAAGTCGCGAGGTGATTCGACGTTTTTCGCGCTCTCTTTGGCTGGCAATTTCGAGAATGGCAAATGTATTTCACTGTACCTAAACGGCAGAACGATCTTCGCGTGAGAAGTTCCCTCTGGACTTTTCGACTCCTTGTGCATGAGGCTCCAGTGCCGTTTAACAGACTCTAGCGAGGGGCTGCGGTTGTTGCAATAGTAGCATCTGTAAATCACAATCGACGCTTGTTGGTGGACAGGCACGCGCTCCTCCTCCACCTCCTCCACTTCATAGATCATATCGATTTTTTGTTTCTTAGGCGACTTTTCCGTCTCGCTGGAAGAGGACCCGGCCGTCGATGGTCGTTCCTGAAACTTGAACGGTAACGAGGAATGATTGACTTCCCAGTGTTCCTGCAGCTCGGGTTTGAAAGAACAACTGTAAGTGCAGTACGAGCACTTGAGACTGTGCTTGGGTCCGGTATGCGTTCTCATGTGCGCCTTCAGGCCGGTGTAATTCATAGCCACGAAACCGCACACCTTGCACTTCTCCCGCATGTACAAGCGATGGCTGCTACCGGCGTCGTTCATCTCCTCTACCTTCCGCTTCTTGCTTTTCAACAGCAGGTTTGGATTCGAAAAATCGAGACCGTACTCCTTCTCCCAGAACTCGTTAGTCAGCTTCGGTTTTCCCCACGCGCGCGGATTGTGTATGAACTTCTCCGGCTGATCCGGATGCTCCAGACGTACGTGCTGGCGCATCAGCGTCTCCGAGTTGTTGGTCCAGGTGCAATAAAAGCACAGATAGCCGAACCGCTTCAGATGCGCAACCTGAACGTGCATCTTGAGCCCGCGCAGGTTAGCGCACTTCGTTTTACAGTGCTTGCAGCTGATGGCCTCAAGATTTTTCTCACTTGCTTCGGACACGTTGAACCCTGTGCACGTGAAATAATGTGATTATATCGTTATTTTATTTTATGAACAGTGATGGTTTTATGAAATTTGGTTTGAGCGCACACTCACATTTCTCGCTTTTGTCCTCGCTCCCGCTGCTTTTCTCGAACGACTCGTCGTCCTTTATATCGATTACAAGATCGTCGCCGTCATCGCTGTCTATACTTCTATTGGTATCCTGAAGAATGTCGCTCTGTAGATTAGATATTGCGGATGATAGATTTACGGTTCTTTTGTCCGGTTGGATTTTTATCGGACTATTTGCATTGTTCACATTTGAAGATGATGTACCAACGGATGTGTTTGCATTCTTGGACGCAAGATTCATCTGTTTAATTGTTGCCTTGATTATTTCTGTCTGCTTGCTCAGTAAAGTCGTCACCTGCAAATGAAATAGCATTTGTTCATATATAAACATTATTTACAAACATGTATATTTTATATACAAAAGTAAAATTGTTAAGCAATCTAATAAAAAAATGCAAAAAAAAATAAAGCAACAAAGAACGTAATAAAGAATTTTATTATGCACCCAATCCTCAATCGCATTGTCCGGAGAAAGTGGCTCGTGATCAGCGGATTCTCCACTATGTCGCTTTCCAAAATGTTGCATCAACGCATTTCGATTTACTGATAAATATCCACATGTTTTGCAATGCCATCTAAATGAACATATAAACTGCCTTAATGGGAAATTATACAATAAATATATCTCATCCTCAATCGCATTGACAAAAATGCATGAATGTTTACGACACAAATTAATTCTGCGGATAGATTTAAGTAGAAATTAAAAAAATTGATACCAATTATATCCGTATTCATAAAAGCAGATTCCACTAGACTTCTGGTTGATTTACTGTCACATTACGCATTCGGTAAATTTTATCAATCAAATTAGATTAGCTGTCAATATCTGTAAAATTTTCTGCTGTAAATTTTAAATATAACATATCGTTTACCTAGCATAGTTCAACTCTCTGTAAAGATGATCCCTCATATCATGCTTGTACTTCGTCTTGAAAGGTTTTGAAGGTGAATCTTGATTTGAAGGGCACAGTGTGCATACGTACATGTTGCCTTCCGGTTTGCCGTAAGGCCCGAATCTCCCTATGTCGGAGTCGTTGACGTCACTCAGCTCAATCGCTTTCGAATGCTCGGTCGATTTCTTGTTAGCTTTGCTCTGCGCGCCTTCCTTCGCGACTTGTTTCTCAGTCGTCTCTCCCGCTTCACCGGGTAGTTTCTCGCACGAGAGCGACCTCTTCGACTTTTCCTTAGACTGTTTATTGTTCTCGTCGAGGGATATGGATTTCCCGGTCGATTTTATCTTCGCCGGTATCTTCGAGATATCCGTCTCGCTCTTGCGTTTCGAAGATACCTTTGGAGGTACGGGCGACGCCTCGCTCGTCGCAAGAGTCTCCGCTTCCCTTTTCTCTTGCTCCTCCTCCTCTTCCAGAAGAATCCCACGGATGTGTCGAATCCGCGGCATACTTCTCCTCCAGAGCGGCGTTGTGTCGAAGGGTTCTTCTTGCACTCCTTGCTCTGCGACCTCCGCGTTGCGTTTGTTGACCCCCTTTATTCTCCGGTACACCGCGGTATAATCGGCATTGGAATCGTTCGCATGCTTGCTGCTCACATGCTGCTCGAAAAGTATCTTCCCATTCGTTTTGAACGAACACAGGGTGCACTTGTATTGGCAGTTCTCGCTGTGCGCCGTGTCGGCGTGACCGGCTATGTCGGCTTTATAAACACACTTGTACTCGCAGAGATTGCACTTCCAGTGATTGCCGTCTGGATCGGGCACCTCCTCTTCCGTTTCCTCCTGCACCGGCTGTTGAACGTTCTCCGTGCTCTCGAGCTCTCTCACCACTTTCACGAAAGGCCTCTTCTCCGAGTGCTTGTCGGTGAGATGCCGTTCCACGACGTGTCTAGAAGGCATTTCGATACTATCAGCGAGCATAGAATGTGCACTCGCGCTGATGAGAAGATTTTAAAACATTTGACAAGGCTCCTCTTTTTCATACATTTTGCTTTTTCAATTAATCATAGTACTAGTTTTTCATTTCAATCACTAATATTAGTTGCAATCAAACTAACCGTACTTGTCACATGTTTTAAAATTGTAATGCGTGTAAAATTTGAATTTTTATCAAATATAAAAGGTGATGTAACTTTGCACAGGTAAATGGCCATGTGAACATGACAAACCTATGATAATGATGATGATTGCAGTGCGAGCATTTATAAAGCCTCGTATCGTGCATTTTCAGATGAACGCCCATTTTATCAATCGCTATATTCTGGCTCTCCTGACCCGGCGGCGGCGGGGGGCAATGCGGACAACGGAAATACGGCTCCTCCGAATGTAAAGCTTTCAAGTGATAACGCAACATCGCCTCATCGACCGTTAGATAATTGCATTCGGTCACGCTGCAGACGTATCTATTGCAGAAAGATTTGTTAAATCGGTATTTCGCAATATATATTATATATTTATTATATTAATTAATATATACTTATTATATTATATTAATATATTTTATCGGTTGCAATTTAAAATGATGACGGCACACCTTTTATGTTCCGGTACAAACTTCGGTATGCTGTCATCCTCTTCGATCTCTTTAACAGTTTCTTTCGACTTCGCGCCCATCCGACCATTTTGATGCGAGCTACTCGCCAGATTAACCATTTTATCGAACATTTTCTCCTTCTTATCTAAACAAGGGACAGGATTAACCGGCCCGGTTTCAGGTACAGTCTCATCTTTCGCGTGCAGCTGCAAGTGTCGGACGATGTTCGTTCGTACTTTAGTTGTGTAAGGGCAGACGGCGCAATGAACCTCCCGATTGTAAATCGCCCGGCGCGGTAATTTCTCTATTTCATCCGGACTGAACGACAATTTTTCGTTATCTTTGTCGTTCTCTTGTTCCATATCGGATTTCCCACCCTTACGCTTCTTGTTCTTTCGCTCAATAACTCCGAAAGCCTGTGAAATACGTCGCACATTAAAATAATACGCTCTTTAAACAGAAAAAAGATCTCGTATTGAATAATTATTGATGAGACAGAAAGAGACTTACGACTGCTTGCACGATGAAGAGACCGTCGACCGACGGGTTCGTTGGATCCGCAGGCACTAACTTCGTGTTGTTGCATTTGTGCTTCACCTTCATGTGAGCTGTAGCTTGGTATGCAACCGCATATCTCATCTCGCACAGCGAACATCCAAAACGCTTCAATCCGTGAGCCTTCATCAGATGTTCCAGAAGGAAGCCGGCCTTGACGAAACGCTTCTTACAATGCGCACAGAACAAATTCTTGCTGCTCTCCGCGAAACTGCACTCTTTAATGTGCTCCTTCAGCGTGTTCGAGTTCAGCGCCGTGTAACTGCACTCCAGATAACCGCATTTGTACAGCTCACATCCGCTATAACCGGTGTCTTTGATGTCGTCCAAAGTCAAAGGTTCCTCCAACTGCGCGGTCCGGGCAGCTGCCTCTTCCGGGCAGAAGGCGCTCTTATCCTCGACAACGCCGCACGGCGCAAATTGCTTTTTCACCTCGGCATTTTCCTCGGAAAGCTCGGCCGCTTGATCCGCATCGTCCTCGCCGTTTCCCTTATCGCTCTCGATATCCAAGATCTCAATGTCACTGTCCTCTGTTTTGTTAGCGGACACCGCGTTACTCTTAAACGTGTTTCCAGCAAGGCTGATGAGATTCTTAAAGAATTCAGGATTATCGAGAAGATTGGTATTGACAAACTCGTCGTCGTAATTTATCTCGCTCGACGACTCTAACGAGTCCTTCGTGCCGGAATCGTCCGTGCACGACAGCAACTCCGACTTGTGAAAGGTCTGCTTCCTGACGTGGTTCTTCGCCTTTTCCTTCTGCTGCAACCCTAACGATTGCAAAACTTTAGTTTCAGTCTGTTTCTCAGTAGCACTGTTACTCATGTTTTCCGTCACGTTGACAGGACATGTGTCTTTAGAGTGTTTCATTAAAATATTAGGCAACAAGTTACTTGGCGACTTTAACTGCTCTTTATTCAAAGCAGCTTCAGCATTTGGTGACATTATAGGAGGAATCTGGTCGTTCTTTGCGTCTTGTGCACTCTTTGCGGTCTCATCAACATTCACAAGCGTGGTTTCATCCAGCTTTATGAAGTCATCGAAATTTCGTAATAAAAGTTGTTCTACAACGGGCTTTTCAATTGTTGGCTGAAATTTAATTGCGATCAAACAATAAGCACATTGTACAAAACAATTATTTAAATTATTTATTGAAGTATACTGATTGTTTTATTTAATAAAATGCGTATTTTCGTTTATTTTAATCAATAATTAATTTTGACAATTATACCATTGAAGGAAGCGAGCGCTCGAGACTCTGAGGCAGCCGGTTGCAGTGGGCGACGCTCAAATGTTGATGCATTTCGATTAAAGTCTCCGTGCCGAATATGCAATATAAACATTGGAATATGGAAAACCCGTGCCGCTTGTAGTGCTGTAAGTGTTCAAATGAGCAACTCAATTGCAGCTTCGCTTTCTTTAGCGATAGTAAATCGATAGGAAGAAAATACTTACGGGTATAAGCAATTCTATTGTCGCAAAACTAGTGGTACACACATGACACGAGTACATAGGATGAGAGGTTGGATGTCTCGTTTTTAAGTGCATCATAAATGTCTTAAGTACATAAAAAAACTTGCCGCAGCCTGCAAGCAAAACCATTGATCGGTAAACGCTATTTTGAATGCTAGTGATTACAAAATCAGAATCAAAATCTTAAATTGAACTTATTTCTTACTTTTTGTAGAGAAGAAAAAATTACAAGTAAATGTACTGAGTTCGTTTAAATAAAAAAAAAATTTTTTAATTCATCCAAACAAAAAATATATGACTCGGGCAACTTTCGCTGATATATAAAACATATATAAAAAGCTAACGACGTACCTTCGTATGTGCACACGAATGGCTTTATGTTAGTGTTGCGATTGATTTCTTCGTCTTTTTGAATCGGCTTCAGTAGTTTACCTATTATAATGGAATACTTTCTGCCGGGATGACAAGTCACCTAGAAAATATCGAGATCGGCAAAATGTATTATTTTCTTTATTATACTAATTTAAAAAAAAAAGTCAAGCATTACTTGATGTTGCTGAACGTAAGACTTTGCGACGGCTCGATAAAAGCAATAAGCACACTGGTATCGACAATGGCTGTGTCTCTCCCACAAGTGAGCTTCCATGTAAGTCCAACTCTTCATGGATATGCAGCAATAGGCGCACTTCTGAAAATCGTACGGCGGCACGGTCTTCAGCTTTTTGGTCTCCTTCTCGTGGAAATTGTAGTGTTCGCTGTACACGGCGAGTGAGTCGCTCGCGAAGTCGCAGTCGCGGCCCATGCATTTGTAGAAGCACGCCAGCTTCTCGTCCGTCAGCATCGACGCGTACGCGATTACAGATTTCAGCTTGACCACGGCGGTCGGGATTGCAACGTCTTTAGATTTAGTGCTGAATATAGATGATGAACCCCTCGTGGGATTCGTGCACAGCACCTTCACCACTTTGTAATTCACGTTCGACGGGCTCACCGATGAAACGGTCACCGGCAGCGTCGTCGGAGAAACGGTCGCCGGAATGGTAGAGAAATTCGTGACCAGATGAGTGGTGGACTTCGAGATGGATGCTGGCAGATCTTTCATCGGAATCAGCGTCACGTGATCCGACGTGGCGATGGGCGTGATACTCGCGGTCGGCATCGGCGCTAATACATTTATCTTCTTCAGTATCAAAGGCTGTTTGGGCTTCTTGATGATGGATATCCCTTTGTTTTTCGTAGGAGAGGTCTCGACTGCCTTTCTAATGTCGTTTACCTGATAGGACAACGTAAAAAATTCGAATAAGGATACGATGGATGAATGGACAGGATGCGACGATTGCGGCTAAATGCTGATGTTTTATAAACAAATTCACTTACAATAGGATTTTCAACTGCAGTTTCATTATTCTCGGAATTTGCTGCAAGGCTAACTACGTTCTCGATCTTTAAGAACGAGCACTCTTCTTCTGTATCCGTCTGTGGTGCGTCTATGGCGGTGTCTGGCTGAATTTTATCTGACAATCACATAATTTTACCCATTATTTATTAAGTAATACTTATAATATGTTAATTAATAAAGACTGAGTTTACATTAATCAGCAGAATTTCTTGAGAGCTATTCAGAATACTATTTACAACAGAAATGTTTCGATTACTCATCAGTATTACCTGGCATATTATTTTGATTATTCTGAGATGACAAGGAAAGTTTGTCGCCGCTCAATCGCCTGAATCTGAGGAAATTCATGGACTGATTGGCGTCGTTGTACGCCATCGACGACTCCTGCAGTGTTCCGACGTTCTGCTGTTTCGACAGCAAATGCTTGACATAAGAAACAACGTCCGGCGTTTTCGAGATTGATAAATCAGAATCAGTCTTGATTTCAGGTCCGGTCTTGGTCTGCGGCGTGACGTCAATATTCGCTGGCTCGGTCGCCGGCTCCAACGGTTTCGCGTTTTGAAGCTGCGCGGCTAGTCTTTGAATTGTCGTCGCCATCGACGACAGCGCGTTCATGCTCGACGTTTCCTTCAGAATCTTGTTGACGTCGGCAGGTTCCGCGTCTGACTGCTCGCTGCTGGAGTCCGTGTCGAAGATCGGCGCCGAACGCTCGCGGTCGCTGGCCTCGTCGTCGCTCTCGACGTCGTCCTTACTTGAATCCATAATCGCGAGAGGATCTCGGATCTTCGTATCAACTTGACCGTCCGTCTCGTTCGCCATCTCGGGTTTATCGACAATCAACAGTTCCGTAGATAAAGAGGGAGTCTCTTGACCGTTTGGTTTGCTCGAAGTTACGAGAGGCAACGAGAGGTTTTCCTGCGCTTCCGGAATGTCCGCTGACGCATTGCACTCGGTGGGAGAGCTGACAACCACGTCCGTGCGCATCTTGTTCTGCAGCTTGTCTATTATGGATAAACCTGGCTTAGATTGATTCTTCAGGATGCCTATATTGTCGGCGATCTCCTGCATCTTTTTCTGTCGTTCCCGTTGTATCTCGTCATCCTTGTTCTCCAGCTCCGGCGGGCAAACAAACACGCTTAGATTACCGGTGCTCACCGACCCTTCCGGTTCTCCTTGAAATTCTCTCGATTTATCAAGATCAGTTGTCTCTTCCTTGATCTCGATGTTCTCCTCGGGTTTCGGTTGGCACAGAATGGATTCTTCGCTGATATTATTGTCACCTTGAGATTTGCTCATCCTTTCGGCAACCGTCGGCATCGGCTCATCATTGCGCACTATGTTCTCGAGTTCGGAAATTTCTGGCTTCGTTTCCTCGAAGAAGAAAGAATCATTCGCGGATGTAGACTCGGTCGATTTCTCGCTGGATCTTGCGGCGTGCGCGACAGGTACGGCTAGCGACATGTTGATCTTCAGAATTTCATTATTCGCTTTATTTCGATGCCAAAATGCAACGTGGGCCGCCACATTGGCCCGCTTTAGCTGCACGTAATTGCATTTGCGACACAGGTAGCCGTAAACGCCGTTCTCCTTCGGAAGAGCGTCCTCGGTCACGACATTGTTGAACGTGTCGGTGGGTTTGCGACATATTTTGTAATAGTGCGTCTTCATGGACGCCTTGGCCACCGCCTGATAAGAGCACTTGTTGCAATGGAATCTGTATTCACCGGTGTGCGTGGTGCAGTGCTCGTAGAACGCTTCGAGCGCAACGTCCGCCGCCCCTTCCGTAACAAAATAGCAAAATCTGCAGCGAAACTTGCACACCTGACTCGCGACCGTGGTCTCCGTCGCGGGAACCGCGATCGCCATCGCGGCCAGGGCGTTCACCAGCTTGAAACGCGAGATGAGAACCTCTTTTCCGGGATGATTCATCTTGTAATGGTGAACGATGTTCTTGCCCGAATAAAGGCACAGTAAACATTTGTACTTATTCTGGCATGTTCCGTCAAACGCATAGTTCATCAGCCGCTCGGCGTCCATCTTGCGGAACGCCTCCTCCATCTGTTCGTCGTAGAGAATCTTCGGTGGTTGCTTCTCCACAGTTTCGTCCGCGGTGGTGGCAACAGCTTCACTTGGCGCGGCGACAGCAGCACTTGATGCGGCGACAGCAGGACTTGATGCGGCGACAGCAGCACTTGATGCGACGACGGCAGCGCTTTCTGGCACGGTAGTGCTTTCCATTTCTTCTGGAATCAACGGCTTACCATCGTCGATAGAAAGCAGAGAGTCGTTCAAATTCCCTTCTTCTTCTGTGTTCAATAATTCCGACAATGCGAGATCATTTAATTCCTTGTAGTCTTCAATATCGGTGTTATCCGTTTTTATAAGCGGTTTAATATCTTCACACTTGATTTGAATTGGCTCAAGTTTTACAACCGCATCGTTTAGAGAAAGGCTGTCCGCAGGATTCTCCATAAAAGTTTCCTCCGTCGTCGCACTGTTATCATTCGAATCGTTATTCGTCGAAATACTTGTTTCAACGTTTGTGCTCTCGTCGATATTTGCTTGCGCAGATTTGACTGCCGAAGCGGCCTTCTTCTTCTTCTTTTTAGTAGTTACTATTCCCATCTGCCAACTGGGCTTCTTCTTTTTCCTTTTCGTTGGTTTCTTCACGCTTGTCTCCGTGATCGCCAACGGATCGTTCATATCCTCGTCGACGTCCGCATCGCTGCCTTTGTCCGTCGACGTATTCATCGTCGCCGTCGGCACCAGTCCGACCAGAATGTTGCTCAATAGATCCTCCCTGGCGCACGTTCTAGCTGCGCCGCCACTCGTTCTCTTTCTGGCTGTCGTGCTGCTCGACATAGAGATGTCCGATATCATGCTGTCCTCGTCCGTAAGATACATTCCGTCCTCGCTCTTGTCCTCATTCAGTCGCGACTTTTTCGACCCCTTCGACATTCGTTTGCCCTTGTTTTTGCGCTTCAAACTCGCCATCGTGTCTACCGAGTCCTGATCGGAGTTCTTCTCCGGCCGAAGAGAGACGTCCACCGCCGCGGCCAGTTCGGCCACATCTATGCTGAAGCTCTCGTCGGAAGAACTGTCGAACATGCCTTTGGACAAATCTACCTTCGAGATATCTGTCTTTTCCATAACCACCCGCGGTTCTTTCAAAATGTCCTTGTGCAGGACACGTTTGGATCTGCGAAGTATAGATTCGTCGCCGTGATCTTCCTCTTGATTCGGCGTGCTGCCGATATTCAACAGCTTTTCTGTCCGCAGAGCCAGCGGTTGATCCTCCTCGGTGTCGGAGTTCGGAACGAGTTCTTTGGAGCGCAGGCTACGAAGCGGCCGTTTAACGTCCTTCTTACTTTTGCTTTTCGATTTGCTCGACTCCCCGGCAGCGCGAGATCGCAAGGATTTCTTCGACTTGCTCGCCGCCGACTCGTGCGTTTCAGCACTTGGTTCCGCAGCTTTCTTCTCGGCCGCGTTCGATGTCTCGTCTTTCTTAGAGCTCGAGCTTGGCGCTGATTGAGTCTCCTTCAATCGACACATCCGAAAACCTGTAGCTGTCACCACGTCATCGCTGATAAACATTTCCCTGATATCCTCCTGCAACATTTCCAAAGAATTCCTTCTCTTTGGCTTGATTTTCATCTTTGGTTTGTCGGTCGAAATTTCGTCAGGCTGGTCGTTCGCGGCGTTGGAAGTGGCAGATTCCACACCCTCGATCTGATTCTCATTCTGGCTCGTCGGCATTTCTGCATTATCCTTTCGTTGTTTCTCCGCAGAGGTTTCATCATGCTTGTCTTCGGCTCGCTTTTTCTCTTTACCGCTGCTTTCCAGACGAGTGTCTGTTTGCTTGTCACCTTCCGCCTGATCATCGATCTTCTCATTGTCATCTTGGTTCTTCTCACTTTCCTTCTGCAAATGCAAATTTTTATCTTGGTCGTTTTTATCTACTTGAACGTCGCGCTCTTTGCCGCTAGTTTTCAACAAACAGTCGTCTTTCTTTGCGGTAACATCGTTGGATACCGTCGCTTCGACTCTTTCTTCAGAACCCTTGGAATCTGTAGAAACTGCGGAAACCGGTTCTATTCCTTCGTTATTCGCATCATTGCCGGTATTTAATACTTCGAGTCTGTCCGCGAGAGATTCATCTTCCGAGCTGTCAGACACAATTATTCGTCTCTTCTTTTTAGGCGTTTTCCTCGCTTCATCCTTGTCCGAACACTCCGAAGAATCCGACTCGATAATCTTCTTGAGTTTCTTGAATTTCTCCTCTTTCAATAGCTTCTGTATCAGCTTCGCTTCCTCGACCAACTTCTTACCTTCGCCAGACTCAAACGACTTTCTAATTAATGATTCGATCCATTCTTGTGTAAGATTCTCATTGGGCTTCGATCCGTCCGCTTCCAGCTCATCCTTCTTGCTCTTCTCCGCGACATCATTGGACTTGGGATCGTCCGTTACGGAATCCGCTTCGCCAATCTTCACCACGTTTCTGTCCACCTCCACGACGGGCGGATTCTCTCCTTTTTTCGCGACCTCGTCCTGCTGCTTAGACTGAACCGAATGCTTTGTTGCGCTCTTACTACCGTCACTACTGCTACTCACTTCGGAACTCGCGTCGTCTTTGCTCTTGCTTTCGGAACGCGATCTGTTGCTCTTTTTCTTCTTATTAACGCTCTTTGCACGCGACGATTTGAGCAAAGTGTTTTCAGCTTTCTTAATCTCGCTGATAGGACGAAGCGGTTGCGGCTCACATCGCTTGATCTTAGGAATCTTAAAATTCTGCAGGCCGGAGCTCTGAGTGGCATCGACCGCGCCGTAAAGATTGCGACCATTCAATTGCGACTGCAACCTGTCTTTCAGCGAGTTAATTTTATCCGCCTTCTCTTTCTCAGATAACTTCTGCGACGATGACTTCGACTTCTCCTTTAACGTCGTAGTCGTAGTAGTCGTCGTTGTCGTTGCCGCTGTCGTGGTCGTTGCTGTCGTCGGCGTTACTGTAGTCGTCGTTGCTGTCGTTGTCGTCGTCGGCCGTTTTCTGGGATCTCTCTCGTTGTGAGGCGCGTCTTTGGTTTTGCTCGATGAGTGTTTATCTTTGGCAAGCCGCGGATCTCGGGCAGAAACGCTGGCTTCTTTGGTCTGATTCGGGCTCGTCGCGTTGTGTTCCGGACGAACGCGCGGATCCCGATTCGGGAAACGATTCGGATTCTCCCGATCAGAATGGCCGTCTCGCGATGACCAATCGGATCGGCGGGCATCGCGATTAAAACCGGGTCTCGTTTCCGACCTGTTTCTCTCGTTGTTGTAGTATCCTCTGCCTCTGTTAGATCTGCTCCCGCCCCACGTGCAAGGTGTACTAGGTCGCGTATACGGAGTGCTCGTGGAATTATCCTGAATTCCGCAAGGAATCACACTTTCGTAAGGCGCCTGGCCCACTCTGTTAGCGGGAGCTTCCCAGGTAGGCCTCACGTGAGGATAATCCACTGGTCTGTCGACCGAGAAGGCTGAATCGTACGGTCCTTGATTCATTTGAAATCCTCTGTACTGCGGCGCGACCGGGAATCCAGACGGAGTCATGTGATCTTGCGATCGCGGCGTAGGAGTGATCAATGGTCTAGGACCGACGGGTAAAGTCGGAAATTGCGGCCTGAATTGCGGCTCCATTGCTGGGTGCTGATAGGGATGCTGGATGGGCGATTGCAAAGGTGGATTGGACATTCCGGGGAAGACGGAAGATGCCCACTGCGTATTGGCGAATTGATGATCGGTGCTGGGCACGGCCGAAGGCGACCAATGCATCGGGTTTACATGCATATTGTAATAGTCGACGCCATCTATCACAAATTCGCTATCCTGTCTGAGCGGCGCGGGTTCCTTCCGCGTCTCCGGCGGCATGCTCGAACGTCTCTGATACAACGGAGCGTCCGGCTTATTCGAGGCATTGATAAAAACCGGTATCTGAGATGGCGCTTCATCGGAATGTCCAGCGACCTGTTTATCTCTCGCGATCTCGTGGCTGTGCGCGTCTCGTTGGCGCGGATGCCTCTCGTAATTATCCGCGTAGCGCGGCTCTGGCGGCTTGGGACCCGGAAAAGGCGACCGATGATCGCTCGATTTCGCGACATTCGACGTGGGTTTCCTAGCAGGCAAATGTATCGTATGCCTACCGGCGTTCTCGCCCGTTTTATTCTTCTCGGCGTTACCCTCGTCGTTCAGCAGCTCGGCTAAGTCCTCCATGGACAGCGGCGGCACGCTTGAGACGGGTGGCGGTGGTGGTGATAGCAGAAGCGGTATCGACGGCGGCTTCGACGCGCTGTGGCTGTCCTTCGATTTCGATGGCGTGACACTGGATGACGACCTCGCGAACAGTATCTCGGGATCGGGAGAGTTGAGTCTCACCTCCGGAACGTTCACAGGTGACTCCGGTCTGGCAATGTTGCCGGTTATTATGCTTAGATTCAGCCTGTTTTTCTCCAAAACCGACGTCAATCTCCTGGAACCGCCGAGGGAAGGCACTGGAACGGTCGGTATATTACGCGAGTCCAACGCGTAACTCCTGCTGTCGCTGGTCTTTTGCGGTAGATTGCTACTGACCAATCTCGCCGCGGTCGACACGTCGGGAGCCAGCGTCGGTTGCCGATCGCCTCTGCTCCTTGCGTTATGCGTCTCCGATTCTTCCAACATATCCCACTCGCAGAACGTAACGTCGTCCGAGAAGTCGACCGGGGTATTTATATTGCCCGGCCGATCACTAATCGTGATAACCGGTATTACCTTTTGTTTTGCTTGTTGTCTATGATTTTCGGACGAATTGTAACGTTCCGTGGGAATTTCTATAGGCAGAATTTGGCAATCAGGACTGGAAGACCCGGCAGCATCCGGACTCTGCGGTGTCTCTTCTATTATATCTGCGTCGTCCTCCGCATTTTGCGGTTCCTCCGTATTTTGCGATTCCTTCGCTTTTTTACTCTGAGAAGACTCTTCATCTTCCGGCAAACTAAAAATTACAAAAACTCTTCATTGTTTTCACATGACAGAAGACTCCAAAACAATTTTCATTTCGAGTGTTTATTATGAATGTTTATTAAAAATCTGTTGCAAATAAAAATATTAAAACTATTTAATTTTGACACATATATGCATTATTCAGTATATAAATCGAATTGTAATAGTGATGAATGGTTTTATACGTGTTATACGTTATATACGTGATTTTATACGTTATATACGTGTATATCAGAAGTTATAAAAATTATCTGCACTTTCGTGCTTTTCTAATAACTTTTTTAGCAATGTAACACTTACGTTGAAGATTGCGCGGTGTTATTATCATCGTTGTTTGGGAACAATTCTCTGCAACTCGTATTTGTCGACATGTTTCCCTGAAACTCGTGTCCAATTAGAATAATTAAAATACAAAAGTCAAACATGCACTACGGAAGCCTAAAAACACCAAAACTATAAGGAAACAACTATAAGAAAACAAGGAAAACAATTGACATTACAGATATAAATGTCGGTCACTATTCTAAAGAATAAAACAAATTTGTTCGCAATTTCTTGTACTTTTATAGCGAATTTTTTTTTTAATTATACATTGAAACCAATGTATGCAAAGTGAATTTTTCCACGATAACAAATTATACAGATTGCATAAATATAGAATTTTCAAAAACCTTGATAATACAATTTCCATAACAATTTTGAAATTACACAATTTTGCATTGTAAGACAAAAGATGCAAATATGATAGAATTGTGATAATTTTGTATATTACCTTATCTTGTTTTATATCTGTTATATCAGAAGAAAAATGCGAAAACAATATTTACAAAATATGCTGCTTAAAACAATTAGGAAATTACTATTATTGCAATTTCAAATGTGTCACATAACTTAATAGATCTTCAGTTTTAAATAGTTTTCTTAATCCGCACATAATTTTAACGCTTAGTAAATACAATACATCAGTAATTACCATATCTTTCTCATATTTCTTTTACAAATATATTTTTACAAAATTGTAGAAAGGAATAATTCTTAATTGTTTTGAACAATGTATTAACATACATAAATGGGATATAACAATTTATAAACGAGATTTAACGAAAAAACAAAAGCAGAGAATATGGACAGAATAAATATGTGCAGAATGTCTTCAGGTATTTACTTTCTCAATATTAAATAATGTAAATACAACGTAGGTCCAGGAAAGCTTTTCACTCTATTCATTTAGTGACCGACTCCGATATGTACAAAAATTATATTATATTTGTCACTATCATATATTGCTCTTGAAAACAAGATTGATCCGTTTCAGTATTTCTCGCACAAATAAGTCGGTTACAAAACAAACGAGATACAAGTCTACCTCGACTCACCCTGTACAATAAAAAGTGTTAAAAACTAATTAAAAGTTTTAGAACATTTTATAATTCAAAAAGCTCATTCATTCAACAACACAGACAAGCTTACGTGTATTTAAACATAGTGTAGATTTTTTAATGCGTGTACCAGTATATTTACCTTTCCCATTTTATTGTACAATTTGTATAGAACATCTTCGCAGCGCTGCAGCGTTTCGATCTTCAACCTGCTTTGCACAATAATGTTGTAGTAAATGATAAAATATGTACACAGTATTATATTTCTTGTTTTCGCGTAAATATATAGAAAATTCTTCGAAAATACTGATTGCGCGTGTAAAATCTATACGCACGATCGTAATTTAAATAGTGTAATTTTGTAGAAATTTCTGTTCAACGTACTTTTTTTGGGTCGTCAGAATTTCTAGCAAACTTTCCATTTTCTGCAACTGAACTTCCCGACATGTGTCCTTGTCTTTGACGTTTTGCAGTCTAGCAATCATTACTTTCAAAAATGGAATGTATTTATGCATTTCTGCAAATTTCTTATCGTATTCCTCTTGCTCCATCTTGTTCCTTGTTTTTGATCAATCTGCATTCAGACAGAGAAATTGTTCTACTTTTTAACAAACTCGAAAAATTATCGTAACTATCATCGTATATTTTTATTAAATCCGCGTATTCCTTATATTTATAAATAAACACAACGCAATAGCATTTTAACAATTTTTATTTTTGCGAAATACGCGCGCGAGTAAAAATTAATCTAATACAGATTACAATATTTTAAATGTGCATGCAACATATTTGCAATAATAAAAGAAAACCGCGCACATGATAAGAGAAAAATCGAGAACTTTAGTAAAAGTTTTTTTAAGAATCACCATAAAAATTGTGGATAATTTTAACATTATTTTAAATTTTTATCTGCGCGTTAATCCTTAAATGCATTTATAATACATAATTGTCGTTGTGAACAACATGTTATGATTTAATTTAATTACCATAATTTGACGAAGACGCATCATGGTTATTGATGATCTTTTATTCCTCGGAAAAGATAAATTGATTTTTCTATCGCATGCTTTTGTTCGTTCACTTTATTCCGGTGTTTCGAAAAGCCGGTAAATATGTCAACTTGCATTACATATGCAACGATAGCCTTTTGCTTCTTATCAACTAGGGTAATTATGTTGTCTATGTATAAAAAGACGCAATTCTTCGATCGCTGTTCTTCCAATTCAGTAAATCTTCGTGTACCGCAATTTACATAATCTTCATTGAAGTAATAAGATGCACAGTTTCACAATTTTCTTTTAAAGCTTGCGTTATTACATTGCAATCAAAATACAACTATAAAAGGTATCGTAGAATCCGGAATACGTGTTGTTGTTAATTTAGATGACTCGCTAATTGCAAAATCATCGTAATATAGTCAGCAATCGTATTCCTTTATTGGTTGCATTTGTATAGCAATCAGATTATTTCACATTCAACTTATATTGTTTTCGTCCTTCTTTTCCTCTTCTCTTTTTGATTTATATTCTCTTTTATTTTTCAAAAATATAAAGTTTTCATGCGGTATTTGTGTATATGTTGCTTCTTGTCCGAATATGCGAGTATACGTTTATTATTTGAATAAGTTTCTTAAAGCGTTTGCTATATACACAGAGTTGAAGAGCCGACGATGTCCTTGGATGACCGTCCAATCTTCGTCAAAGGGACTGAATGACGATACCACACTTTGGTCAGCACGTACACCTCACTGACGATCGATTATTTTCCGACGATTCTGCACGCCTTTGTCACCGATGCCGTTCGTAATATATATAGGGTGAACCATTGGTCACGCACTATTCTGAATTTGAAAAAACCGATTCTCTTTTTATAAATCGAACAAATTTAATGCAAACTCGCCGCGATAAATTTACTCTATATAAACCTAACAAAGTAATTTTTAAGACTTTGGACTTTTATCAAAATATAGATTTATCATCATTTTGTAATGCAAATTATTTCACTCGATTATAGCACAATTTTTCGCAATACAATCGTTACAGCATCGTTTGTAATATAACATTAAAGTAGATTTTAGATTACGTAGTTGTTAATAGTTTCTTAAAGAATCATGTATTACAATAATGTATTTTTACATGTTTGTAATCCACGATTTACACAACACTATGTATAACATGACACGCAGTCGCATTGAACATACGCACTAACTTAAGTAATACGATATCCCTAGTTTCACTTGTAATAAACGTAAAATTTTCCACCAAAGCTATAGCTAATCATGGTGGTGCTACAGGGGTGAAGAAATGGATATTGATCCAATCAACCCCTTTTACACAGTGTCAGAGCGTTTAACGAACATTATCGAGTGCAATACATAATTCTTTTAGGCGCATCAAATTTAAATATATTTATTACAACATTTAAGTATATTATTACAACATATTTACAGTAAGCGAGATAGCAGTTAAACAATCGTTTGCTCAATTCTGATTATATAAATAGTTTGTAATATTAATTCAAGGAAAAGTATCCTCAAAGCTATCTGCGAAAATGTTATTTGCAAGCATGACACATTGTTGAATAAGTCATAGCTTCAACAAAGAAATGGAAAAACATATTTGCTGTCCAGACAAGCAGCTTTTATGTACAATATCTCAAAACACTGTGATGAAATGAGACAGTCTGCAAATTAGAACACACCTGAACATATTTGATTGAAAGTATGTAATAGGTTTACTGAATATATATGACTTTCAATCTTTACTATAAATATGTTTTAGAATTTAGATTTAAGACTTGTTGCGCAACGCAAGCACATAAACGGAAAACGGATATGTAACAGTATCTTTCTTTCACACATCTTTCTTTGTATTAAATGTGTGTACGATACATCTGTTGCGACTACATCAGTTTGGGTCAATGAGGTAAACATATGTGTATATATGTATATATATGTTGATTATATAATTTCCGGTAACGTTGTTAAAGTTGCATTGAATTGCGTCATATGTACGATAAAGTCTATAAAATATTATCATATCTATTTGACTTTTTCAGTATCGTACATATGTTCGGCAATTTGTTCGGCAATATTTAAGATATTAAAATATGTTCTTCTTTTAATCCTCCAAATTATGTTTTTTTAATCCTCGGCATTCGGCACACAACACAATTGCAATTTCAAATTCAGTTATCAAGATATTCTATCTTGAAACTGAAAAGGTTATTTAAGATGCAGCTTAATGGCACTGTCGTAATTTCATGTATTCACTGTTTTACTTAAAAAATACACTTTTCACAATTTTGCACAATTTAGTAAAAAGCACACATTAACACCAATAAATATATCACACATTATTTCAGATCTGAAATAAATCTGTAATAAAATACAAAGTAAAATTTAAACAAAACAAGAAAGCTTTGTGAATAACTAATATATTTCGCATAATATATTTTTCGCTAATATATTTTTATCTCAAACTTTGTAACAGCGTTGAAATTGTAATTATCGCACGATATATCACTCAATACACACGCACGATAAAAAACTTCATGCACATGTCGTTATTTTGTATTTTAAAATAAAATAACATCAATTTTTGTAGAAATAATACAAATATCAAGAGATAAATTTAACATATATTTTTCTATATATTTAGATAAAATATACGGTTATAAAATGTAACCGTATATGTGCACTGTATAATGCCACGTGGCAAACTATTTTCTGTTCTTTACAATAGACTGTATTTGTCTTGCATTAAAGAAAAGAAAATGATTCCCTGTTTAAATATTTCAAAATCATAAAAATTTTACATTTTTTTTTGTTCTGATTTTTCCTGTTTGTTCCCTCCATCACATATGATCACATCATGTGTGGGAAAACAGCAGAAGTAAAAAAAAAAGAAAATCAGACAAAATATGAAGATTTGACTAGATTATAATCAATGCAAGTGTACTTGCCTTGATGTAGAGCTTAAATGCAATAAAAGAAATAAAGAATCACCCACAAAGAAAATTGGGGGTAAAGCCAAATCTACAATGCGCTTTTTGGTTTGTTCTTTGCCTTTTGCCTCTATGTAAAAAAAATTTTTTTTTTTAGAAATTCAGAAAAGGAAAATTATAAATAACGATGTTTCCTGACGTTTCGACGCAATATTTATAAAATGCAAAAATATAAAAGGCAGAGAGCAAAAAGTATATTGTAGATCAGGCCTAAGGAATAAGTTGCAACATATGTAAAATACCAAACTTCAGTCCATAATAAGGAAAGAAAAAAGAAATATGAAATATGGATATTCTTTTCTACATCCTAAATTTGTTCATGCAGAGATATCATCGAGTTTGAAATATATTTCACTTCAAAGACAAGCCAAATTTTCTGTTAAAACATAAATGCCTAAGGCACTGAAAATCGGAAAGATATTAAGATAAAATAAAGAAGAAATGAAGAAATATTAATTAAGCTAAATTAATGGTTAAACAAACAACAAATGATCGACCACAATTCTTGATCTAAAATCAAGCTTATGGTATACTTCGGCAAATTCAAAAAACTTCCTTAGTGTTGCCAACCGGAAGCATGGTATTCGCCATTGGGAGTAGCACATGAAGAATATTCCCGAACTTCCGAACTGCTTGCGAAAAACATTCACTCGCGATATAGCCCATTGCAGATCAATAAGCAGCTGGCACATTGAAATACATACCGATATTCTGGATTCTATTTAACAAATCTAATCGGCATCACTATTGCATATCCCACTTTCTCTTTTTTCTCATTTCTAATAAATTCCTATTGTGTAGCGATGCAAACTAACAGAACCAAATGTAGTGGCTGAAAACTAGCTTTAACACTGCTGCTAGATGGCATAATTCTCATACATGCGCAGTCGATGCGGCGCAGCGCCACTCAACAAAATTCGAGCCTTCTGCAAGAAGCGAGCAATAGGAACTATCATCGCCATTACACGATCAAACTACTCACCTAAAAAAAAAGTAACACGTGAAGTAACGTTCGAATATACAAATAAAAATTCGGACAAAGTATTAAAACGCCTGATTTGTCAATACGGTGTGATTCTAAGCTATTCTTTGCCTGCTATCACAGTAGGACTTCAATAGATCCAGGATCTATCTTAGTTCTTATAATAACAAAATTCATTTTTTTTACATTTAATAAGTTACTTACAATTTTAAAACGTGTTCTTAATTAATTTGAGTTACTAATATCTTGTTAATAAGTTTTTAGTAGCAACTTATTTTTACTCAAGCAATCTGCGATAAATTACATTTTCTTTGAAAAATAATTATTTAAAACAATTGACGAAATTGTACACAAAAACAAAAAATTTTGAAATTTTAGAGAAAGTTTCCTATTATTTCCGACGCACCATGAAATCGCTTGCTACTCGCTTCTTTGACATTGTACGATATACAGACTTTTTTCCGAAACTTCGACACTTTTTTAGATATACAAAAATATATATTGTAGCGCAAACGTTTAGTGCAATTTGTTACGCCCATTGAGATAATTATGATCGACACGTCACTCGTTACATAAAGCAGTGACAGAATATAAATAAAATAAAATCTTTTGTCTCTCGTTTCCTCTCATGCCTGTATAAAATTTCATGCAATGTGCAAAAACGCAGGATGAAAAACAATGCTGTTTCTTTCAACACCGAGAATAAACACGGCTATAATTTCTCATGTTGGAATTACGAGTCGCACTATTGTCACGCAATGGCGACCATACGCCAAATACGATCACTTCTCTCTAAACGAGCAACACAACAATCACGAAAATCATTTCGCACATTACCCCAGAATCTTGATATTAAGAATCGCTCCGCGAATGCAGATTGAAATGACGGAAATTTATTCTACGGAAGACCCTCGCCTTAGTTCCTAAGGTCCGATTGTAGCGCGCAATTACGAGCAAATAATTAAAATCAACGCAAAAAATTAATAAAAAGCACTATAAAGGATTAATCTACATTAATACAACGTCGGTTGAACAAATCGGTCCTTAAAAAAATTTGGCGATTAACAAGAGAGGATCTTATTTTTTGCGCACCTTATAAATCATTACACTCAGAGGGATCAGCCGGTGATGCATCGATCGTCTCCTGTTTCTCGGTACGATCCTGCGTCTGGAGTGCACCAGCCCTCTCACCTTCCCTCCTCGCTCCCACGAATGTGCAACGTTTCATCGACGCGGCTGCCTTCCCGCTTCGAATCGCATACAAAGTTACACCACACAAAGTCAGCAGTTATGTCGGCACTGATCTCGCCTCTGGCAATTTCCCTTTTTCGTGGTTCTTGCAGCGCTCTCTATAGTCGTCTGCAACGCCGTGTAGACAGAACTAGAGCATCATCGACGAAGACAACGGCGACATCGACAAATCCATTTTGTGCCAGTTCCGACATTCGTCGACGAGGAGGAACGACGAGGATCGCCGTTACAATCTCTCGATTGCGCGGTCGTAATAACGTCGCATGAATGTGCGGTCAATGCTCCTTCTCTGTCTCTTTATATCACAGAAGAGGATAACGTTAATCTAACGTTTGCAAAATGTCGGTGTAACTCATTTTACAATTCGTGACCTATACACTCGAACGGTGACTCCTGAAAAAAACGTTCTCCTGGAGTGTCTCCGTTCTCTTTTCACCTATCTCGTCAACTAGAGATTTCCTCTATTAAGTTAAAAATTATACATGTAGTTCTGAGATTACCTCTGAACATTTTTACACAATTGCTGTGTGCAATTTCTCAAAATATTTCGCTGGCATATTGTCTCTTTGTGTAAACACGGTTTCTCTTCTTTCCTCCTTTCTCTCTTTCTTTCTCTCTCTCTCTCTCTCTCCCCCTTTCTCTTTTTCTCTCTCTCTCGATCTGCAGTTTATAATACAAAATAATAATACAAAAATGTTTTAATGATTTTTATTCCTAAAGGAAGACGAATGAAATTCCGCCAAGTTTAGCACAAATCAGATTGCGAACGAGTGACATAAATTTTTATCGATTTGCATTGTCCGTAAGATTAACGCGACGACTTCCTGCGCACATTAGTTGGCGAGATTTCATTGGCATTCCACCTGGAATCACCTCTTCGCTGCCCGGTTGCTAGCGCCAGGGCTGGGAAGTTACCGTCGCTTGTATTCGCTTTCAGATACACACCACTACACACAACGGCCAGTCACCGTTATACACAAAATTGTATTCTTCGAATCCGGTCAGATTTCGAAATTGCTTCTTTAATGTTCGCCGACTTCGAATGACCGGTATAACGTGTAAGCGATGATAAGATCCAGGCCCTAGCTGTTACGTGACGGATATTATACTCTAGATATTGTTACGCGTATCATATATTCAGAGATAAATTTAGAGACTAGTTCCTGTCTATTGTTCGCGCGATCACAATGCCTTACCAGGTGCAATCGGGCATTACGATAACCTCCTAGACGGCGAGTCATAGATTGCTTCGTGATATCCTAAACTTCGATACTTTTTTATGTTTCAGCTGTATGAGTCATCCGATCATACGTCTATTTTTAGTCGTTCTAGACTCGATGCATATGATCAAAATGCAAGCTAATCGTCTAGAATGGCTACTTGGGGAACAATCACTTTCTACGATCGTTCCACACCGTCTGTCCGTGGCGTGTATTTATTCAGCCAATCTTCGAAACTCCCGGACGAATATTCGGATACGTAAGAACGGCGAAACATGTGCGACAACAATGTGTTGGCTTGAGAATCTCACTTACGTGCGTTGTCGCTTCGTGTGCTACGCCACATCCATTGAGACTTTTTATGCTGAAAGAACGTGAGAGTCTTTATCGGTTTCGATCTTGGCGCGATTGCGGTTTGCGCGACACGTTTCACGACAATTCGCGGATCACGTCACTAATTGTCCTACGAAAACGATATATATGCAATGTACGCGCAATCCCGAAAGGTTGTGATCTCGTTAGATCCCGCGTGAGGTCTTCTGGGCGATTACGATGGGCACTGTCGGCATTAGAAGGGCGCCGCGACGTCAAGGACCGGTCGTAGAGGAGCACTGCCGACGTGCTACGGACGATTCATCATTATTACACATATATACATACATATATACGTTTGTTACGCGCAACTCGAAAAAGCAATAACGCACAAAAATCTCGGCAGTCCATCTTTCGGCACGATCACGATCAGGTCCTCGACGCGAATTGTTCTTTCGAAAATATCCTCTTGTCGCCCGCTTTTCTCTATTTTTTTTCCTCTGCCACCCGCAAGAAGCGCGAAAGCTGATCACATTTGTATGCGATTTAATTACGACAGACGCGGGGGAGCAGCCGAAGGGCGCGCGATGTTTTACGCAATGGCCGTCGTGTACATAGCGCCGTAGCGAGATCATTGTTCTTTCGGAATTCTGCGATTGTTCCATTTCGCTCGCGACGACTCGCCATGGCGCAAATACCGCGACGCACGTTTTCGCAATTGCGACCTGATCGATTCTCAATTTCGTCAACAATTCACCCTCCTCCAATTCGCATTTAACTGCTGTGCTCCTATATAATGATGTAATGATTCGATTCTGTTAATAATCCGGGTGATCATACGCGTGCGTTGTATCTCCTTGTCGAGACAATCGACAAAACGGTAGTTATTTGGTAGCTAGACGAAGAAAGTTATTCGAGGAGAATCCGCTAGAACGGATTCAATAGACTGCCGTAGAATCAAAAAATATACGAGGAGCTGAATTCTAACTGCTAATGTCAAGAGTCTATTATTATAGAACGTCTCGAACACATTACTCACCATTAAAACGCATATTTGCGCTTACTCGCAATACAGATTGTGTCGCTAAGCGATTAGCACCTGATACTATGACTGCAACATCGCAGTCAATCGCAGTAATACGCCGGAGTGGAAGAGAAATGCGTGTGAAGAGGAGCAGGAAACAATTCGTGTCTCATGAATTTGGCTAGGAGTGGCAGCGAGGAATCGTGGGTATACCTGTAATTCATGATGGCAGAAATTCCAATAATTCAAATAAACTGCAATTCTTCGTTTGATATATTTTTTTTTCATTCTAACCTTATTCAAACTGGAATGTACAAATTAGGAGTTGGTCGGTTTGGATGCTAGGTGTTTTGCAGGATGGGCTTGTCAAGTGTAAGATTATCTCAGCACCAAATAAAGTGAATTTTCGCTTTCGTTACTACGCCATTTGTTCGCGAGTTGCACACATCGTTCGCACTTCGCATCGTGAGCGATCGCTTTGCCGTGACTTACAACACTGCGTACATTCGAGGGACAGATTCGCGTTTAGAATTCTTTGATTACTTGCACGATTTGAGATTCGATAATGCTAGATGCAATAAGCTTTATCTGAATACAAAAAAATATCTCGAGCTAAACGCACGACGACCACGATGATCCGCCATTTTAATCTGCAGCTACAAAGTGTGACGTCACACAGTCTATGACTGTAATAATGTAGATATGCAACCGTATTTGCAAAATATGTAAATTTGTTTGTAAATGCACCGTGTTTAGTCCAGTTGTTATAATTTTGTAGCACCATTTATTGGTGTCAGCTAAATTTTATTGATCTGAAATAAAAATTACACTATAATTGATTTAAAAAAGAAGTAATCGTATTTGTTTTAAATATGATTCATAGTTTGTCTGGAGTAAATTTGACAGTTTGATACTACCTCTCTTTGAATGCTGTCCGAGCCATGTCTCTGCTGCTGTGATTGGTTCATTTTTATTTGACAAGGTAGTTCAAATATTGCAAAAATTTAATATAAGAAACATTCTATAACATGAAGTAAAAAATATTTGTGTAATAGACATACTTGCTAAATTGCTTCAAAAATATTCTAAGTAAACTAAATCAGAGATTTTTCGATTTTATAAAAAATGTATAAAACAATTGAGAATTAATCATTTCAACAGAATAGATGGAATAATGAGGATAATAATTATAGTTTTTTCTATTCATGACATTTTTCTCAAGTTATATAATATAATATTCAATAATTGTATTTACAAGTCATTTTAAGTTTATTGCATATATATAATAACCTTTATATAATATTATATACAATTAAAAAAAAGATTATTATATGTAATAAAGTAAAATATAAGAGTAATTATTCAATCAGAAATCAGAAAGTAAATATTCATAAATTAAAATATATAATTCGTTTATATAAATGTCATGCAATTAGTAAGAGACATAAATATTTTAATGTTCTTTTTGGCAAAATTTTGCGGAAAATGTTGTCTTACAAAATATAATTTTTTAAGGTATAATTATATGTTTAATGAACATAAGAAAAATGTAATTATGCACGCATAAAAAAATTTTAAAGTATATATATGGTAAAATAGAAAATAATGCTACCTTCCAAAATACAAGACAAAGTAAACTTTTGATAGAGAATTATTGTTTAAGAGTAGGCCAAATATTCTTTTTGTCATTATATAGAAATCTCTAGAAATTTTTAATCCCAAAGTGAGCAATTAAATCGAAAGCAAACACATACGTAGTCTGTGTCGGTTACAAAACAAAATAAAAAGCTTTCCTTGACGTTGTATTTACATCATTTAATATTGGAAAAATAAACGTCTGAGGACATTCTGTATACGTCTATTTTGTCCACATATTCTTCTTTTGTTTCTTTGTTAAATATCATTTATAAATTGTTACCTCTCGTTTATGTATGTGTGTTAATGCACTGCTCAAAACAATTAAAGGATTATTCTTTTCCACAATTTTATTTAAAAAATATAAAACACGATAATTGCCGATATATTTACTGAACGCTAAAATAATATGTGGTTTAAGAAAAATATTTGAACCTGAAGATATTTATTAAGTTATGCACCACATTTAAAAATGTAATAATAGTCATTTTCTGATTGTTTTAAGCAACACATTTTACAAATATCGTTTCCGCACTTCTCTTCTATATAATAGATATAAAACAAGATAAGGTAATATATGAAATTAACACAATTCTTCTATCATTTGTATCTTTTATCTTATAATGCAAAATTTTGTAATTTCGAAATCGTTATAGAAATCTATTATCAAGATTTTTGAAAATTCTATACAATATGTATAATTTGTCATCATGGAAAAATTCATTTTGCGTATATTAATTTCAAAGCATGATTCTAAAAAAATTCGCTATAAAAGTACAAGAAATTGCAAATAAATTTCTTTTATTCTTTAGAATAGTGGCAGACATTTATATCTGTGATATCAACTGTTTTCCCTCTTTCTTTATAGTTTTGGTATTTTCAGATGCATGTAATAGTGCATGTTTTGTATTATATCTATTCTAATTGGACACACGTTTTAGAGAAATATATCACTGAGCCTAGGCTCAGTGAATGGTTCCCTAAGAGAAATGATGATAGTAAGTACATACAAGATAGTAAGTCTTCTTTGATTCACATTGTATTAGACTTATTCTTTTATTCTTCAACCTGTGTAATAAAACGTGTTAAAAACTGATTAGAAGTTTTAGAACATTTTATAATTCAAAGAGCTCATTCATTCAACAATACAGAGATAAATTTTCATGTATTTAAACAGGTAGGTTTTTGAATGCATGTATATTTACAGTATATTTACCTTTCTTATTTTACTGTGTACTCTCTCAAGAATATCCTCGCACTGCAGCAATGTTTGAATATTCGTCCTGCTTTGCCAATAATGTTATAGTAAATTATAAAATATTTACAGTATTACATTTCTCGTTTTCACATAAATGTGTAGAAAGTTCTTTCAAAATACTGATACGTACAAAATCTACACACACAATTCTAATTTAAACAGTGCAATTTTGTACAAATCTCTGTTCAACGTACCTTTTTTGGTTGGTCAAAATTTTATGCATATTTTGCAATTTCTGCAATGTAACTTCCTGACGTCTACCTCTGTCTTCGACTGTTTGCAGCCTCTCAATCATTAATTGCAACAAAGGAATGTATTCGTGCATTTCTGCAATTTTCTGATTATATTCCTCTTCTTCCATCTTGTCCCTTGTTTTTGATCAATCTGAATTCAAACAGAGAAATTGTTCTACTTTTTATAACTTGAGAAATCATATATTTATCATATATTTTAATTAAATCTACGTATTCATTATATTTATAAATTAAACACAACGCAATCACATTTTAACTATTTTCAACAACATGAAAAATACGTGCTGTTTACGAAAAGATGCGTTCACTCGCGATATAACCTATTGTAGATCATCAATAGGCAGTTAGCACACTCAAATACGTACCGATATCCTGAATTCTATTTAACAAATCTAATCGATATCACTATCGCGTTTCCCTCTTTTCTTTTTATTTCTAATAAATTTCTATTATGTGTCGCTTTACCGTCCAGACTAACAGAAAGACTAAAAGCAAATTGAAGCAAATCAAAATAAATGTAATAGCTTTAACATTGCTGCTAACACAGGTAGCATGAATTTTCATATGCGTATCGATACAGCGCATCACTCAACAAAATTCGAACCTTCTACAAGAAGCAAGCAATAGAAACAATCATCGCCATTATGTGACTATCCAAATATTTAGCTAAAAAAAGAGTAGTACGTGAAATAACGTTGGAATGTACGAATAAAAATTCTGACAAGCATTGAAATGCCTGAAATTTATCAATAGTGTGTTTCTAAGCTATTATTTGCCTGCTACTACAACAGGAGTTCTGAAGAGTTGAATAGATGCGAGAGTATTTCAGTTCTTATAACGATACAATTCATTCTTTTTACATTTAATAAATTATTTACGATTTTTAAATGTGTTCTTAATTAATCCAAGTAACTTTTTACGCACTTTATAAATCACTACACTCAGTCGGCGATGTATCAATCGTCTTTTGTTTCTCGATATAATTCTGCGTCTGAAGAGCACTAGTCCTCCTTTCCTTTTCACTGGCACGAATATACGACGTTTCTTCGACGCTGCCTTCCCGCTTCGAACCGACATACAAAATTACACCCCACAAAGTCAGCAGTTGTCGACACTGATCTCGCTTCTGGCAATTTCTCTTTTTCGTAGTTCTTGCGATGGCTCTCTATAGTCCAGCTGTGTTAATTTTGTAACGCTATTTATCGGTGTCATTTAGTTGAATTTTATTGATCTGAAATAAAAATTTGATTATATTTAATTTAAAAAAGATGTACTCTCCTATTTGGTTTAAATATGACGAGTAAATTTGTCAGCTTGAATCTACCTTTCTTGAAATGCTAACTTCATGTCCAAGCCATGTTATTTGTCTCTTTATTGTGATTGGTTCATTTTTATTTACAAAATAATTCAAATATTGCAATAATTTAATGTAAGAAACATTTCACAACATATGTTAAACATTTTGTAAAGTGAATGAATTAGTAGTTATATAATTTAATTGTTGTAAAGTAAAAAAATATGTTTATAGACATGCTTGATAATTTGCTTCAAAAATGTTCTAAATGAACTAAATCAAAGGTTTTTCGATTTTATAAACAATCTTATAAAACAATTGTGAGATAGTCATTTCAACAGAATAGATGAAATGACGAGGATAATAGTTACAGTTTTTTGTATTTATTTGTGACATTTTTCTCGAGTCGCATAATATAATATTCAGTAACTGTATTTACAAGTCATCGATCCAGTGCATAGACTAAACGTATTTTAGTTTGCTCGGGTATCGATTTATTTACAAAAATGCGTCTTCGTATTACGGAGCAACTTTTTTAAGTCCGCAAATGCGTGGGACAGTATCTCAAATATCTTCCATTTAATGAAAGCAGAAATATATGTAATCACCGCGATTGCATCTTACAAAAAAATTTAAGTGAAAGTTCCTCTTGCGCCTTAATGATAATTACTTCACTTTTCCTCTTGTTCTCCATCAAATATTGGTAAAGAAGCTTCGTCGCCCTCAAAAAATGAAGCTAGATATAAATTACACTCTTCAGAGACATAACAGACATAATCCTAAATATCTCAAGAAAGAATTATCAAGAGAACTGATGGTTACATTGAATTCTGGTGTAGAAACGTGGGGTACACAGTGTCCCAAAGAATATTTTTCAAATAAACTTTTAGTTTCAAACATTCTCTAACTTGAATCAATTATTAAAAATTGTTTTGTCAACTTATTTCGCTAAATCTAATTACTTTTAAATATATATAATATCTATGTTTTATTTCGGAGTACTCAGTACCTCGCGCTTCCTTTTACGATGTAGCAAATTAACAATAGCGTAATGTGACACTTGGAATTTGCATGGTCTATATATATATATGTATGTAATGTCGAAACGGAAGATGTTCTTGGTGGTACTTGCATTAAGATATCATGGTTGAATGACTTAAATTCCTTTTACTCTTCGTTCTAATACACTTTGTACACTTATGGACGCTTGAAATAAGCTTATATAGTGATGGATCGGTCGGAGATTCAATCTGAACAATCGCGCTTAATATGATCGCCAAATGAGAAAACGTCGATGAACGAAAATGCTATTGAAACGAGATCTCTCTGTCACGCGTGCCGCCGTACAGTAATTGTTTATAACATTGTTTCATTCGATCCTACAAACGTAAACAATTACAATTAGCGCAATGTTAGAGTCCCATTACGCCGCTTTGCATTTCTCGAATTTTTGCTAATCTAATGTATAGATATATTATAAAATTAGCGAACGTCATTGATTAAAGCATATTATCTGCACTATATTTGTAATCGTCATCTACATGCAAACTACTTTTTCAATATATATATTTTAATACTTTTCAATGCTTATTAATATATATATATACATACATATAGAAGTGCATATATAAAGCAACCAAAAGCTTGTGCGGTTTTTCATATCAAATTTAATATAAAAAACTACACAAACTTTTTTAGTTACCTTAGGAGTGCATTGATACATATATATTAATACGTCGACTCGCACTTGTCACTAAATTGTTGAAGATAGATGATATTACAAATATAGTCTCTTCGAAGGTAAGCTCTTTTATAAAATATAGCTGTGTGAAGATGTTATGTATCGGATAACAGATGATTAAATCATGATTAAATCATGATTCATTCATGCTTTAACATTTAGCTTTAACAACATGCCAAATGATAACAGGAATGATAAATGAATACAGATTAATTTGACACTGTATCACAAATAATAATGTTTGCGCTAGTCTAATTTACAGATTTTGTGTTCACGCATAATTTTCGTCAAACTGATTTATACGGAATTTCCAGAAATTATTCATATTATACAAAAATAAAATATTTTTTTCACAATCATTGCAAAATAATCATAAATTTCGTTATTTTTTTGTTGTGTTTCTAAATTTATGTGAATTTATTTCATATGAAATAATCTTTGTGTAATATTATATATGATTAAAAAAGAAAAAGATTATCATATGCAATAAAGCAAAATACGAAACTAATTAATATTCACAAATTAAAATATGTAACTCGTTTATGTAAATGTCATGCAATTAGTAGAGAGACATAAATACTAGTTTTTAATGTTCCTTTTGGCAAAATGCAATACTTTAAAGTATAATTATATGTTTAACGAACTGTGACATAAGAAAAATGCAATTATGCGCGCATAATGAGACTCTAATGTACATATATAGGGAAATAGTAAATAATGCTACCTACCAAAACGTAAGACAAAGTAAACTTTTGAAGACAGAATTATCGTTTGAAAGTAGGCCGAATATTCTCTTTGCCATTATATGGAAATTGTTAATCTCAAAGTGAGCAATTAAATCGAAAGCAAACACATGGCTATTAAACGGTATCGATCTTTCACAAAGATATCTCGTTTAGATTGATCCTCTATTGGCTGGTGGAATGTTCTCGTTTCCTTTAATTAATTCTGCGAACGATTTTTCTACATATCTTCCGAGGTTTTTTTTTTTCATTAAGAGACATGTCAGTCTATCTACCTGTTTCGATCAGGATAATGACACCGCACTCTCACGCGCTTCTTCTACGAAGTATATATTATATATTTATTTTTTTTAATAATATACGTATGACTTGATGTCATGTTCATCGTTTTATCTCATAACGCTGTTAATAAGGTCGTATCGTTTTGCGGTAATACGAATAGGATATTAAATACGACATCACCACTCTGTGTAAGTAATCGCAATCGGGTGCTAGCTTGCAGCTCACGAGTTGGAGGAGTCCGCCGTATTATTTGCCTAAGGGATTTTGCAAGTCCCGTCGTAAATAAGCAAGCGACGTATTCTAGAAATAATACTAGATTAAACGTTTCGACTATCTAAACCTTATTCCTGGCGACAACGATAAGTGTTCTTTTTTTTATTTTTTTTTTTCGCATTAGACATTACGCAATATGTAGACTACATCTTTATGCCTGCTGCTGAGACAGGATAAGAGTATTTATTCCGTTTTGTGCTTCCCGGATTTGAGGAAATTAATCGTGCAACACGGTGCTTTCAATATTTACGAATCATTGCCAAATACAATCATAGCACATCTTCATAACTTACAATTTGCAAGGTTGTAAGTCAACTTTTATAACTATCAATTGACAAAATAAAATTAAGGGAAATATTTTCTTGGAATAAATACACGTTGAAATCAATTGATTAGGTCGCCAAACAAATTTTACAATCTTGGGCAATGAGACGCAAACGCGTAAGAAACTTGCAGTCCTATCTTAGGCAAATAGATTTTATCCTGTTGTCATTTAGAAAGTACGCATATCAAGCTCCACAGCTTGTCATAATCAACAATAAGAATTTTCACATTTTTTTTTCAGTCTTATAAGCAATACATCGTTTTCGTAGAAAGCTATTCACCTTTTTCTGCGTTCCTTAAACGACCTCCATTTTTTTTAACATCACATACTATCCTGTACATTTGTATTCTTTAAATAACATTCCGCGAAACTTGGAAAAATGGCTTCACAAACGATGTCACCGATTCTTTTTCTTTTCGACGAAAAAAGATCTTTCAAAAGAGAAGTACTGCCCAACCGATTAACCGACTATTCGTAATCAAAATTGCATTACTTCGTTAAACTCTTTGTCGATACGAAGACTTGATAAAAAGATCTACATAGGCGAGCACCGTTTTGTAATTCAGCGGCGGTGTATTCAGCATTCGTGCGTAGGACACACCAGGTATCGGGTGCTTCGGACATGAAGGGAGATGTACCGCGAAGAATACCGTATTGTTCGCAGTAACGTTACCGATTTGCAATCTCTCGCGCTTGCAAAACTTTCAACATAATCCGACAATACAGTACAATATCACTTTAGTTATGCACTATGGTTGATGCATGTTGCAGTTTCTCGAGCTCCTCCAACGACAGGACGTTCGTCTGCACGAGTTCCGGCAGCTTGCCAGCCCGCGCTTGAGCGAGTAGTTCCGGGCTGAACCATCGCGCGAGCTGATTAGATGTTGGCGAGAGGTCACCTCCGTTACTGCCCACAAACCCGAGGCCCGGCGAAGGTTGACGGCCAACCGGCATGTTCATTTGCTGCGATCGCATCGCACGTCCATCTGCGAACATCCCATCATCATTGTTATAATGGTTACCGTTTGAATAATAAAAGAAATACTATTAGCACGTATCGTGTAGAATAACTACACGACAGTTGGATAAACGCCAACGATAGAGAATATTTATATATGCTAACATTGTGATATAAAGCATCTCGAGATAGTTAATGATTGTTTACTTAGTTCAATCCAAAGGTAAATGACATCAAGACGGGATTAAATGAGGGATAGCTATGAATGGCTCGCTACTATTCCGGTTTCTGAATACCGTTGCACGCAATTTGATTTGGGAGAGGAGAAACACCTGAAAATCGTCGTGAATAGGAAAACACTCTGAGTTCATTAAAGATCGATACTTATAGAAGCTAAAAATTCCTGAGAATTCTTTTTAGTAAAACACTCTCATCGTTATTTCGCCGTTCAAATCATTACCTGTGCGACTGGAATTGTAATTTTGGTTCACGACAAGTTGCATCGGTGTATTTACACTCCGCTGCGGCGGTTGCTGCTGCTGCTGCTGCATGTTGGCGGTTCCATGCGGCGGTTGTTGCTGCATATTGGCGAGATGCGACGGGACTTGCTGAGTCTTCATTTGAGTATTTATAGGATTTGACCTCTGATTCATAATCGAGTTCTGCGCCACGTTGTACTGCGGAACGCTGTGATGCGGCGGTAGCGAGGTCGCCATCGTGTGCTTAGATCTCGGTGGGTTGCCGTAAACGTTTGAGACCGTCCTGTGCTGATGCTGTTGAAATTCTGCATTTCCCGCATTGTATTGGAACTGATTGCCGCTTGTGTTGTTATTGTTGCCGCCTTTTACTATAGGTCGACCTAAAATTAGAATTTCGTGATTAGAATGATCAATAGTTTACATCATCACATCTTTTATACAAAAATAATAGAACCATTGAAAATTTTAATCTTGTGGAAATCTATAGTTTTCTAATCAGATACTAATACATCAGATTTTTTCCCCAGACTTTTCCCTATAATATTTTACAAGAGTTAAGAGAAATAAACCTGGATGTTGTTTAAGCGATGGATTCGACCATGTCGATTGGACAGCTTGCGGTCGTAATGCGGTGTGTCTCGAGAGAGCCCCGTGCGCAAGTAATTGTACTGCAGACTGCATTTGTTGCATTTGCGAAGCCTGAGTTTGTGTGGACATTTTGGATGGGTCATTGCTGCTTCCTATATCAAGATACAAAATCATTTTGTAGTACGAGCAATTATATAAAATTAAAGCTGAACATTTATGATACCGCAAAGGTTAATGCTTTCTCAATGTTAATGCTTTTTCTTAAATTTTTAATATTTATATATATATATCTAAATTAGAAGCTTTTTAATTTATGATTTATGTAATGTTTACGTACGTATAAACATCGATTCGTGAAGCAATAAATCTACTGAATATTATTGATTGAAACATTGAATTATCTCTAAGTGTCTTTCTGTCATATTTTATAAATAAGATTATATTATGAATGTCTAATTAATAATCGTTACCAATAATTCAATCAAAGTAATATAATACAGCTGTTTGTATATATTATATTTATTTCTCTAAAGCACAAAATAACATGCAAATTTTGGCAAGCGAAAAGATCAAGCAAATAGGATAGTATTAGAAAAAATGAAAAACCCAAGAATAGGTGAAAAGATGCAATACTACTAAGAGGAAAGAAAATGTGAGTATGTGTAAAAGAAAAGTTAGAGCAGATGAGAGAGATAAGCCTTTTATTATTAAAAAAAAAAACCTATTCCAACATACTATTCAAGAGAGTAATAAATCTATGTTAAGAAATGAAGAGTTTATTTTATAAAGTGCGTATCTCTTTGTATCACATATAAAATAAAAATAATATACTTCTAAACATCTGTCAGATCAGAGAGCCTTCTGAGCCTTCTCCAGCTTCTAGGCTTTCCAGCATTGAAGACGTTAAGAGAAGAAACAAAACAGCTGTGCTTTTTCATTATAACGCAAAAATAATAGTAAAAAACAAAAATATAACTCTGGACAACAATCAAGAATCATCATTTTATGAAATAGCTAATTGCACTTTATGAAACTCCTCATCCACGAGATAGCGCAATTAAACATTTTTTTTTTTTAATCGTGGATTGCAAGTAACGTAGCAATTTTACGATTCAACGGTCTCAACTTCTATGTTAGCTGTAGAAATTTTAGCGTTTGATGGCGTAGATGTGGTGATTATGTTATTCTCTTCCGGAGTTTTCAGCTCAGACGATTCGCTTGGTGCTTCATCGATCGAGACACAATTGTTATTGTTGGTATCGTTATCAACATCTACTACATTGGACTCAGTTGCTTTTGCGTCGTCGTTTGCATTTTCATTAACATCAAGGAAAACATTTTCCTTTGCTGTGATAATATTTGAACTATCATCCGTGTCTTTTTTCTGCAGTATTGAACACAAATATTTGGTTTTTAATGCCGATTCTTCCGTGCCGGGAGCGATATTATTATTTGTATGATTAGCTATGGCAGATTGCAGAAAGATCATTTTGAGAGTTTCATTTTGCACTTTATTGACAAATTTGGAAAATTTAGACGTATCGACGGAAGAAACGGCGGCGTGCATCTGATTATTTTCACACTGAGGCATGCCGGAATGATTAATGTCTCCATTAATTGTGGGAGTAGTAAAGGAAGCCGTTTCTACTTGGCGGAATTGATTCGCACCGTCGGGTTCCTTATCAGCAGTCATTTTACGTAAAACGGAGGTTGGAGTAAAAGCGAGCGGACTGGCTGTTTGCTTAGCTGGTGAGTTAACAGGACTAGACGCGCGCTGCTGCTGAACTTGTTGCTGCTGCTGTTGCTGCTGCTGCTGCTGTTGTTGTTGCTGCTGCTGCTGCTGCTGCTGCTGTTGATCCTGCCGTTTACGGAAATTCTCACGCTGCTCCTCCAATTTCTTCTTAATTAAAGCACCTTGCATTATGGATTGAGTGTGCATAACGATCTCCCGTGGCGACGGTACTCTGTGTGGCATCACTGTTATAATAACAATGATAATAATTGTTTAACACCTTCCTCAATTTAATTAATATTGCCTAACCATAATCTATCTGTCGAAAAAATCTGGTAAAATATCGAGTAATATTCTACTGTATGCCGTCTCCTATGTCTTCTAAAAGTTTCATATTTGTGTAGATTTTAACGTTATACATCTTTTTTTGCCCGCGCATAGAAAATCGCAAGTATTTTTTATAATGAATAATATAAAAAAAAAAATTGCAAAATACAAAGTCGCATTTACTAAGTTACCTGGATGTTGTACTGTTAAAGTACTAGGACTAGCGGCTAAATTTGGCGATATTATTGGAGGCGGGCAATAAGCTGCATTCCAGACACAATGCAAAATCATATAACTCAGTAAAATTTCGAGCTCCTAACGTTTGATCGATGTTCAAAAGGAAGAGAGGAGAGAAGTGCAGAAAGACTCACCATTGTTCATCGGGGATGGAATTCTCTGTTGCTGCTGCTGATATAGCATCTGCTGCAGGATATGATCCTGGGGGGTGGGAGCAGTGGGATGAGGATGCGGACTTATAGTACGAGGTGTGGTGCCACCGTACATTTTCAAAATGTTCACCAAGACTTCCCGATGGCGATGCTGCATGGCGGGATTCTGTCGATGTGATACGATTACAAAAAAAGATCTTTACATTAGATACTCCCTAATAAATATAATAGTTTAATGACACGATAATTTACCTGCAACTGTTGTATGAGATGTTGTCTGGTGATCTCCCCTTGCTGCAGACCTTGAATGATCGCTTGAGCTTCCGGTCGTTGCAAAAGCTCTTGGCTCGACGCGACATTGTTTATCATTATTTGCATCTCCGTCGGACTGACACCTAACATTCGTTGATTGCCCATCATCATTGACATCATGGCATCGGAATGTCGCTGTTTCTGTTGTTGTTGCTGCTGCTGTTGCTGTTGTTGCTGCTGCTGCTGCTGTTGTTGTTGTTGCTGCTGCTGTTAATAAAATATGTTATTTGAATACATTCATCGCGCATCGTTAATTAAATAAATGGTTACATCATACCTGTATTTGCAAGACTTTCATTAGGTTCTCGTGCTGCATCTGAGCCTGATGCGGATGCTGCGTGGGACCAAGAGGTCCGACATGATTAAATGTCGTAGTATGAAGTGTTTCCGCGGGCGGCTGCTGATGCGGCATCGGCGGTTGCTGGGTTTTCAGTTGCGAATTAAGCAGCTGGAAAAGAGAATGTGAATCATTATATACGTTTAATTAATATTTCGGGGAAAATCACACGCAAACTTACTTGCATTAACGTTACAGGTTGTTTTTGAGTGATAGGTCCGTTAGCTGCAGGCACAGCTTGTCCTCCAGTCACTTGAGCAAGCTGAAAAATTAATTTTGAATAAGTTTAAAGTTTCGATAAGCGAAGTGAGACGATTGTTCGATTAGCGACGCACCAATTTTTTAAAAGCAGAGAGATCTTCTTCAGTCTTATTTACACGGGGTGTATCAGTCGAAGTCGCAGGTGGAGGAGCACCACCCCGCATGCGTGCTTCTAATTCCTCTAAGCTGTGCACAACTTTTCCACCAACTTCTAGAAAGAAATTCGAATCTTTCATGTTTTGCGTAAAATTATAATATTTCACAGTGATATTTGTGCAAACAATATTCGCCTTACCCAAATCTTTAATAGAACAATTCTTCATCATGGGAATAGCCGTGTTGGTCGCGTCGCCTTGGCCGTTTTGATTCGGCTTATTACCGCGATGTAGCATTTCCAATAACTTAACGCCGTTCGTAGCCGTGTTGGCGTTGTTCGTCGTGTTGGCCGGAGAAATTGGAGCGAAGTAGGTGTTCGATTCTGTCACTGATGGTATCTGTATGTTCGGCTCGGTGATGTCGTTCAACAGATTATTCAGCAGTTCATCTTGTATGGAAGTTCTACGACTGTCCGCCTGCTGAATTGGACTTTCCCTCTTAAACCACTGACTGAAGCGGGAACCGGTGCCACTGTTGGAGCCAACTCCGTTCTGCGAACAAGGAGAAAACGATGTATTCAAGCGACATGGAGAAATAAAATTACTTTCGACAAAATACAAAGATGACGACTTACCGTTAACAGTCCGGAAACACCGGGGAACGTATCGGACTTCAGGAAATCGTCCAGGAACTTCAAAGGATGCGAGTCCTCCTGATTCTGATTGGCGTTAGAATTCTCTGCGGATTCGGACGTCGTCTGTTCGGTCACGGTGCTCTCACTGACGTCATTCTCCTTGGTCTGAGTGATGGAGGATTGCTCAGTCTGTTCAGAGATCGGAGAATGCGGCGCCGGTACAACGTTCATAGGTTGATCCATCACGGTGGGTGTGCTTCGGCCTTTCGGGCCCGCCGAGCTCTCGCTCGCTTTATCATCCTTCTCCGTGGAGTTCTTCTTGCCCCGTTTCTTCTGCGCGGGCGTCTGCTTCTTGCTCTTGGCATTCGTATTACTGCTGTTCACCGCCTTCTCCTCCGGGATATCCTCAAAGCCTCTCAGCTCGATGGTATCGTGCTGAGACGTAGGCCCGGAGCTGAACCATTCGGGCTCGTCCAACTCGCGATTGTCGCTGTAAGTTCGTCGACGATCGTTGCCAAATCTCTTCTCGCGCCCACGATCCTTGTCGCGATCCGTTTGATGATTGTTCCGTTCGTTTCGCTCCACTCCTCTATCGCCGCGATCGCGCTCTCTATCGCCGCGATCACCGTAATCCCGGCCGAATGATCTCCGCTCGAATCTCTCGTCCCGCTCGCGCAGATTGTCACGATCACGCTCTCTGTCCCGTATATCGCGCTCTCTGTCCCGCTCCTTCCCGTCGCGATTATCTCTGTTATCGCGATCGCGCAGAGAACCGCCGCCGGCCGTGCCTGACCTAAAGCCGTAATCCGCTCGTTCGGGTTCGATCTTCTCGTTCTCCGATCTGAAGTCCCATATATCCCGCGTCAGAATCCTGCCGCTGCCGATTCGGCGAACAGGCTCGCGGTGGCTCACCTGAAAAGTGTTCCGTAACTGTGTTTATAAACACGATGTAGTGCGACGCAAGTGGAAGCGAACGCTGGATGGATGTGTCTCGATAATACAAATCGATTGAGCGATAAGAATGTACCTCTGTTTTGCCAATAGGGCTCTCCGGACGACGATTTGGTGGCTGACTCACGTTAACGAAACATCCCGAGTTAAAACTTCTTCGTTGGGGGCTCAAAACGATGCCGTCTTGCTCCTTACGTATTCGGTCCCGTGGGTCGCCATTGTTACGTCGCTTACTATGATTCTCAGTGATTTGATCACTACGTCCAGTCCGTTCCTCTTTCGGGGGTGTATCACTGCGCTTTCTGTCCGAGTGCCAACGTTCAGGATCCCAAACACCTCGCGCGCTGCAAGCGAAAGAGAAGATGCTGTGAAACATTAATATTCCGCGAGAAGATTTTAATAATAATACCCTCGCCACACGCACTTGTTGCAAGCAACGTCCAAGAATGCAGGCCTAATTTTCGACAGTCGTAAATTTTTTATCAGCATCAACTCCTCCTAAAAACATAAGAAATATGTAAAACAATAAACACTGCGACAAACAACGCTCGTAAATATCAGTTAAGCAACATGTGAGAACAATATTTACCCGAGAATATTGAAACTGAGGTCTGGAACGGCCTACTTCCATGATTGAAGTGTCAGTCACCTCTCCGGCCACCGACATTGATATAATGGCCTCATCTCCTGCAAAATGACAAAAAAAAAATATATATATATACATATATATATATATGCAGCCATTACGGGAAGGAATGTAGCGATAAGACCAGATCGCCTCGTTTTCGACATAAAACCAATCGAAATTCAACAATGGCTAATCCACAGAAAATTTCAAGGTCACACTATCTTCTGATCGTAATCTTACAGCCGCTACATGTACGAGCGATTATTGGAATGACTCGGCGCAACGCGATTGTACTTACGAAAGGTCACCCGCTTAAGAGGATTGACGGATTTGTTTTTCCGAAACCAGCGGCAGGACCTAGTCTGCATGACCAAGGCGTCCAGGAAAGGGGACCCCGTTGGCCCGACTAGCGGACGCTTCCGCGGGCGCCGGTGCCAATTCGATCCGATAAAATTCTGGACGGCAATGAGTCTCATTGCAAAATCACTTGTCTCGCAGAAATCAAGTGAGAAATTGGTATAGGAAAACCTTTCTAAATCTGTCGGGTCGCTCTGCCCTATCTAACCGTCGTTGTATCTACTCGCGCAAACGTCTCGCTAATGTAAACAAACAGGTGAAGGGCAAATAGTCTGTGAATTCCCGAGTCGAAGTTTGGTCACGAATAACGTTGGCCCGTAAATCAAACAAAAAGATTCTCTCATAAAACTCGTTAAAAACCTCTGAAGCTCGACAGTAAAACTCGAATGAGATCTGAATATCGAAAAAAATCTCTCTCTTTCTCTCGTGGATCTTAAGGCCTGTGGAAGACGATTCCGAGAAAACTTGTATGAATCTCTCGTTCTTTTACCAAAGCAATGTGAAAAACACTTTTTTTTTTCTCTTACTGAAGAAAAAATAAGAATTTTTTCAAATACGCTAGATTATAAAATCGCTTATTCCCGTCATCAAAGAGTAAGTATTTGATGTTAGAAATAATGGTCAACTAGATAGATATGTTCACTGCCTGTATATCACTCGCACGACTCAATGTACTGAAGAAATGTACATATATAAACAGATGTGTAAGAAAGTACGATGCAGACTGACTAATTCCAAACTGCTCTCACACAAGATAATACTCTCACAAGCCAATCAAAGCTTTCCTGAGAAAATCCTAGACAAGGCAGTGCGTGATTGGTCACAAAGATGATTTAAATGTAACTGATCTTGGCATATATGGACATTTCTAGATGCTGTGATCGTCCTACAAACACAAAGATATATAAAGTTATATCGAATAGAATATATCATATTAAGTTATTTGTAAAGTATAAAATTCTTTGCTTACTTTAGGATGTTACTCAAATTTATATAGAAAGCATGGATTCTGTTAATTTCATGAAATATTTAATGGTTCTAAGTATATAAAATAAAATTAATTAATAAAAACAAGGAAAGAAAACACAACTAATGTTAATATAATTTTTAATGTACACTATCTATATTGAAGAGTGGATCAAAAAGAAGAAGATAGCAAAATTAATGGACAGTGGACTGCAACTTCTATTGCTTTGATCAGCTCTCTGTTTATACATACGCACGCAATGCACAAATAGATCAAAAATAGATAAACTTTTTGTGAAGAAATGAAAGAAGAGCGAATACCTACAATATTGAAGCAAACTGATAGGAGCATTCCCTTTCTCTCACATTGCTTTTAACATTGGTTTTATGTGAATCGACATCATGTCTGTTCTATTTAGCTACACCTTCCGTATTTCCGTTTTTCCTCTTTCTCTCCGCAAACATGGTGGGCTACACGCTTATATCTCGTGCGAAAAACGTGTCACATAAAACAGCCAAAACGAAAAAGATAAACTTATTTTCGTTAAAGAAAAATAAGCGAACTCTCGTGAGAGGTTATTTCCAACATTGTCAGCGGCAATGAGAAATTTCGCGGAATTCTCGTTCACTTCGGAAATAATAATTTGAATAAAAAGAAAGTCATTAGACGATAATTATCAAACAGAACGTACCTTCTTCCTTTTTCGTTGTCGTTGCCGCGGTCGTCGTCGCCGTCGCCGTCGCCGACGTCGTCGCCGTTGTCGTCGTCGTCGTCGGCGACGGCTGTTTGTCACTTGTCACAGACTCAACGGACATCGCGTCGCCTGGATTACGTTGGTGACCTCGTCGGCTGGTGGAGGATAAGTGTCCTTGACGCCTCTTCGATTTGTTATCTACTAAGATCCTTTATGTGATCTCTATCTACGTTTTGTACACCATACACGAGCAGCGGTACGTAACACACACACACACATACAAACACACGTATCACACGTAGACACCAACACAGCAGACTGAACGCGCGCGCGGAATCGCCAGCTAGCTCGCTCGCTCGCTCGCACACACAAGAGGGCAACGCGTGCACCTATAATATACGCACGAAGTTTTACACCTCTGGTTATATATATGTATATATATTGCTTAGTACTGCTTAGTATCACAGACTGGTTTTCCCTTCTATGTCCCACGGCACAGGCAGCAACGACGAAGCTTCGACGAGGCGGTGTGTGTGTGCTTCTTTTTCCCGACCGTTTCGATGAAGAGATGAACGAATAGAAGCAGAAGGGCGGGAGGGGGAGAAAGAGAGAGAGAAAGAGAGGAGAGAAAGAGAACACGGGATGAGGAAAAGAGCGTGTTTACGGGATGCTGAGAGAGCGAGAGAGAGAGTCTACACGCGAAGCTGCGCGGACGGGTGGGCTTTTGACGGATACTCGCAAGCGGCACGATCGCGTGGACTTTTTCAGTGTACGTGTCGCCAAACAGTCATCTCATGTCACAGTCCCTGTTGCAGCTCCCCTGCCGATCGCCGTCAGTCCATCGATCTGTATCGCACAAACAACCGACGATAAAAAAAATCTCCCGTGTATACACACACGCGCGCGCGCGACACTTCAGCTCTCACTCGCTTTTGCGGTGCAATGCAAAAATAGAAAATGGCGTACGTCGAATCCCCACTTCTGCCGCTGCTGTTTCACGTTGCCTCCGCGATCCCTACGACGAGCAGCGAGCGTTTCCGTAGCGCCGAGGTGATTAGAGCGAGGGGAAGATGGAGTTTACGGTACGGGTCCCTGGAAGGACAGAGACGGGCGCTAGCGACGAAGGCGCTGTCATCAATGAGGGTTCGACGGCCACTACTATTTGTCGACGATTAAAGTCTATTCATAATCGCTCTGCATAAAGGATTATTCATAGGATTTGCGTAGAAAAATTGTCCAATCTATGTCTAGTAACTTTTGTACATATGTTTTGTACATATATTTTAAGGTGTATGCATGACACAACGCGATTAACTTATGATTAACTTCACTTGCCGATGCGTTGCAAATGTTAACTCTTTTTATGTATTCTGGGTTTTATTTTGTAAAATTTATTTTTTAATTAAATATTGTCCACATTTTAAAATGATTATTTTTACAAAAATCACGATTATGCAACTATTGCGTGGCTGGGCGCAGCCAAATAATAATGATAATTTTACAATATCTCGTTATCGCGAATCTTAAGAGCTAATAAAAATAAAATATATTTAATATTTATTAATCTATATTTAATATTTGTGGCAAAATATTAAATTGTTATTTGTTATTGCTATGGAATATATTTACCGTAATACAAAATCTTTTACGCATACTGTTTTCTCACTAGGATTTTGTTGTGAGTGTAATACTTGGTTATATCTCAATAAATGAATAAAATGTTTTGCATGAAGTTTTATTACATTTTGCATATATTAAGATTACATATTCTATTATCTTTCAGTACGTTTGCATAAGTCAAGCCTTGCTTTTGTTCCAAAATGCAACCCAGTGAGAACAGAAGATGTGATGAGATTAAAAGAATTTATCAACAAACATGATCGTTTGTGCATATTAACTGGAGCAGGAATATCCACAGAAAGTGGTATTCCCGATTATAGATCAGAAGAAGTTGGTCTTTACGCTCGAAGCAATCATAAACCAGTTCTGTATCAACAATTTTGCAAAAGTGAGGCAATCAGAAGACGATATTGGGCTAGAAATTATATTGGCTGGCCAAGGTGTTTATTTTTTTGTAGCTTATATTATATATTTTTGTAGGAAAACGAATAAAAATTAATAAATTGACATTCTTTATCAGCTATACCTTTGCAGGTTTTCATCTCTTAAACCGAACATTTCACACAAGATATTAAAAGAATTGGAATCTGTTGGGAAGGTACAATGCATTGTTACACAAAACGTTGACAATTTACATTCAAAAGCAGAAAGCAAGAACGTAATAGAGTTGCATGGAACAGCATTTAAAGTTATGTGTCTCAATTGCGATCATAAAATATGCAGACACAAACTTCAAAAGATCTTCCAGGAACTTAATCCATCTATGACTGCAACTACTCAAATGATAAGACCTGATGGTGATGTGGAATTATCACAGGTACATAAATCAATTTTATCTGTACGAGCTATATAATTTAGTTTAAATAAGAAAATACTTTTTGAGACATATTTCAACAAAATATTCTTATTAGACACAAGTGGAAGGCTTTAACATTCCTGCTTGTCATAACTGCGGTGGTATTTTGAAACCGGATATTGTATTTTTTGGCGACAATGTGCCACATGGCACAGTAGAAAATGTGAAAAATAATGTGGAGAGTTCCGATGCTTTGCTAATTCTGGGGACAACTCTTACTACATTTTCTGCATACAGAATTGTACTGCAAGCAGTTGATGGCAAGAAACCAGTAGCAATAGTAAATATTGGTAAAACGAGAGCTGATGAATTAATGAACTTAAGAATAGAAGGTAGATGTGGAGACATTCTTTCAAAAGTTTGGCAATTAAATGCTAAAAACAATTATATAAGTTGATGACAAATATAGTTTTTAAATTTCAAATTATATTTGTGGTAATTTATTCAAGTGTTGTATATGAATAAAAAATATTTACTGTGCCATAAAATAATTTTTTTTAATTAATAAACTCAAAAAGGTGCAATAAGAATAAGCAAATATATTCTTGGAAAATTCATACTCTTCCTTCGTTTAATTCTGTATTCGAATTTTTTTCAGATATAAATATCCATTAATGCATATATAAATCCATTAATATATAATCAAATATATCAATTTTTTTAATGGGAAGACTTTGCCTCCTTTGCATTTTGTAAACTTTGAGTGATATACAATTTCGCTAAGCTTTGAGCACAGAATTGTGAGATGTGTTCACTGTACGTGTTAATCTGTCCAGCAACAATCATTGGATTCAACCTTGGTGGAACTGGCAGAGGTCTCATCAATTTATTGATATCATCGTCAGGTAGCGGTGGCTCGTCCTTCGCAGCTCTGGCAGCATTTTCTTGAGCTCTCTTAGCCAAAAGCCTGTTCTTATCTTGCTGTTGCCGAACCACCAATTGTTGATACCTATTGAACTTCATAGCTTCCTGATTCAGTTCATCTACTCGATCCATCAAGCATCTCAATTGATTCTCCAACACTGTAGCTGTTCCAAGATCCAAATACTTTGTACCCTGTTCCTCAGGAATCATTTCGTCCAACTCCGACATCATAATGTTTGTCAAATTGCTATTCTTTATAACCACTGGAATCTCAACAAAGAGACTTTCATATCCAATTTTTAAGGTACGCAGAGCTTCCGGAGTAAATTCACTCTCCTTGTACATTTGTATCGCTTGTGGAGTGAGACGGTATGCTTTGAGGGTCAAAAAACCTCTGGCAGATTTTGCTGTGTCGTAAATAAGCACAACTGACTCTTCAATAGAAGTTTGATAATGATATTGCGATTCCAACAAAGAAAGATTAAGGAAGTTGCCAACATCTGCACTCTGATACCAACCAACATGGAAGTGATCGACATTCACCCTGTAAGTTCATAAACAAAACAATCCTTGTTTTAGAGAAGTCTAACATTCCTGAACTAATTCTACGAATTGACACTTACCATCTTAGTCTTCGCATCATAGCAAGTTGATACTCCTCTTCGTCCATGATTTCGTCATTTTTAGGAAACGGGAAGCAGTTGGTGATCTCCAAGCGGTTTTGCACGACCAGACCAAGAAGAGCACCTTGAGCAACCTCCATGTTACCGGAGGACTCCTCGTGGCAATGCTTCACCATTTTCATCACAACCAGTCCGTCGCATTGCACATAATCTATACGAGGTTCCGCCTCGGGGATCCTTCTTGACGTCGCTCTCGACACCATTTCGACGGATTTAATCTCTCGTAACTAAAACACTTACACGCGCCCAGTCGAACTTACGTCAAAAGAGGTTAGCACGAAAGGATGAAAAACCCTTTGTGACGTCACTACATATCATTAAAGTGGTTTTTCATGTCTCAAATCGAGTTTACATGAATTCTACTGACGCTAGTTGTCGCTAGTTGTCGTTGATATCAAACGCTTGTTTAATATCGGTCTTAAAATTGGTTATATATTCGAACCGCGAAAAGTAGATGTTTACGTCGGTTGAGTACGTCAGAAGTTTAAATGTAGGTATGCCTGGTAAAACGGTTTTTCTTGAGCGATGTGTGATAACGATGATGTGAGAATTGCAGTGTTCCATTTTTTAAAAGACTGACAAGAGTAGTTTGTAAATTGCAGTAATCCACAGTATTACACTCTGAAAAATGAATGATATGCAAGTAAAACTTGATACATGGTTAAAATTAATACAATCAGAAAAATTGGATGAAAATCTATTGGAAGATATTCAGGTATGTCTGTTTGTTTAATTTGTGTTATTTGCAGAAACAGTTTAATTTTTAATATTTTATTTTAGACAAACATTCAGTGGTGGTCAGGCAATTTATTGAACAAGGTTGTCTTCAAATTACTGGTGCATTTATGTCGCACAGCAGAAAAATGTGACACACAGAACTATGAGACTGGAGAGAGAATTGCTGAGTTAACTAAGCTGCTGTGTTCATTATTGGTTGAAGTACCTGATGGCAACAATGACAACTTTGTCAAAATCTTGTTTAAAATTGCACGCTATTTGATCTCTCTGAATATGTATGAGGATGCAGCAGAAATATGTTGTTACTTACAGCCTGGTAATTTGTATAATCCTGAAAATGGCACTGTGGAACTCTTGAACAAAGTAATATCCTTATGGAGTGTCTTAATTAACAATACATTTGTCGCTTTTACTGCTGAATTTTTAAACACAGAACATTACAACCATCTAAAAATTCTCATAAGACATGAAATAAAAATAACTAAAATAATTACATATGAAAATTATACAAAGGATCTGATTGTGAAGATAAGCACATACTTAGATAGAATAGCTTCAATTGACAAGAAAACGAAGAAATATAATGATTTTTGCAATTATATACTGGAATATTTAACAGAAGTGCCGTTACGCTTGGATAAAGATGAAAAATATGTAATATATTACCACATACTTCGCATCATGTGTCATATAATACATATGACTGTTAATATAACTGATGTCGGCTGTACTGTAAAAACTTTTGATAAATTATTTAGTCATTTCAATATTCTCTTAGCGAGAGACAAAGAATGTCACTTATGCTTTCAACAATTTCGAAGCTTATGTACAACATTGTTAATACCAATTAAGAATTTTGTAAGTGATAGTGCCAAAAGTATACAAAATGTTATATGCTGTAATTTGAATATTGCTCAAAAATATGGATATACAGGAGGCCTTAAGCAAAATGCACTCATTATCGATGAAATAGTTGAACCCATGTTTACATACTGGGAGAAGTGCATAGAAGCTGATACATCTATGCTCAAGCATTTGGTTAATACTGACATTTTGCAAGAGATAACAAATTTATTTATAAATATAAATAAAAATGAGTTTTATTGTACGCAAGTGTCAAAGGAATGCAAGTGGTGTCCAGGGAAAGCATGTACAATTAAGAAGGATTTATACAATGTTATAATTATAAAAAGTAAACTTCTTAGTTTATTATGTAAGTCATACATTAAAACCATGTCAGAAAAAATGCAAATTCTTGACTATGCTGCAGAAATCTTGGAGCACAATGTAAAATCAGTCACCAATGAAATGAGAGGGAGCAAATGTAAACGTTGGATACAATTGTGGAATATCTGTTATTCTTTAGTTTATAATATGGGGATATTATCCGTCCATGTTTATAAGAAAAGCGTACATTTGTTCTCGTTGTTGTTCACTTGCATTTTTCAAACAAACTTTAAGTGCCTGGAAAGTTCTAAAGATCTGATAAACTCTGTTTCTCTTGCGCTAAACCAATTAAGTGTTGTACATTACAATAACAGTATGTATAGAGAAGCCATGACTGTATGCGCATTATATGCCTTGTTAACTTACAATCAACCCGATACAAAAGCTTTCTATATGTGGACAAAAATTAAGCAACATGTTTCTAAGGAAGATGCAAAATTAACTATCTTGGAATGCTTGAGGAACGATAAAGATGAGATAAAGAATAAAATGGGCTTTGAAGTTGACACTTCTAAGTGTGATCTGATTAAATTGTATTCACGGGAAGCAAAAAGTTTACTGGAGGCGAAGATTGCATTTACAACCGGTGTATCATCAGTTTTGAAAGAACTTAAAAAATTAAAGCCAAGTAATTACAAATATGCACATGTGATACAATTATTAGGATATTACATATTAGATTTTGAACATGACAGTTCTATTTTGGAGTATCATGAAGAAGCTATATTCAATTTGAAGCAGGACAAGGCGATCTCTATGTCTGTTCTTTGCTTACAAGCCAATTTAAATTTTTTTATATTTGTGGATAAGTTGCACGCAATTAAAGAGCAAACGCATATGGAAATGGAAACGATGAAATTTGCTCTGTGTGCTCCCAAGTTACCAGAAGTTAGCGAAACCAAATCTTCAAATGTAGTGCCCGCTTACAGTATGATAAATGTTAAAGAAGACTCCAGTCTTATGCCAAGTTTGCAAAAATGTTTGAAGAAATGGAAGCAGCTGTTTAAATGCGATATTGTAAGTTGATAAATATTTGTGTAGATAATTATTAGAATCTTTCTGATTCAATAATCATGCATAATAATTTTATTTTACAGAATGAAATTATCAAGAACTTGGAACCTAATCTTATACTGCACATGCTGATAACAGCTGGCGAATATTCCCGCCTATATCGTTATGAAGATTGTGAAGCTGAAGCATGGACATTGGCGTATGAATTAGCGTCAGAGATCAATGATTATTGTACTATTATTTATGGTATGTTTATTACAATAATTAATAGAACAAATTACAGCACGAGTCTCTCAGTGAGTTACAATAAGTTCATATAAATTTTAATAGTCACTGGTCGTTGTATTTCGTTGAGGCAAATTAATTATGATTGGATTGCTATCGCTAAGGAGCTTGCCATAAAGCACAAAGCTTCTGAGAATGAAGATGTAATTGATGCCATTGCTATCTTCTGGATAAGCTTAGCGGATCTCTATTTTGAATGTGGAAAGGTGAGACAATAATATAAAGCATACAAATATGTTCCACTCAACGATATCTACACTAATATGTAATTTTAATCTGTTTTTAGTGTGATGATGCTAAGCAATTACTTAAGGAAGCTAGACGTCTTCCAACAATTTCATTTCTCGATAATATATCTGTATATCTTCTAAGCCTAGATGTTATTATACGCCATCGAAATTTATATAAAAAAGATATGGAGCAAGAAAAGTATAGTTTGTACATTGTGGAAAGTCTGTTTGCGGTGAGGAGCTTGAATGAATCTCTGTTAACGAAAAAATGTAATTATAATTGACAAAACTGTTTGCATTTCCACTCGAATTAATTCTAGTAAAATTGAACTACATACATAACATCTTTTCAGGCAAGAACCAAGTGAGATATCTTTTCAGTTACGATGTGCTCTTCAACACAACAATCAATATATCCATGAAAATAAACAGTCTGTTATCTTCTCGTGGGATCAGTCCGGATTTAGTGCGACGTTTAAAATCGGCACAACGTTTAGGTGCAGTGATGCGCACCGCCGAGCTGCTCAAAGCCCTGTGTTACATCGATTTGTCACGTTCGCAATTGAATGATTGCGAGGTGAAGTTGCAAGGCCTTGAACATATACTGAACATGGAAACATTTCAGTTGTCAATGAATTCCAAGCCCATTCAAACGTTGTCGACTCATTTGATAACCCCCACGAAGTTCGTGGATCCTGTTAGAGATATACAAGAGCACAACTCTTCGCCAGTGCTCGCCAAGCAAGTCTTCGGTCTACCGAAATTCGCGCTGCATGTAGATTGCGATTGCTACAAGTGCGGCAATATGTCGTATCGATACTTGGTCTTCGCTACCACCTGCATCAGAGCGCAGTTGTGCGTTTTACAGAATCAGGACAGCACGGCACTCGATTACTTCCACGGCGCCTTCAAGATAAGACAGAAACTGTTCGGAGAGAAAGAGTCGGTTCTGCCAGAGAACTGGCCGCTTGACGAAATTGGGGTGAAGCGATTCTCTTGGCAAGCGCGATTCTACATCGCCGATTACGTACAGTTGTTGATCGACTTTTGTTATTTCTTGAAGATGAATGTATCGAGACAACAGGATGCGCTCGATATCATCAGCTTAGCGATCAATGTATGTCGCAAGTATAAATTGGAGGGCCATCCCGTCTACGTGTTTGCCAAAGAATTCGTGCTTGACACTGATTTCCAACCGGTACTGGATTCTTCAAGCTGCTTAAGTATGTGTTCTATCTAACGTACAATTCTTTCTTTTTTTCAATTTTATTTGTATAATTTATATAATTTCTCTTGCAGGCTATATGGTTCCACAGTCGTGCGACATTGATATAACCAATTATCTACAAGTCCCGACTGATCTGAACGTTTGTGTCACACCGGTTGCTAAAAATCGTAACGTTAAGAAACCTCTGTCGGTACGGCGTAAAGGAAGTCCCATAACTTGGAAAACAACTTCGAAAGTTAATAAGATATGGAGTGACGAAGACGACGATAATTCATCACCATCGTACTCGGCTAGAAAAATTAAACCGCGCACGAAGTTAGTGAGAAGAATTTTGGTGAACGACTTATCGGACGACATCACTGTGCTGGAAGATACGAAATCGAGAAATCGAACAGGAAATAGAAATAGCACGAAAAGGAAATTGATGAAGGATATTAAAACATCCCCCATAGTTTCAGATCTAACGCAAAATTTAGATTTTGATAAGCTAGATGTATCTACCACAACGGAAAATATTGATAAATTGATAGATAAAGTGGACAGTCTCGAAGTCGACTCAAAAACGTCAAAACGAAAAAGCGCTAAAAATACAAAACAATTAACAACCATTGATTACAACGCGAATGCAAATCAAGCTGAGGAGTTATATGATAAATTGAATAATTTAACAATAAAGGAAAAGACAAGTGATAATGCGGACTCTTTTACACTGACAAAAATTGAAAAAGATAATAGCTTACAAATTCCGAAAATTTCAGTGATAAATTACGAAGAAAAATCGAATGAAATTGCTGAGAAACAAAATACAGAAAATGCGAGTAAATCATTGGTGAATGAAACTAAAACTGCACGAAAATTTTTTAAACATACAAAATTAAGTACAAAGTTTGAAGTTTATAGTACAAGAACGACAAGATCCAGTGTCAGAAGGAAGAAAGAGGCAGAATAAAGATATTATGTTGGTGTAAGAGCTGTCTTATCCATCATAATTTTGTAAAATGAAGAATGACAGTGATGTGTGTATTTCATAATATAAAATATAAAAGTTAAAAATTTTCCAAGTATTTGGAGATACGTATTATTATATTATATTAATCAGATTGTAGGTTTTGCATGCTTATAAATTATTTCTAGTAATGAAACGTAACATATGGAATTCCACTTATTTTTTATTATATTTTATAAATAGTAATTAATTTTATCCCAATTAAATATTTTATAAACTCAATTCAACATTGTCGTTTTTCTTTTCAGAAGTATTTATTATTACTCTTAACATAAGTATCACACTGTCCCTATAATATAATACGTAACAATAAACTGCGATGCTACAAAGGAAATAAGCATGAATACATGCACATTATACAACACTGCCATCTTATGGGCTAAAAAAAGACAAGACTTTATTACAATATTTTTTTAAATCGATTTAAGATGTGAAAAATAATTATTATGCAGAATAAAAATGATAAGTAACATAATTTGCTTTAATCTCATGCGAGACACATTTCTTCTTCATGAAAGAAAACAATTATCCTGTTACTCTAAGTATATACGTATATAAGTATATATGTATATAAGTATACAAGTATATAAGTATATACGTATAAGTGTACATAATAATATATCAGCACATGGAATTAAAAAAATTCAGAAGTGTTAATTAAAACACAATTCACATCATATAATAATAAAGAGTTAAAGTAATATAATCAAAGGAAGAAAAAAAAATGGAACATGTTTTAGAATAAGAGACTGTGTCTTTACATTCATATGCCGGTAAATAGGGTTGCGTTACATGAGTGTGCTGGAGCTTTATTTGTTGTTCCTCTTGTATAAAAATAACAAAGTTACAATAACGAGTAATCACAGTCTATAAATGGCTATGATAATAATTCTGAATTTACAATACATTCGTCATCATGCTTGGCATCTAAATTTCTCTGCTTTTTCGCTGTAGCCAATTCTATGAGCGCCAAAGCACCTTGCAACCTTTGATTATCTTCCTGTAACGGTAACTTGGTTATATTGTCCTCTTGGTTAACATCGGCTACTGTTGCGTCCGTTCTACCAATGTCCGTTACGGCGGATGGTTTTGCAACAATCTCTTTACCACTACTTGAACTACCAGCCAGCATCAGTACAGTCGGTCTAGTCTCGTTCTCACTGATGCGAGATATAGCTGATGCATCTTGATTCGTTGTCACTCTATGAACGATCTGCTCCGTATAGTCGAAGTACGAATGAATGGATTCAGGATCTTGAATTGTTGTAATCGTCGATTCTTTAATACTTGGTTCAAAAATATTCTGATTATTTGGCAAACTACTCTGTAGCAAGTCCCACTGTGACGGGTTCAGAGAATGCGTCATCATTTTGTATTCATTGCTCTGTGCTGGTTTCAGAGATTCGTTGTTACAATTCATGTCCCAACATATTGGAGGAGAGACGTAGGAGGTTTCCAATTGTGCGTTCGGTGTTGCAAGTTCGTTGTCCGTCGATATGCACACGTTGTTCGCGACGGAACTGTCGATGAACGACGTGTACAGGTGGATCTCGGATGATTCGGCAGATCCGATCAGACTTTGCTTCTCGTCGATCTTGTATACGGACGCCTCACTGTTGGGTTTGGCGTCCCTGTTTAGATCTAATTGCTGATCTAAACAAGCATTTCGTAGCCATCGCTTCTTTGGTTGTAGTCGATCCAACGCTCCTCTCAACTTTACTTGCCTAAACATTATTGACTTCGTGCTCGATGTTTCCTCATCTTCAGATGTTGGCAATATCGCACAGCAGGTTTCCGCCGGATCTTCGTCCTGACTGTCCTCTTGACTATCCTGACTATCCTGACTGTCCTGGCTGTCTTGATTTTCCTCACAGTGCAGTCGCTGGCTAGATGGTTTGCGATCAAGATTTTCCTGCTCTCCAGTCATGTCCATCATCAGACCTTTTCTGGATTTTATTCTCTTATGATTCTCGGCGGAGCTCTTCCACGTCTTCTTCTTCCGCGTCTCACTCTTCCCAGTTGGTGTTCTGTCCTCCCGTTCCCTGGACATCTTGTAACGTTCCAACCATCGGCTAACATCGTGCGGCACTTCCGTATTGTCAGACACTGGTTTTAATACAAAGTCATCCGATCTTGTAAGTGTGGCATAGGGATGCTCGGGGCAATGTCTATTTGCATGGGTGAATCTCATTTCACAGCCTGGTGTAGTGCATAAGAATGGTTTCTCTCCCGTATGCAGTCGTTGATGAGTCTTCAGTTGTCCTGATTGAGTAAATGCCTTTGTGCATCCAGGATAATCGCACGGATACGGACGTTCACCTGTGATGAATATTTTATTAAATTAATATTCCATCATTTATTTGGTATATATTTCTTTATACTTTAGATTTGAAGATCTATTTTATATGTAATTTATGTACCAGTGTTCAAATTAAAAATAACAAATTCCAATCTTTTAAATTATCTAAATATATATTTCTCCCTTCTAATTTGATACTTTAGATTCATTAAAATCATGCAGAAATGTAATAGTTAAAAACGAAATAATTTTTGGAAAAACATTTATACAGCGTGGGCAACGTTGAAAAGCGCCACCGCGTCCTCTTTTTATTGTTCACATGACAAAGACCGCGCGACTTCGTTTCGTAACGGACCGATCGCGTGTACACATGCTCGTTTCTTTTGATTGACCATGTTAAAATCTTCAACGGTTCGACGTTGCTTGGTCGTTACATCTCGTTATCTACTTAATTTCGCGCGCGATTAACGAACTCTGCGGCTGGCTTCGAGTCAGAGGCGCGTGTGAATTACGCGCAACATGCGAGACAAGCCATTTAAGTATTTAAAGCGCAGCATGATGGCCGATTGGCGGGACGCGTGAGCGGATGAACGAGCAAGCGGCGGGGCGGCTAGGAGACACACGCGCGTAACCAACGAGCATGGTTTTCCCGCGATCGTTGAAAAAAGTAGCGCGGATCTTCGATGCCGACAGCTTTGGGTGGACGTACGGTGGCGTTCTCAACCAGCATGAGCTCGCTGGCGCTATTTTGCTACCTGTGTGAGTGCGCAAATGCGCCTGGAGGCTCTTCTCACGCGGGAACACCCGATGGCAAAAGGTGCACTTGATGTTGCTCGGTGATGTGCTACCTTGCTTCATGAGATTTGTGAGAGCGTCGGCGCGCGGCCGACCACGACGATGACTCTCGGCGCCAGTGCCTGCACCCGCCCTAGAACCGGCGCCGCCGCCCGCTCCTACACCGTGTTCTCTGTACTCAGGCGAGGAGCACGAGCTGCCTGGGCTGAGATTTACGTTGCGCACATCCTCACCCCAGTTCCACGGGCAAAACTCGATGTCGCACATCGGAGGGCTGCAATCCAACGACTCCATCGAAGGACGCGACTCCCGCTTCGGTGTGTGGAATGCCATTCTCGCTGCCGCCGGTCGCTCGTATATATTTTCTGCTTCTCCAAATTCACTTTCTCACTCACTCGGAGCACTTTTTCGCCATTCGCTACACAACAACCGCCGCTGATTGCCAGACTGATACGCGCGACCTCTTCGCCGCCGCATACGTACGCGTGCCGCGTGCAACTAACCGCCAAAATACGAGTAGGCATGAAAGTACCGAAGATGGCTGATATGTGCGCGCGCATCCCGGGCGGATATGCGCACACTAGAAACGTACCTGTGAAGAAAATCACTGATGTGCACAGAAAGTAATAATGCGATATTCCTTCAGGTTCATCATTGAATTCTTTACTTCAATATCTAACCCTAATCGTAAGTTTATTCTGGATTTCATTATCCTCGTTTATTACTCAATGCCAGATGTTTAAAACTAGTTCATGCTTGTTTCTCTTTTTAGTCAATAAATATATTAACAACTGCATAAAAGTATACAACTACAATTATTATATATTTTTATAAATTTAGATATATCTACATGCAAACACAATTTTCAGTCATAGTACATGGAATATCAAGATGCAATGTGCATGTCCCAAATGTATTCCTATTGATGTAATTTCACATGGCTAGATATAAATGACGCCAAATGTAAATCCGCCCATCGGACTAGTCTAATGGTTTTTGCACACTAGACGCGATGGGCGATGAGTGATGAGCGATCTCCAATGAGAGTTCTACTTTTCCGGAAAAATAGAGCTCTCATTGGATATCGCTGATCGCTCATCGCCCTTCGCGTCCAGTGTGCGAGAGCCATAACGAGAGAGTAGAGAAATTTGTAAAACTAAATAATACATATATAAGGAAATTAAACAATTATGTATTTTATATAAATTTAAATAAAAATTTCTTAAGCTTATTTAATTATACTCCAATTTGTTTGAAAATTCACATTGATTAGCTAGTTGATCAATTAACACTGATTGGATGGCGACGCTAGAAGATCTAGGGTTTCTAGGCTATACACGCTTCGCACTAAAATACCAAACATACTGTTTCTCACCAATTCGTAGTGAATTGTCGTCATATCTACTGCAATTATTATTTATATCATAGGCAATGCGGTTGAAAAACATTATCGCATTGACAATAAACGCTACGGGTGGTTTCCTGCAAGCGTAATTACTGAAAAAAAACAACGCGGACGTTTTACCGGCATTGCGGCGCCTCTCATGAAAACGTGCACTTCCTGTCGGATTCTAAACAATTGAAAGTCTTCTTGATAGTAAACGGTACGATATTTTGAGGTTCAATGTAAATCAATATAAGTGAAAATTCATGACGTGATTTTTAACGTTATTCCGGTGTGGTATATTGATATCAGAGTAATATTCCAAGTGACTACGGTTCTATTGATGGGTGATTGGTGGGGGAGCTGGCGCGCTGGCTTCGAGGCAATTATGCGGTCCCTCTCCTCTTCATGCTGTGCTCTCTAGCGGGGTAGACCTCGTGGTGGATTGGTCTTGATTCGGCCATATTGGATAGTGAATGTCTCGATTACACAAGGGCTCAAGAGTAGCCGTGAATCTTACAATAAATCCTCGACGTTGTGAGGATACTGATTCAACATGGAGAACGAATACGCAGTCACGGTCACCAATAAATTTATGTTGGCTCTCGATGAGAGCGAAGACCCTCTGGAGGTTCTAAAAGTGCGAGAGCAAGAGAAAGAAGCGAAGAAAAAAGAACGTATATCTGAAAAGGAAAATAAAAGCAAACAACAGCAACAACAAGACGGGCAAAAGGTTGCCAGCACTAAGACGCCGAAAACCCGGGCCATTAAAGATGCCCAGCAACCACCCTCAAAAGTGCAAGAGGTGAAAAAAGATCAAGGTTAGTACCGGGTCGTTTCGGCGCTGTATAGCGGCCTCGTGTGCGTTATGGCCGTCCGGCCCGCTCCTCGTGCTCGGCCCATGTGCTTGCCGATCTTGCTAATCTCCCGCGCTCCCGGTACCACTATTTTAACGATTTTTGCATCTTTTGCATGATTTTTCGCTCAACCGATTTTGGAAATTTCGACGGAACAATGTGCCGACGATGGTTCCATTTTTGCCGCGAAAGCGACCGTTGCGATGCGAAATTTTCTAAAAATGATTTCCGCCTTAAAAATAGGATCGCGCATGCTGATTCCGCGATGGTCTTATATGACTCGAAACAGGGATACTGGTACAATCGAGATCTAAGTCGTACTCGGATACCGATGATACAGAATAAAGTATTCTTTTTTTGTATGAAGAGCTTTGCTATCAATCTTTGAAGCATATCTATTTTTAATGGTATCATAAAATTGTAGATCCACATTTTTGAGTTAGAGTTTCTGTAATCTTTAGTATTTTCACATAAAAGATCGAGTTTTTAGATAACAAGGGTATAACTAATGTATGATAATGTGGACTCTATACCTGTACTTGAAAGAAAAAGGCCTGATGCCTGTTGGCCATGTTTGTTGGTCCATGTGCTCACTAATTTTAAATTTAACATCACAACATACATTGACCTTCTATTGAAAGATAATTGCGAAAGGACATTAAACACAAAAAAATTTTTCTTAATCTGAAATTTTCAGGTAACTAAGCGATTAAGGCTGTGTTACCAATTTATAAGTGGTGAATAATGATTCTTTTTTTCTTACAAGGTACAGTTTCTAAAAAGAAAAAAAAAAGAAAAAAGTATTGTGAAGAAACCATATGCAGATCTTTTATCCCTCTATCCCCACTATTCTAGAAGTTATGGATTATTGTAGAAAGCATATCATTTTCTTTTTTTTTTTTCTTTTATTCGCTGTCCTACTCTAACAAAGGCAAAGGTGACTCGCTGGGATAATAGGGTAACAGAAAAGAAGAATAGAGAATTTCAATGGAAATAATAGATATGAAAATAGATGAACTTGCCTTAGCCTTAAAGTTTTTTTTACTTTGTCACAATTATTTAAAAATTTTCTTGACCGTGTAAAATATATAAATTTTATACAAGATTTTTATGAAATTTTATAATCAAAAATACATATAACTTTTGAAAAAAATAATTTATTGGAATAAAATAATCTTTTATGCAACAAAATATAATACAATTATATTAGAAAGAAACTCATTAATTCCATCTGAGAGAGAAATATATGTTAATGAAAAATATTTGTCTTATATATGAATAGGTTGTATTCATATTTTCAGTGGAGAAGAAACCAGTTCAGCCAAGAGCAAGCGGTGGAGACCGCAACGTGAAATTCTCTGGAGAATCCAGAGAAGAACGTAATAACAGACGAAATAGAGAAGAGGGTGATAGAACATTGCGCAATCAGGGGGAATTTCGACGAGGGCCTCCTGGGTTAGTTTGAGAAAAAAATAATTATATAAATATTATACAATTGCAATCTTGGTTAAAAATATTTCTTATATCAGATACATTTCATACATTTTCATTAAATGTCTCGACTGAGCTATTTTTATATATATTATATGCAGCAAGAACGAGATCTGTAAGCGTATACCGATTCATAAATATTTATAATCGATATCCACATTCTTGGATTCAAAAATGTGATTGTAACCATTATTATATTTCATTCCAGCGAGAGCCGCGAGACACGCGAGACACGCGAGACACGCGAGACACGCGAGTCACGCGAGTCACGTGAGTTTAGAAACTCGACTGATACCCAGCGTACCGAATATGGAGAACGTCGTGGTCACGGCGGTGGTATGCACGGTATGGGCCGTGGCCCACGCGGTGGTCCTCGTAGTGGTCCGCGTAGTGGTCCGCGTAGTGGACGTGCCGGGTTTGATAATCGCGGGAAGCGCGAGTTTGATCGTCAGAGTGGGTCTGATAAGACGTAAGTTATGCATACATATTAAGATATACTAGGATATCTCTATACAATAATATTTGGCTTGCGGTTAGCGCGCGCACATTATATATATCAAGGTTTCATTCGATCGAATTCTTTTTAAACAAATACGATCTGTATTTAGTTCTATTGCTTTATATTTTAGATTTTTCTATTATAATCTTGTTTATCGCTTAGTGGTTTCATAATATTATAGTTTTGGAATGTGCGAAACATGTAAATTTGCCAAATATTTCTTCACATTAATAATAACAATAATTATACAAATAAACGAGAATCTCAATAGATATATTTGTAATGAGGCACATTATTCATTTTTAAATTATATTATGCAGTTTTATCAAAATGCATTGCCAATATTTGTAATGTCAATATTTAAATGAAGTATTACAGTCTGTTCTATTTATCTTTTAACAGAGGCATTAAGCCTGTTGATAAGAAAGATGGAGCTGGCTCTCATAACTGGGGAACTCACAATGATGAAATTGAGTAAGTAGTTTAAACTTGTATTTTCTACAGCAATTATTTTTTGAATCAAAAGATAATCTTTTTTTTTTTGTTTTTTTTTCCAGAGAAAGCTTGAATCAGGAAAGTCAAGAATGGACAGAGAAACCAGAATCAGAACCTCAACCTGCGGCTGAAGTTAAGAACGGCGAAACGACTACGGAGACAACTGTTGAAGAGAAACCTGCTGAAGAGGAAACCCGTGAACTTACTTTGGATGAATGGAAGGCTCTACGTAGCAACCGACAGAAACCGCAGTACAATCTGCGTAAGGCTGGTGAAGGTGAAGACTTATCGCGTTGGAAAAAAATGTATGCACTTGAGAGGAAGAAGGAAGGTAATGAAGAAGAGGAAGAGGAGGAAGAGGATTACGACGCAGCCGCGGAGTATCCTCAACGTGTTGGCAGACAAAAGCGCGTATTAGGCATCGAGATACAATTCAGTGACTCCCGACGTGGCTCAGGTGGTCGTGGTCGAGGCGGCCGTGGTCGTGGCGATCGCGTGAATGGCCGTGGATTTGGGAATCGTGGTGCTCCCAGAGACGGTGACACACGTGTAAGTATTTATATTTGAAAGTTTTCACGTTTTCTGACGTGAAAGAGCATGATTCCCCTCCACCTAAAACATAAATTGTATTATACATATTATGTATATATGTTTTACAGTCATCACAGAATGAACAAAGATCGCCACGAAGTCGTCAGAACGCTCCAAAGGTGGACGACGAGAATGACTTCCCTTCTCTGGGATAAATGTACTGAAAATGTTGGGCAAATGTATTGACCTATCCAGGTAGCTTACTCTATCGACCATTACAACAACCCATTACCGTCAGTACATTTACTACAGATAAAGTTATACTAATCAAAACAAAAAAAAATAAAGGAACGAAAAGAAAAGAAATCTACTATTGAAAATCGTTAATGATTATTAATACTTAAATATAACTAATAATTTTCGATAGTAGATTTCTTTTCTTTCTTTTTTCTTTTTTCTTTCTTTTAAGTCAGTATAACTTTAGTTAGTGTAACTTCTGTAGTAAGTGTAAAATATGTAATCTTACATTCAAATTTTATTATACGCGAAAATAAAGGCGTGGATTGCGGTATCGATCTCGATCTCGATGTCGCGTAAAGGGCCTAAAGGAGGCTGGATGTAGCATCGATACGCGCGCGAACATGTATAATATCTCTTAAGGCGTAAATTTTTAACGCTTTTATTTTTAAGTTTTATACAGATTTGGAGAACAATTCTTGTGTTCTTGTGAAGTAAAAATATATCGTTCATTAAAATATTCTAATAAAAACTTAAAGGCTGATATATTATTATTTAAGAATACAAGAAATTCTTTTCCAAATCTACTTATCGGCCCTCATTCTTAATTACGAGTCTTTAACTGTGTAAAAATATAGTAAATAACTAAATTAGTCAATTTACAATATTTGTTGAGAATTAAAAATTTTTAATTAAAAATGAGGACAGATAAGTAGATTTTTGATTGTTTAACAAGTATAGTAAATAACTGAATTAGTTATTAACTATATTTATTATATAATTAAAAAAATAATTACATCCAAAAGAATCACCTTAACCACCATAAAGACAAAAATAAAAATGACAGAATCTGTTATGAGCTGTTTGAAACTTAGGCATATGTGTAAATAACATATTTACAATAATAAATTGTGACGATCAGATAATTCGAATTCGACTAACTCGACCAATTAGCAATAAGATTATTCCACGCAGTTTTTTTTCCTTTACTTGTATGCGTTTATACAGAAGAAAACGTAAGTATACAAAAGTATACTATCTATAAACCTGCGACTATGGAAATAGAAAAGAAAAAATTCGATCTTTCACATGAGTGTTAATAAAGTTGTAAGTGTTACAACTTATCGTAATTTTTTCTTGCAATAACTATTATTTTTTTTTTGCATGGCTAATTAAATGCTAATCTATTTTTCATGTAATAAGCCTTGGTTCTTTCAGGTTTTTTGAAATTGCCGCTCTGCACACAAACGCCATTTTAATTGCATGGTACTAATTCATGTCGCACAGTAGCTAAATATGACTACCTGATTTTTATTTTGTACAAACCGCAAATAATTTTTATATTAAATAAATTAATCAGATGATCGAGTAAGCATACTTTATTTCAAAATAGTATCGAACATGATGGGATTAAAGCATAATGTTTATTCTTTTATTACAACGTGAAATAAAGTACAAGCGTTTTGTCGCGAGAGAGCGCTTCACTCCTCTCACGCAAGTATAATAAAGAGAGAGATATGTATCATATATATAATAAATATAGGATGTCTCAGAAGTCGCACCTTTCGTTGCACCTTTGTTGCACTACAGAAATGAAAAGGTAAGTCAAGAGGAATGACAATTGTTCATTACAAATTCTTAAATCATTTCTACATTAAAATAAATTTTGTTTATAACAAGCTTCAAAGTTTTGATAACGTAAGTGATAAAATCTGTTTATTCGAATAGTTTTAAACTTGCTTTTTTAACGAGTTACAAAAAATTATAATTTGAAGCTTAAGGATTGAGCAAATCTAATTTTGAAAATAAAAAAGGACCTAATATGGAAATGGTTCTTGTTAAAAGAAGATTGTTGCCAACTTTACGGAAGTATTCACAGTCGAGAAGTTTCAGGACATCCTGTATATACATAGGTGTACATACATGCGCTCGAGTATGTATTGAAGCGAAAGGGAGATGAATGAGCGAAAGAGAGAGAGAGGGAAAGAAAGGTACGTGCTCGGGGAAGAGTGGAGTCCGGCTCGTTAGAGAAGGAGTCGTGATAAGAGCGAGGGAGAAGCGGGTACGAGAGAAACGGACGGACGGGCAGACGGACGAGGAAGCAAGAAAGAACGAAACAGCGGCGCATGCCGTAGCCACGGCCCCCGACTCGCACTCCTAAACTCGTGCAGAGAACCCCGTGTCGGTCGAATTTTAATGGCGGCTGATCCCGACTCCGCCGTTTGCAGTGTTGTGTTGTGGTGAGGTGACACGCACGCATCCGCTCGGCGCTCGCGCACGGGCGCCGACGTATGATATCGGGACGATACGCGTTCATCGCGGATCATCATCCGGCGGCGGCGATCCCCGGGGCGGTGCTGTGCGTGCAGCAGCGGCGGCGGCGGCGGCGGTGGTGGCGACTGACCGTTCGTGGTGGCGACCAGTGCCTCTCCGCGCGAGCCGGGACGGGCCTTCTTTTTCACCATCTGCAGCGAGCATGCCGTACATCCGCGATGTGCCATAGCGACCGCATTGTTCTGCGAGCAGCGTTCCCGCAGCGTGCATCCGCGACGTGCGACGTGCGATCAAGGTAAAAATTTCCGCGAGGTGAGAAAAACGGTGGCGGCCCTGGCGTCTCGCCCGATATCATCGCTCGCGCGCTCCGGGCCCCGAACGCACGCGAGAAGTGCGTCGTGCGGAATCGAAGCTTCCTTTCCATGGCGCATCTCCGCTTCCGTTCCTACTGATTTTTTTCCGCATCTCGGCGACGCGATTTAATTCGTCACCGCGGCCGTGTTTTGGTAGGTCGGGTGTATCGTGACGGGAATGGAGTAGTGGTGGGGTGGGAGGGGGGGGGGAAAGAGGTGGACGGGGACGGTGGTAGTGGGTATCCTTGCCTTTGTGCGAAGACAGTGGCCTTAGCTGTCAAGTGCAGCTATACGCTGGCTACGCTAATGAAGGGCGGTGCGTGCTTATGGTGTTGCTCGAAATGCGTGGAGCCATCTGCTCCCTCGCCGTCGTGATTTCTTCATTGTTACGGGAGCACAGCGAGTTTCCTATTTACGTTCCTTGGCAATCGTCGACGAGAGGCATCGAACGGAAGCGTGTTGCCAGCGTGTACACGCTATGCGGCGAACAATTGGCGTTTTATTTAGACGTAATTGATATTCTGCATGGTGTTCCATCGCGAGTGATGATCTTTTTTTTTTTTTTATAATGTACCGCGTATAGATTTTACGAGGCTTACTGTGCGTCATTTTCCGCTTTTAAGGTTATTCGAAAACTATCTTAGTGCAGTTCTTTTAATAGCGTTATTGCTTTGTAAAATAGTAAAGAAAATTGGAAGATGCGATATATATTTTTTTTTGTTATATTTAATGTAATAAAATTAACGTGTGTTAAGATAGCAATTGTAAATTAAATATTTGAGTTTGAAGCATTTGAATGTGCGAACAGTTAAGTGATGCATTGTGTATATCCAGTTTAATATAATTTGTCTGCAATGTTTCAGAAGTGCCAGACAATGATCGACATGTCGGTGCCTGGACTTGAGCATAGCTGGTAGTACTGTGTTAACACTGGCTCGCTACCAGCGGCAGGACAAGCACCCTGACACCATACCTTTTACATTTCCTACCCTAGACCTGTGTACGCACTGACGCACACGCTAAGCGTGTGCGCACGTGCTTTGCCAGCTGTCGTGTGCACACCATGAGATTCCTGGGCTTTACCCAGTCATTTCCCAAATCGCCCACAGTGCTGCTGCCCTTTCATCGATTATCCCTCTCATCCATGTCCGTAGCCACATGGTTCCTAGTGATACTGGCGACCGCAGCTATAGACACTCCTGCTAGCACCGTGCCACCGATACAAGACAATAGATCACCGCATATTATAGCGCAATTTCCCACTCTGGAAAATGGACAGCATTATGGACATTTCCCTTTGGACGCCAACGCAACTAGAGAGGGGATTCTGAGATTTAATCATCTCACCGTAGACCCTTCGTCAGGAAGGCTGTACGCAGGAGCTGTCAACAGACTCTTTCAACTCAATTCGAATCTCACATTAGAGGAATATGTCTCGACAGGTTAGTCTTTTTCTTGCTCTGAAATACAATACTATAATACAAGAGAAATAAAAGATGTTCTTTTTTCCAGGTCCGAGACTGGATAATCCTCAGTGTCATGCAACAGGTTGCAATTCAAGGGACATAACTCCTTCTTTAATGAATAATGTGAACAAGCTACTAATTGCCGATCTTGAGCAGAAGATGATATTTGCATGTGGCTCTCTTCTCCAAGGTGCTTGTGAAAAATATAATATGCTCAACATATCCCTTAAACCGGAGTTCCTCCCTCTCAGCGTGGCAGCCAATGACGAGAATTCCTCCACATACGCTTTCATCGGACCCGAGAAGTACAATCCGTGGGGACAGACGAACATACTCTACGTGGGGACAACGTTCACTAATAAAGGGGATTACCGTCATGATGTACCCGCCATCTCCAGCCGAAAACTCGACCGGTTAGATTTCGCCGAGTACACGTTCAACAAACAGTCGATCGTGTACATCGACGTCAAGTATCGCGATCACTTTCTGGTGAAATACGTATACGGCTTTAATGCGAGCGACTATGCGTATTTCGTCCTGGTGCAGAAGCAGTCGTATCTGCCTGAGCAAGAGGAATTGGGATACATCTCCAGACTGGCGCGAAGCTGCATAAGCGACCCTAATTATGACAGCTACACGGAAGTGACGCTGCAATGTATGGTCGATGGTGGGGACGGGAAGTTGTATAATTACAACTTGGTACAAGACGCGAAAGTGGCAGCGGCGGGCAGCGATCTGGCCATGCAACTCGGCATCTCCGTCGGCGATCCTATATTCGTCTCCGTATTTTCACCTAGCAGAGGTATCACAAACGAGCCCCTGCCGCACTCGGCGGTTTGCGTCTACAGCCTGCAGGACATCGAGACCAAATTCAACGAAAATATCCATATGTGTTTCAACGGCAGCATCAAGTATCGGAATATGGGATACGTCAGCGGCCCTATACAGGACGGAAAGTGCCCTACGGCCGGTGTAAGTAAACGATAATCGATCGAAATTAATGTACTAAAAAATACGATTCACTATCATTAATTATTGTTTCATCATTGCAGACCACGGGAAACATTCTCAACTTTTGCGAAGTCGGATTGAAGATCTCGGGCGTATCGCCGATCATAGGCCAAGCCATCCTGCAATTCTCTGATACGTTTGTCACCTCGGTGACTGTTGCGAACACCGAAAGCCACACTGTAGCATTCCTCGGCACGAACAATGGCGTTATCAAGAAGGTTTTGCTTTCCGGAGCCGAGGCATTCGTCTATGAAAGCGTCACCGTTGATAAGGGACAAAAATTATTGCCCGACACATTAATCTCGCCGGACGGCGAATATATCTACGCGCTGTCCACTTCGAGGATATCGAAAGTGAAAGTGGAGCATTGTAGCGGTTACACCAACTGCAGCAGTTGCCTCGATGCGAAGGATCCTTACTGTGGCTGGTGCTCTTTAGAAAAAAGGTAAGCGAATTAAAAGGGTTAATGCATATTTTTTATTCTTGCGAATATCGAATTATTTCTATTATATTTTGCATTATTAAGAGATAATAATAATGTAAAGTTTTGCCGGTCGTTACATTTATTAATAAATTTTTTGGCAATAAAATTAATAAACTGATAAATTTACTAATATAATCTTTCTTGACCGCAGATGTACAGTAAGAGGGGATTGTCAAAAAGCAAGTCGCAGCAGTCCACGATGGTTGTCTTTGGGCACAGGTCAGCAGTGCATCGATTTCGAGCAGGTTTTGCCCGACCGAATGCCCATTAATCAGATGACCACGGTGCAATTAACAATTAGAACTTTGCCCGAATTACCAGCGGGCGCTAATTACAAGTGCGTTTTTGGTAATGCTGAGCCAATAGACGCACTGATGACCGGTTTCGGACTTTCCTGTCCCACGCCACCTGTCATGGAGAGGCCCAGTATCCCCGAGGGCGCCGATCACGCGCTCGTGCCGCTGTCTGTGCGCTCGAGCGAGACGAATAAGGATTTCGTTTCGCGTAACTTTGCATTTTTCGACTGTTCGAGACACACTGTGTGCACCGAGTGTGTAAAGTCGCAATGGGCGTGCAGCTGGTGCGTCTACGACAACAAGTGCACCCACAACACTAGTTGTCAGGGCATCATATTGGGCGAAAACGTAAGTCTTGTATAATTTATTTTGTTTTGTATGTATCAAGATTTTTTTTTATTAAACTTTAGAAGGATTTTCTTGCAATTTTTTGTTTCTACAGTTTTTGCTAACTTTTTTTACATCATAAAAACTTTGCTCTGCAAAATAACACATTAAATTATTCTGAAAGTTTTCTAGATTTTTTTAATGAAAATAAAATTTTTTTTTAAACTGGAAAACTTTCTGAACAATTTAATACATGTTTAATGCTCGTTTTAAAATTTGATCTTTGACTTTAAAACGTTTTGCTGCCATCTAAATATTAATTGCAGTTAAATTTATAATATTACACAAGTCAATGAAAATTTGTGAATTTATTTATCATAATTAGATGTAAAATGAATATACTTCTGTTTAATTTCAGCAAAAGCAAGTCAATCTAGCCGCGCATGGCGCGCAGTACTGTCCGAGATTCGTGGAACGCAAGGAACCATTGATGCTACCGAATAGCGTACCCAAAGAGATAGTGCTCGAGGTGGAGAACCTGCCGCATCCGCAGGTAGGCCACAGTGGCTTTCAGTGCATCGTCAGCATCGAGCATGCCAATCTGAAGGTGCAGGCGCGCGTGGACAGCAGTCGTTTTATCGTGTGCGACAAGACCGTGTACTCGTACGAGGAGACCACCGGCAAATACGAGGCCGAGGTGACGGTCGTCTGGAACACGAATCACCATGTGGACAAGACCACGATAATTTTGTACAAGTGCGAGGTGCTCGGCTCGCATCGCGAGCACGCGGATTGTTCCCTGTGCGTGACGCGGGATGCTCGGTACGAGTGTACTTGGTGCGGAAACAGTTGCGTGTACCGGCACTCGTGTCTGCAGTCGCCGTTCACCGAGTGCCCGAAGCCGCGGATAGACATGATCAAGCCGCTGAGCGGACCGATCGAGGGCGGTACGCTGGTGACGATCGAGGGCAGCAATCTCGGGCTGAAGGAGAGTGACGTGGAGGGGAAGATACGCATCGGTAACACCCCGTGCAACCTGGTGGACTACGAAGTGTCGGTGCGCATCGTTTGCCGCACCGGCCGGCACGAGGCCACGGACGCGGCGACCGTTGTGGTGGGGAACGACGCCGGATTCACGGAGAGCGCGGTATTGTTCAATTACAAGGACATACGCTTGTCGGGCGTGTATCCGTCGGTTGGACCGCAGAGCGGCGGGACGCAGCTGGCCATCACCGGTAAGTATCTGAACATCGGTAGTACGATATCGGCGTATCTGGACGAGCTGCCGTGCCACGTGAACGCGACCCAAGCGAGCAGCACGAGGCTGACTTGCGTGACGAGCAAGTCCGGCCGTGTCAGACGGATTCACAGGTTGACGCTGAGCATCGACGGCGCGAATCGCACTCTCGCGGAAAATCCGTTCAATTACACCCACGATCCCACCATCATGGAAATCAAGCCGTTGAGAAGCTTCGCGTCGGGCGGTCGCATGATCACCGTGCACGGAACGAATCTGGACACGATTCAAAAGCCCGAGATGGAGGTTTACTTCGACAACGAGTTGCTGCCGGTGAACAGAACCGTCTGCACCGTCCTGAATCCCACGCAAATGGAATGTCCGAGTCCGAGCGTCGCCAAGAGATTCACGTCGATCCGACGCAGTGAACGCTCGGCAGCCACCAATGCTCAGGGCACCTCGTCGCCGCACTCGTTGAGGCTGAAGGAGTCCCAGCTGTCTCTCAAGATCGCCTTCGTGATGGACAACGTGGAAAGCGTGAGGGATCTGGAGAAGCATTTTCAAAGTCTGCGCAACCGACTGTACTACGTCGAGGATCCGAAATTCTTCCCGTTCCCGCAGAACGTCAAGCTTTACAAAGGCGACACGCTGGTGATCGAGGGCGAGAATCTCAATTACGCCAGCGACGAGTCCGACGTGAACGTCACCGTGGGCATCATGCCCTGCAACGTCACCTCCCTCGCGCACACGCAGTTGGTCTGCACGCCGCCGGATCAGCAGCCCGCCGACACCGACGAGCTCGGCATCAAGACCGAGAGCGGGTTGCCGCTGGTGGTGGTGCGCGTCGGTCGCAGCTTACGCTTTCCCATCGGCTTCTTGCGCTACGAGGTGATTAAATCGTATCCGATACCGCCGGAAGCGATCGCGGGCATCGCCGCGGGCACCTTCGGTCTCATCTTCCTCTTCGTGCTGGTGCTGGTGATCTATCGGCGTAAGAGCACGCAGGCGGAGCGCGAATACAGGCGCATACAGATACAGATGGACACGCTGGAGAGCAACGTGCGGATGGAGTGCAAGCAGGCGTTCGCCGAACTGCAGACGGATATGACGGATTTGACCGCGGATCTCGAATCATCCGGCATACCCACCCTCGATCACAAGAACTACATCATGAAGGTGTTCTTCCCCGGAGTGATAGATCATCCGATATTGAACGATCCGCGCTCGCGCAGCAACATCTCGCGGACCAACTACGACGCGGCGATGATACAGTTCGAGCAGCTCGTCAACAATAAGTATTTCGTGCTGACGTTTATAGAAACCCTGGAGGCTCAGAAGGACTTTAATATCAGGGACAAGGTGAACGTCGCCTCCTTGCTCATGGTGGTTCTAATGGGTAAGATGGAATACGCCACTGACATCCTGATGAATCTGCTGCTGCGACTGATCGACAAAGCGGTGAACACGAAGCATCCGCAACTGATGCTGAGAAGAACAGAATCCGTCGTGGAGAAGATGCTCACGAATTGGATGGCGCTTTGTATGTATAATTATCTAAAGGATTACGCCGGCTCGTCTCTATTTCTGCTGTTCAAGGCGATCAAACATCAGATCGAGAAGGGACCGGTGGACGTGATCACGCACGACGCGAGATACTCTCTGTCGGAGGAGAGGCTTCTGCGCGAGCAGATCGAGCACACGATCGTCACGCTGCACGTGGTGCAGGACGATCTCGACGAGAAGATACAGTGCAAGGTGTTGGACTGCGACACCATAAGCCAAGTGAAGTCGAAGATCCTCGACGCGTTGTACAAGAATACTCCGTTCTCACTCAGGCCGTCCGTACACGACGTCGATCTGGAGTGGCGGCACGGTCGTGGCGGTCACCTGACTCTCCAGGACGAAGATCTCACGACCAAGTGCTGCGGCGAGTGGAAGAAGATCAACACGCTGGCGCACTACGGCGTCAAGGAGTCGGCGGTGATGTCGTTGATCCCGCGGCAGAACGACGGCTTCTCCGTGGCGTGCAAGCCGCCCTGCCACAACTGCAAGCCCTCGCATTACCATCCGCAGCAGCAGCAACCGCCGATCCATCCGCATCATCCGCCGCACCATCACCTACATCGACACTCAAATCACTGTTCGTCCACGCATCTTCCATCCACGCCCAATCACGGGCTGATCAGTCCTGTAATGTACAATCATCCCGTGAGCGGCTTGTACTTCGACTCGCAGCACTCGCCGCCGATCATAACGGCGAACGGCGACGTCGAAAGCGGCCACGGCGGCAATCAACGGCTGTATCATCTGGTGAGGCCTATCGAAGACGTGCACTATCCGCCCGGTTTAGGCTTCACCGGCAGCAGCAAGCATCACCATCCCGAACGGACGCACAAAGCGATCCCGGAGATATTCCTCACGCGATTGCTGTCGACGAAGGGCACTGTGCAGAAGTTCGTCGACGATTTTCTAAACACCATTCTGACCGCGAACGAGGCGCTGCCCAGCGCGGTCAAATGGCTGTTCGATCTCCTCGACGAGGCCGCCAAGCAGCACGGCATCGTTGACCCGGAGGTGCCGCACGCGTGGAAGTCGAACAGCCTGCCGCTGCGATTCTGGGTGAACTTTATCAAGAATCCGGATTTCATGTTCGACATCAACAAGTCCACGACGGTGGACTCGAGTCTATCCGTGATTGCGCAGACGTTCATGGACTCGTGCTCGATGACGGAACACAGACTGGGCAAGGACTCGCCGTCTAACAAGCTGCTCTTCGCTAAGGACATACCGCACTATCGCGAGAAAGTGGGTCGATTCTACACGGAGGTGCAGAGACTGCCGCAGATCACCGACCAGGAAATGTCTAGTGCCATGCAGCAACTGAGCGCGTCTCACGCCAACGAGTTCGACGTGATCGCGGCGCTGAAAGAGCTCTACATCTATGTCAGCAAGTATTATGAACAAGTGAGTAGCCGCCGTTCATACTTCATCCCTTCCCTCTCGTTCTCTCCGTGTAATCTCGCTCGTGAAATTCTTTTCAGATCCTAGAGGCCTTGGAGACAGATGCGGGCTGTCGCAAACTACACCTAGCTCATAGACTAGAAAACGTAGCGTGCACGCTCGAGGGAGAAGAGACCAGTGCCTGCTGACATACCCTCCTCACTTCCATCCCAGGACCCGTCAACCTCTCCAGAAACACTGACTAGTGCCTCCACTTCATGCATCAGCTACACCTCGTTACATATGTACAAATATTACACATTACAACACACTGTGTGAATAACAATGCCGTAAAAAGAAAAAAAGAAAAGGTACACGCGATTTCGTTAGGGCTAGTCAGGCGATAGGTCACGGGATTATAGACAGTCCTCGTGGTAGTATTTTACCGTCTTTACGTGTTGGCCATACCGAAATACGCTTGTAAACATGTATGGATATTGGTAGGCGATGTACGCGTCTCCGATCCTTAAACTACGACGCTGGACAGACGCCGGTTTTGAATCTCTCTAGAAAAAGAAAAAACAAATGAACAAGATCACTTCGTGTGAATTCATGTGAATCTCAATTAATTCGTAAGATATTTTTTTCGCCATTGTTGTTATTGTAGTATATAAGTGAGGAGATTCAGTTGCTTTAACTAATTAAGTAATTTTTTTTTTTTAATTCTTTACTCTCTATATTTTAGAATATTGATGCAAGCATCGTCGCCCTTTTTCCCCTCCCCTCTGTCGAGACTCCTTTGAGGATCCGAGACGTGGATCGGTGCAAATACTTATTAGGGAAGAAATTTAAAGTGTAAATTTTACGGCCGATCTGATATCTATACGTGTATACGTAAATACGGAATACATAACATAAAGTAAAAAAGTAACATGTCTAATGATAAGTGAGAGAAAGCCATAGTGTCCACCAGACTGTCTGTACGGGAGTGACGTACGGCAGCGAGTAGTCTGTGATCCGAGCACGAGTGGCTATGCCTACTATCTTCATTATGATACATATAATTATTAATATGTTATATATATTATATATATATATACATGAAAAAAAAATATATATATATAAAGCAAAGAATCATGCGCAACACACCTCTACGGATTGTAGTGAGCTAGTTAGAGAGGGACTATATGTATTATAAGTTGGGGGAGCGTTACGCACTCTTATATATAATTCAGAGACAGAGTAACAGATAATATTAAATTAAGGCGATTAAAGTATAACGTTAAAAAAAAAAAAAATTTAAGAGTTAAAAGTTATAAGAGCAGCTCAGTCTACTCTAGGCCTATCTACGTATATCGTGTGCGTTCAAACAAAGAAATTTCTGTCCTTAATTATTATTATTTTTTTTTTGTACATTATTTTACTTCTCTGAGTCTCTCTGTATCTGCTATACACAGTATGAAGTGCTGTTGCTATAATTTTAGAAAGGCCATTTTGTGGAGCATCTAATAACTTTATCTTGTATGTATTATTATATTATTATGTTATTATTATTATTATTATTATTATTATTATTATTATTATCGGTTATTAATTATTATTTCTTTATTATTGTCTATATAATTATTAATGCTACTCTTTAATTATGGTTATAAATGTATTGTTAGGGATAACGGACACAGATGCAAAACGAAACGGACCTTTTTTTTTATACTGTCTACGCGAGAATATTATAGACTGTTTCAATCAATAGTGAAGTTCTGTATTTGTTGATTGCGTTTTGGCCGAAATTTACGTAACTCTTACCGCAATATGTACCTCAGACACTCGTCGTGACACAATGACACGCGATATTCTTTGAAAAATCATAACTTACTTATTTTTAATTAACATAAGACTGGCAACTTTTTTTTAACTCGCATTTATTTTTTTTTTTACTACTTTTTTTAGAAACATTTTTTTTGTCGTTGTTGTAACACCAGTGAAAAAAAAAAAAAATTAGGTGACAATTGTTATACTCGGTAGCTACTGCCAAGTTTCTGTTCCCATGCGCTTTTGCGAACTGTCGATCCGTTCAGCCAATGTAAACTCATCGTTCAATCGAGACGTGACGAAGTTTGATCGATGAGTTGTTGGCGTAGGTCCAGGGAGGCTGGGGACGTGCTCATACTCTTGTACTTAATAACGCCGTGTCGTGTAATTTCAATTATATTCCAGGTCCCCAGACTCCCCGCATTCGCGACCAACAGCAAACCTATGTATTCTCTCTATTATGTGTACATCGTATTTATTTATATTACGGAGGATAAATTTATAGCTCGATCGCGAATGTACGTCAATCTGTGCTAACTGTGAATTTTTACACTTTATCACGTATACGTCCCTTCGTATCGGATTGTATGAATATTATATCTGTATGTCTGTTTTGCTTTTATGCAAAAGTATGTCTCGGTATGTGTGCCATCTGTTTCGACGCGGTGAGAGATTCGTTCGCCTCGCCGGTGTCGCGCGATAATATACATGCTTTTATATTTGCGATCAATTTTTGCGATATTAATCATTATTTTATTGTGAAAAGTGACGCTTCGCTCTCGATTTCATTAATGCGAAACGAACGAATCTAGGCGCCGCTTGATGCAGTCTTCCCCAAATGAGATTAAAACGACGATTTCGTTGGATGGAACTTTCAATATTGATTATTATCGCGCAGCATTTCGTACGTATTTTCTACGTATGTAGTTCAACGTTCGCGGAGGTGCCATGCTTTCGTCTGCGAACGCGACATCTCAAATCGTACATAACGTTTATGTATATATCTTACCCGTGAAATATGCGATTATATTTCCAGTGAAATTCGATATACGCAAACATTCAATTAAGCTTTCTGTAACGAATTTCGAATCGGTATCGAAATCCGCGCGAGATGAATAAAATAACGAAAGTAGATTTATACGCATGACGAAGAAGTTTGTACGGACGCGATGAAATGCGAAGGGAATTGCACTTCGTTCGTGTCCTGTATTTGAAAGTATCATACTTTTCGGTTTTCACTTTACACTAAACAATGTAAACCGACATTTATTATTTAAAAAAAGAAGAAAGAGATTTGTATTTAAGAATTATATACGTACATGTATATAAATTATGTGTAGAGAGGAGGAGAGAGAAACGCGTGCTGAGAATGAAATGCCGTTGTGCACGTGTTGCGACGCAGTGATTACAGGCGTGTTAGAAAGAGAATGACATAATCGACACAAGCACTGCCGTATTAACGTTGTTTTAGAGCTCGTGAAGGAAATACAACGACAGGGAATCGCCGTAACTACAAGTCCTACACATGACAAACGTCCTTCGTAATTTTAAAGAGGAGAGGAATAGAGTATATACACTTTTTCATTTCGTTTATTGTCACTGCCATATTTCGCATTTAAAAGCGAGGCTGTATCGCCGAGCCACTGTATTGTGTTGCGATAGCGTTTCGCCAACACAAATGTAGACTATATGCGTTTTCCCGCGAGAAGATCGCGAGGAAGGCCAAAAACTTCGTCTTGTATTCTAATCGCACGTTTGCCGTTTGAATGCAATTGTCGTAGGTTTGCGTTATATTGTATTTAGCGCGCGTGGCAGTTAGCTCTAGCGTTAAATGTGTGGCGAGAATACGGGCGTTCCATTGCATTTGAATATACATATTGCGTGCCGTACAGATTGACGTACACGGGTGAAGACCACACATGTGCGCACATATTCGTATACACACGTTTCTCGTCGCTATCATCGGATGCCAATTGGGCCTCCCGACAAGCGCGCGCAGGACGTTTAAATTTTTTTTTTTTTTTTTTTTTCCCCGTGACGTTCAGTTCAGGAAGACACTCGGACGCGAGATTTTCGTGCAGTGTGTGAAGTATATATCTCGGGCAACGTTTGAGCGCAATCTCCCATATAGCGTCACTATACTTTATGAGTGTACAAGTGCTTGCGATTCTGTCGCGTTGGAAATCATTTTGGAAAAAAAAAGAAGAAGAAGATGCTTTATCTGTTTTTCTGCGATTTTCATATTTAATTCACACCGCTTGAATTAAAGGTGGAAAAGCCCTGAGCTACGAAACGCAATAGAGGGACGCGACAGAGTTTCCTAGCAAGTTGTACTTGTCGAAAGTCGACTCCATCCATCTGAAAAGCTTGTCAATTCCGCATTCAACGTATGTAATTATAACGTAATGGACTGAAGGAGCGAGAAAGGGGTGATTCGCGGCGGCCGTGGGGCGATTAGTGTGTTACACACACACACACAGACACACACACACACATGCTTCGTAGTATATAGATAAATCATGAACATTGTGTCGAGTTAAGATTACTCTTTGTTAAGCTTCGAGGAGAGAGGATGGGGGGTGATCCCGACAATTTTCCCCATAAGGACACTTCTCTTGTATATTCTCGGATCGGGAAGGCGCCGTTTGGAAACGGCGTGCGTATTCGCGCCGCTATTTTCGCAAAGGTACGATTAGATGGACCTCCCCTTTCGTCCGGCAATTATTGCCAACAATAGTATTGTTCTGAATGTCAGCAATAATTGACCAGCAAGAGCGAAGCATCGACGCGCCATTGTCCGATCTTGATTCTCTCAGCGTTTGCGAAAACGCATCTCCGGCAGCAGAGTGTTACGAAAATTGCCTGGGAAAAAAAAAAAAAAAAAAAGGTGAAGAAAACATGTATTACATTGATCAATTCTGTGTGCCACTAAACGTACCTTGGGGAAGCGCCTATGCTCTCCTTCATTCATTAAGATAAGAGCGCGGCTGCACGACAATTTGCGTGCAATACGCTCGCTGCGCGTGTGTGCGTATGTATGTGCGTATGTGTTATATTGTGTATGTATCTCTCCACATGTGTGCGCGTGCAACCCTTCCCCCTTCCTCTTCACGAATAGCCCTCTTCTTTCCTCCCCTCATTGTACATAGTACTCTTCAGCCCCCCATCCCGCGCACGAGTAGACCTTAAGTGATACTCGAGAAAACGAAATGACTCTTGCCAAATTTTCAATGGGACGTAGGGACAAACGACTAATTGCATTTGAAAAATCGTAAAAAAAAAAAAATATATTGGTATTATAAATGACTCGTATCGTTATCTCTTCGTTATTTCGCCCACCCGCAATCTCTCAGCTGTACAGACTACTATTTAGCCTTACGATTCGGACACGATGGACTGTGTTGTGCATCGTCTTGATAATCATTATTGCATACGTAAGAAAGATCACGAACTTGTCTAGAACTTGTTTTCAATATGAGTCATTATAATTTCATTATCATTCTCATATCCACGGTAGATACACGGAGATGGTCGATTTTTTTTTTTCTTTGCTCGTGGACAGGTTCAAAATTTTTTTCTGCCTTTGTAAAGTAAAGATTTATTGTAATTGGACAGGCACGATATAGCTACATGCCCATGTAAAATCACAGCTCGCTGATGCGCTAAGATCTAAATATTGTTATTATAAATAATGGATATACGTGAACTCTTTTTAAGAATACACTATCCAAAAAGTCGTCAAGTCGTGTTACGCAAGTCGTTATATTAATTTCGAGTTCTTGTATATTTCACAAACTATACCCAGCTCCCGCATTCGCGGGCGGCGCACGAAATTTATATGTATATCTTGTATACAGTAGAACGCGTTATAGTTTTCCACTGTGCATTTTTCAACTAACATCAATTTCCGACGTCGGTGTCGTGTCGTCACACCAGTAATAAATTGGCGTACTCCGATACGCTTTGATTTCGGTCACGAAATTGTGTATATGCGATATATAACAGTACAATTAATATGCAATCTTGAGATATGTGAAGTTTGTATAATTTTATCGCTTTCCTTTTATAAATATCTCAATAAAAAAGTATTAAAGAACGATCTATTGTATATTTACATTAAAACTGTGTCAACGCAGACTTGTATTACGAACGATATTACGTGTGTAATAATTATTAGCGATAGTAATATTATGTCATTATTTTCTACATACTTAATATTTTTGTAATAATAATGCGAAAGCTTAAAGATAACAAATTTACATGGCACGTTTGTACAATTATTAATAAATTGTATAATATGGAATTGTATTTATATAGGCAGTAAGAAATTCAGACACTACACAAAGGCCCAATTGTATTAATATCGATTGAATGTAATTCGAGATTAAACTTCAATATAAATACACACTAGTAGTATCGTCTATTTAGGATTTCTCTCTTCGTCATAAAGGGACGCGATTCTTATTTCTCTTGCTCTTATTGATCGTACGAAGATACATTCATAAAAAAGTTGATAATAAAAATTGTGTCGCGCCACTTTTCAACAGATTAATAAAATCATTTACAAAACAATTTCATCAATAAAAAAGATTGCTCCAAATTATTTTTATAAAATATACGTTACTTATGTTTTGTTCACTCTTTTTCGCAACTTACTCTAGCAATTCACTCTGCTCCTGATTTTATCTTATATAATAACGATTTGTCTTGAGAAGATTTGGCTGAGGACAATGCAAGCGAACTGGATGAAGAGCTTTTTGAACTTGTGGCACCAGTCGCATTCCGTTTGTCTTGTTTAGCTTTCTTCATCATATCTTTCAGTCTTTTATCTGCACTTATAATATGGATGTTTGGTACCACTGCCTTAGTTCCACTGCCTATAAAAATTAATAATTTAGTTGAGCGATGTAATTTAATTTTATACGTCACATGCATTATGTTCACACTTACTTGAACTGGGCTTTTTCTGCTCTTTAGATTTGCTTTCTATCACAGTCTTTGGCGAACTTCTTTCTTTCGATACCTAATTAGAATACGTAAGAAAGTATAACAGCTGCGTCAATATCACACAGGCAATAACAAATTAATAATACAAAATATCAGTCAATGCAAAATAATAGAAAATAATATCATTTTCATTCATTACCAGCGTAAATAAATAGATGACGATTAAGTAGTGAATCAATAATCATACATTTTTTTTAAATTAAATGTTAAATGACTTTATAGAATGCAAGCTTTGCATAAGAAAATTATTACATAAATGTGGGTGAATACACACACCTGAGACTTTGAACAGTTAGAGCAATACCACATTTGCTTCGGCACATCTATCTGTGAATCCAAAATATGTGGAACATGACATTCCTGATGATACAAAGAATGACACTCTTGACATTCTACAAGTCTATTTCTTGCGCCGACATCCATCCCTTTGCAAATGACACACGTGAGATCATCTTCTAAAATCTCCAATGCTAGTGTCTCGTCTGTCTGAAGGATATCCGGTGGTGTGTCGCGTGCTGGCAGATTAACAGGTGAACTATTCTTGCTCGATTTACTCGAGTGCTTAGACGAGCTTTTGCTTTTTTTACTACTACTGCTACTGTGATCGCTCAATACTGGTTCTTCCATCATGTACTAAAAAGTAAACAATAGAATTAGAAGGTCTACTAATTAATAGAGAATTTATCTATCTACCTATTTTATTAGGAAGAAAAATTTAGATTATTTCTGAAATAGATATTTTCTACTAATGATATGGAGTACCTTTTTATGTAGCACATTGGAGAGCATTTTGGATGGTCCATATTTCTGCTTAATTGCTTCATCTAGCAGAGCTCTCAGCTGCTCTGCAGAGTCCTTGTTAGTGGAATGCAAGAGACGCAACCCCTGTGTGAATTGTGGATCCAATTCTAGTTGAGTCATTCTTCAGAATCTCTATTTCTTTCCAGTTGTATGACTCTCTCTCTCTTTCTTTGTAGAACTACTGTATAAAAATTTTACATAATTACAACAAAGAAATGCAACTCTACAACAATCAGGTTATGTCCAGATACAAAAATATATAGACTGCAAGATAAGCTTAAATTATATTATATTAATTTCACAAGAATGAACAACAAACTGCCTCTTTTTTATATTTTATATAAAAAGTGCCGTTCGAAGAAAGATAAAAAGTCCACTCTCTCTTGTTTTTACTTTACATATCGATATTTACTCTTATATTAAACTGCGCCACACGTTTGTCGTTTAACCTGCGAGATCCAAATATGCACGTTAAATAATACTTGGAATTATATCATATATATTTTTTTGTACATCTATCTGTAAAACATATTTTTTTGCATTTTTATGCTTTTGAGCATTTTTTCATCTTATTATATTAATAAATAAATACATTATATATTTACAAAATTTTCAAATTCTTGAAAATATAGATTTTCTTTGATAGAAATTAATATAAAAAGGTATGAAAAATAATACATTTAAAAATTTGTGTTATTTCGAAATTTAGATCATGTTATTTCTATCGAATCGTGTTCCAATATCGAGGATTTGCATTTCGTTTTTCGATAATTGTATTCGCAACTTACTTTAGCTTAGTTTATCTTTTTTTACATTGTCCTAATACAGTGCCGGTTTATCGGAGTTTGCTGAAACGCCGGATGACTGCACGTGTTCGATGTTGATCAATAATCGAGTTTATCGTCGGATTATCACGCTCTTCCTCCTGGCCTAAATTTTAAAAATACCGCCGGACGCCAAGCATAAGGCTAGCCGTACGACACCTACGAGCCCATTGCACTCGCCAAGAACTCGGAGAATGTAGGAATATCGTTCACACAAGCTCCTGTTTGCCCTGTATGTATTCCAAATTTAATTTCGCGGAGCTTTGATTCGTGAGGCAATTTTCGGTGCGCAATAAGATAAGAAAAGCAGGGCCGCTTCCTTACAATATTCTCTGTCAGTGTTCGGTGGAATTCAATCACCGTCGACAGACGCAACGGGCCGAAGTGGGCATTCGGGTGGCATCGTCGCGCGATCAAGAGGTGACGAGAAGGCGAAAATATAACCAAAGAAAGACCAAAATAGTAACCCTGCGGGCGACGGTGCGACGAGCGTGGATTTCTCGCGCGACCGATGGCGCATGCGCGCCAGGACAGTACGCGCGTCCCGTTTCCGCTGTACAGCGTCGCATCATCGCGTCCTCGTCTGGCGTTCAGGCGGCACGCTTCAAGCAACGTCGTCGAACTTTCGACGGCAGTTGGCAGCCGTGCGTAAAAGAAATAAATAATCAAAGCGACCATGAAGTGACAAATAAAGTCGGGAATAGAGAGAACAATGCTCGCGCGTACGACGGGCAAGGTGGATATTCAGCTCGTGTAGTAAGCGTGCGTTCGAACCGCCGTTGATACGGATCCGCGCTTTCGACGAGCACCTCGTGGTGTAAACGCGCTGCGCACCGCCGCTGCTCCGCCACCGCCGCAGCCGCAGCAGCAGCAGCAGCAGCCGCGCGCGACACAGCAGCAGCAGCCGGAGAGGCGCGCTATGCGCTTACCGTGGAGGCGAGGGTGACATTTAGGATATTTTTCCGCACGGTGCGACGGGACTTATCAACGGTGCAGCCTCCAGCCAGTTTGGCCGCTAACGTATCGGCCGTCCGGGCCGCGACAGCCGGATCAGCCTCCGCATCCAGGTGGTGGCCTCAGCATCCCCAGCCACGGTGAAGCTAAATACGCGAGACAGAGACTCGCACTCTCGTCGCTCACACATATTTGTAACGTTGCTCTACGAAAAGTGACTACATAGCAGTGTCGAAGATCATGAAAAAACTCGTGGGAGACTTCTAGTGAACGCGTGTGACTTTCAGTGTGGACCTGACCGGTCGACGTGCATCTGGCCATTAACCTCTTGCCATACACAGACCAGCGCGTCGTGGACGCTAGTGCTAGTGGCCATGCCTCTGACTTTTCCACTGTACAGCAGCAGCAAGGTTTGACACACTCGGTCATCCAGCTTTCAGCCATGAAAACCGAGAAAAAGCCCAACGAGCCCAGCTGTTGTCAACCTAATACGGTTGTCAAGGATGAGACTGACGCCGACCCTGTCAAGATTAAAGAAGAGGGTGCAGGCACCAATGATGATACAACTGGAGAGGATACCACAGAATGTCCAAGAGATCCTTGTTTGGATCCATCTAACGGTGAAGGTACAATGTCGGGGGAGAATCAGAACACAAATGGGAATCAGCCACTTCTGAATTCGGTTAAGCAAGAAGGAGATCCTAATAATCCCACTGACGATCTACCTGGTAAGCGTTTGTTTTTGTAATGTTGTATCTCAGAGTTCTCACTGCTTCGTGTATTGATTGGTGTTTACGTATCAATGTATACTTGTCTTTCTTTTGCTCGCATATCTTATATTAGATTAATCAAATTATCTTTTTTGCTGTAGATTATAGTGGAAATGTTATTACAGCGGAAAGCATTCAGCCACTTGTTAGTAATGTTGTGGGAAAGCAAATGGGAACCGGTTCGACCAGTGGGGAGGCTCAATATATGCAGCAGCAGAGTCAGATTTTTGTATTTTCTACGACATTAGCGAATAAAGGCGCAGATGCAGTGTTGAGAGGCGATTTTCATTCAATTATTGCTTATCATTGTGCACAACCAGGCACTAAAAAGTTTTTGGAGGTATTATACGCAACATATAATATTATATTGATAATATTGTAGACTATTACATGAGCAGTTTATTGCAACAGTTACGTTATGTTAAGCTTTCAAAATTCTGCACAATTTTCTATTAAAATAATACGAACATGTAACATTAATTTGTATTATTCTTCAGTCGTTTATAATTTATCTTTATTTAATTCACACAAAAACGGCTCACGTAAAGTATTTGTTTCAATAATTCTGTTCTATGTGCTATATATTACTTATTATTGATTTAATTATCATTAATATGTATTTATAATTTTTATTTTTTTAGAAACATCCAAATCCAAATAAAGTAAATCAATTTCGCCAAAATCCTCAATGGTTAAATAATCTTGCTATGATGAAACAGAAGGGCCATCAGGGAAATGCGAATAATACTTTTCCGACTGAACAACCCCCGGATTTACCAGCACTAGAACCAAATACTCCACAATTTTGGAGCGATCAACCTAATTTGCGAAACATAAACGGTGGAAATTCCCTCGGTAATTCTGAACCATCGTTGGATGATGGAAACATAGACGTGCCTTGCCTTGTGCCGAATTCACCTGGTAATTCAGGTAATTTTTATTTAATTTCTCGATTATTGATTTGTTACTAATTACCTGAGATTTAATGCGATGTGTATTTTTAACGCAGCCAACCCTCAACCTGCTAATAACGCTACCATGGGCCACAGTCCAAATTTGTTAGGTGGCACAACGAGCCCGGGCCCAGGAGGTTTGCAACCGTCTCTCCAAGGTGTCAAAGTCCCGGATGAAAATTTGACACCGAGACAAAGGCAGCATAGAGAAGTTCAACTGGCGACTCTGCGCAAAATGCACATGATGTTGTTTGCTGGGAAGGAGGATCAAGCTGGCAATGCTTTGGCAGACGCGACGCAGGGAACAGCCGTTTCGTGTCCTCCCACGAATGTTCCTTCCGTTGGCGTCTCAAATCAGTGTCCTCCATCCGTGGATTGGCACAAATTGCAGCATCAGTTTCTTGATGGCAAAAATAAAGTACGGCTTTGTCTTAAAATTTAACTTAATATCGCAAATATTTATGGAATATTTATAAATATCCTCGTAAATGCAGGCGACAGTTGGCAATCCTACGGTACCCTTACGCGGTACCAATATGATCGGAGTGCCACGAAGTCAAGGTCCACCACCTCCATATCATCAAACAACTCGATCTGCCAGCGTACCGATCGCGATTCAAAGTCCAAATCCGTCGTCTCCCAACAATCCAACCAGCAATCTGTCGCTACCGTCACCGCGTGCGAGTTCCGCTCTGAATTCACCGGCCGACTGCAACAGACAGTTCCAGCTGGGTAATCAGAGGACCAGCCACTTGCCGGGGCAAAGCCCAACGGGTCAAGACTCACCGAATCCGACAGTCGCCACGGCAGCTACGGCAGCCGTTTCGTCTGCGCGATTGAATCACAGCAATCCAGGGACTCCAGTATCTCATTCTCACATTGCTGCTCTCAGTCCTGGTGGTGCCACTGCTCAAAAGGATGCTTCCCTTGATTTCGCTACCAATCAGCAGCCGAACGGTAAGTATATAAGATTTTAAATTTTATATAAATTTTTTATAATTAATTAAATACCTAGATAAATCTAAATAAGGAAAAAAGAAAAATAAGCTAAACACAAGATGTGCGTGAGATTTGCTCAATCATTCAGCTTTTTCAATTTTTGACACGGGCGTTCCCTGTGCATTTTTCTAACTTAGATTTTTTTTCCGTTTAGTGGACAATATGTTTTGCCGAACACTACAGTCCTTAGCTCAACAGAAGCAACAACATACAGGAAACGCGTCTACTGTGAAGGAAGCGAATCTGATGCCAGTACCGAGCCCTCATCAACTTCAATATCTCAACACGTTTGAGGGTCAAGAACTCACTATTCAGAAACAACCTAATACAAGTCTGAAGGATGGTAATTCTTCTACGTAAGTATTATTATTCTCCCAATGATTTTAGAATAATACACAAAAAATATTTTGATTGATAATTAAGGTAAATGTCTCAGTTACGTTTAAGAGGTAATCTTTATTATATCTCAAATTCCGAATAACACTTGTCTCAATATCGATCGTCACATGTGACTCTTTCTTCTAATTCTTTCTTTTTTTGAATTCTTTTTTGTTCCTTAATTTTTTTATTTTCTTTAATTTTTTGCTTTTTGATATTTTCTTTTTTTTTTTTATAAAATGTGTTATGCATTCATTAGAAGTTGCAAGTGCTGGAACTTTATTTGAAATTGTCCCCATTAACGGTATCAATATTATTTTCTACATTTTCAATAAGTATATTTTCATTATTATTGAAACAATCACAATTTTTTATTTATATTTATATCTATATTTACATTTTTATTTATATTTTTAAAATATAAATTTTTTTCAATGAGATAAGTTATTACATTGGATTTTTTTATACTTATAAGTTTATTTTTTGCAATTGTCTCTTTATTATTATTATTATCTCTTATAGGGCCAGTTGTTCCAACTTCTGGGTAGGTTTACCCGTCAATTATTTATTAATTATTTATTAATAAATATTAGTAATCCTTACTTGATAGTTGGAATACCAAGTAAAATTACATCTTGGTAATAACGATAGAGGTAATTTTACTTGGTATTCCAACTATCGAGTAAAGATTACTAATATTTATTAATAAATAATTGACGTAAACCTACCAAGAAGTTGGACCAACCGATCTATAGTCTTATTGCTATCAATATCGTCTATACGAATTAAATAAAAACACATAAAATAGAAACTTAATCATTATAATAATTGTAAGCTAAAAATAAAATAAAATATGTAATTAACTATTCATAATAATAAATAATATTACAAGTGTAAACATTTTCAAAAATTAAACATAATTTTCAAAAATGTAAAATTTAAAAAAAATTAAAAGATAAAATTAGATTATATGCAATATATTACTTTTTTTAAATTAATCTTTAATCAAAATTCAGAGTTTTTTGCCATTTTAAATGTTTCAAGTGTTTTTATAGTGTCGTTATTTGTTGTTTGAAATAAGAGAAAACGTTTGCTGTCTATTGTATTGCTGTTAAAATTGTATTGCTTGTTGATTATTTGAATTTTGTAATTTTTTTTCAGATTTTGTACCTTTCTGTACAATGACTTGATCAACTTTTAGACACAATAAGAAAGCACTTTCATTATAATTAAAATGTCGCAAAGCATTTATATTCAGCAATTTTTTTTTTATTTTTTTTTTATTGACAGATGTGACATTACCAATCTATTACTAATAGATATTATCTGGTATTGATGGATATATTAGAACGCGTTCGGATACTAGTACATTTACCTTAATTTAATTATATAAACTTATATAAATATCAATTATATAAAAATTAATTATAAAAACTGAAATGCTTTTTTTCTCATTGGCAGAAATACGGGCAATTCCTCCGAGATGCCTAACAGAATCTTGCCGGGAAATCTAGATAGCAACAGTCAATTTCCCACTAGATCGGAAGGTGCGAGTCCTGTGCAGATGGACATGAATAGAGGCTTCACTGGTTCTCTGCACAGTCCTCACACGCCGCATACACCGCACACGCCAGGTAGCGTCGCGCCGCACACTCCGGCGGATTCTGCGAAACCAGGCAATAAATCTAGCGCGAGCGCACAAAGCAGTCCGACGCCGCACAACACCAGCATACCTGACAGTATGGGTCCACCGCGAACGGTGCCGGCGTCGCCCACCATGAAACCCGATACGTCGCCGCCGTCCGTGAAAGACATTCAGCAGCAACAACAGCAACCGCCGCAGACGCAATCGCAACAGCAGCAGCAGCAGCAGCAGCAGCAGCAGCAGCAGCAGCAGCAGCAGCAGCAACAGCAGCAGCAACAGCAGCAGCAGCAGCAGCAGCAGCACAACAACAGCAGCAGCAGCAGCAGCAGCAGCAGCAGCAGCAGCAGCAGTCGCAACAGCAGCAGTCGCAGCCGCAGCAGCAACAATCTGCGGTGAATCCGAATAATTCCGGCAACACAACGGTAGTGCCATCGCTGAGCGGCGGTCCCGGCGGCGGCGCCTCGTTCTCTTGCGGCAGGCCGTCCATAAACGTCAGTCAACCCTCTGACAACGTGCCTCTGAATCCTAATAACATCGGCGGTCGACTCGGTGGCTTGAACACCATGAATACGAATCACTTTGACCCGATAACGTCACTAGCGCAGATGAGTCAACAACTCACGAACACGGCGGCGAGCAATTCGCTGGGCAACGAGCCTATGCACTCCGGCAACGCCGCCGGCATGATGCCGTTTGGTAATCCGCACGCTAGTGGCATGCATATGATGCAGATGGGCGGCGAGATGAACGGGAGCTGTCACATGGGCGCGACCAGTGGCGAACCTGGCGGTGAGGTCGGCGGAATGTGCATGGGTCTCGCGGGTCCGCCGACAAGCTACAGCCCCACGACTTCGCACACGGGCAGTCCCGGCGGAGTCCCCAGCAAGATGGGACATCCGATGATGGGCGGTCACGGAATGATGGGCGGCCACGCGGGCGGTGGCGGCGCCGGCGGTGCTTATCCCGGTGGCGATCCGGGTCACGCGCCCGCGCCGAGACTGATGACCGGACACGGAGTCGGGGCATCCAGTCCCTACAACGGTGCGAATGTTGTCCAATGTACGAAGCCGAACGCGCCGAACACCATACAGTACTTGCCGGCCAGGCCGAACGTCGGCCACGCTCCACCGCGAGGTCCGCCCAGTCTGGAGTTCCTTCATCGATTCACCAATCCACCCATATCCAATCTGGAATCGAAAATGGGTGGGACGCCCTCCGTGAATCTACAGTACTTCCCGAACGGCTGCGTGCCGAACAGCATGGGGGGTCCGCACGGCGGTATACCGTCCGCCATGAACACCGCCGGCATCCCCGGCATGGGCGGCTCGCCCAGGATGGACGGCCAGTCCATGAATAGTGCCGGCGCAATGCACCCGTCCATGAGACCGGTCGGCAATATGCGGCCGCAGCCGAATCTGATGCGGATGCAGCACATGGTAGGCGGCGGCGTCTTCCCAGGCGGCTCTATGGATCCCGACAAAGTCTTCCCGCCCGAAATGGTGCCGCAGAACTTGCCGAATCAGCCGAATCCGGGCATGTACGGTGTGTCCGGCAATAAAGGCAGCCCGATGGGACTGGGACCTCCGCCGGACGCCACTCAGCCCCTACCGCCGAGCATGGGCGGCGCGACCGGTAACTTCAAGAACAGTCCGTTCGTCGGCAGCGGGCCCAGCATGTCCGATCCGAATTACGCTCAACAGTTTCACAACTTCCAACAGCAGCTTTACGCCACCGGCACCAGGGGCAGCGGGCCGCCGCATCCTAATCTGCACCCACCGCCGAACTCGCACTCGCATCAGCAATTTTTCTTGCCGAAGTAAAAAGCTGATCCATATCGCTGCGACGATGATTAACTACGGTGGCCTTTTAGCGTCCCTCTTTTTCTCTCTTTCTCAGTATCTCCTTCGCTCTCTTTCTATCTCTCTTTACCCCATCTATCTATCTTTCGTCTATTCAGGGATGTTTCTATTAATCACGCGAGATAATTCTGGAGATGTAAGTTGTGCTAAGTAAAACGACAAGTGTTAAGGTAAAAGGACAAAGAGAGAGGATTAATGATGGATTATTGATGGAGCATTGCGAGGCCATAAGATGGTCTCCGATAAAAAATTCTAATTGTTCGTTTTGCTCTTGATTTGTATATGACGTTGTTTATGTATGCCAAGTTTTTAGTTTTTATTTTTTTTTAATTTTGGACCGCACGACATCGAGTTTCGTGTCTCCGAATCTGTTATCCCGATATCTTGGAAATATCGTTTCACACCGAAATCTCCCGGGACTCTATCTGTAAATTCTAAACGTTAACGGAGATGCGTATGTACTCAGCTACGCGTTCGTGTAAATATCGATGTACAATCTGATTTTTTTTTCGTTCTTTTTGTAGAAATCGTTATTTCATCGATTGAGGAGCACATCGCTAGATTAAGGAGTATGTTATTATAACTCAAATGTGTAAAAAGAAGGAGAGAGGAGGGAAGAAAAAAGTAGATCTCCTCTCTTCTTTTGCGCTTTGTTCATAAACGGTTACTTAGATAAAAGTAATCGTGCGCAGAATAATATGCGTAATTATATGACGACGAACGAGAGGATTTTGGTACACCGGTGCCGTATTCATCCTTCCCTTATCATATACTTAAAACATAGTCAAACAAGCTCAAATTTATTATTGTACATATATACCATATATATATTATACATATTATATATATATTATATATATATATATATATATAACTGTTGCAACATAAATCCTTCATTATCGCCCGTCCCTTTGCTCCTTCATCGATTCTCCTTATGACCAACTCTGTGCATAATCATGACCCGCCCTACCTTGTAGTTTATGACATAAGAAGAGAAGTAATTGATTAAGAACAATTATGTTGTTGATGAATGATTTTTATTATAAATGAAAAATAAAGATATTTACAAGAAGTCAATACAATATTTGATCGATAATCGTTTTGCGGTACAAGAACGGCCGTCGGAATTCAATTCCGTTTATTACAAAACTGACAAATCCAGCGTCATCACAATGCGGAACACGACTAACTTTAAAACGCGCTACGATTCCGAAGTGAGCAGGCTGTTTGAAATTTACTCGGAAACTGTGATAGTCCAAGAAAAATAAACGTATCCTTTTTTCCTTTCCGTCTCTTCGAAACGACATCAATACATATCTTGTGGGGAATGATTCTTTAATATACTTCACGATTTATTTTATCCGAATGTTACCGTCGAGTGACGTAAAGAGAGACAAGGGGTAAAAAAAGAAATGAATTAGATTACTTCAGGCAGCTTGAGCAATACGAAGCAGTGACACGGCTACATCGACATAGTTTACGTTTTGTGATAAAGTAATAGAAATCTTAGAACACTGCGACGTCGGGGCTTCTTGCGCAGAGCGTTGACACCATCTATTACATAGGAATTAAGATCTTTTTCTACATCTCATATACTTAGCTTGTAAAACGAGCTGTGTATAATTTCTTCTATAGATTCATGTTGGTATTATCAATCTTGTATTTCGCTAGCGAAACATACTACTTGCGCCGTTTTTCGTAAATTCTACAAAGTCGTTAGAACAACGATATACCCGCGCAAATAGGAGACCTACATTTCGCTTCCTTAGGATCAACGAAGCTATGAGCTCAATTATAAATGTAAAGCTTATATTGTTAATCGACTTCCCTTTGTAATAAGTCACGTATTATCGGCCACTTTATATCCAAAGGTGCATACTAAATTACTAAAACTTGTTGCGTTGTGTATACTTCTTAGTTGCCGAGAGCTGGTTGCGTTCTCTTTCAAGGTCTTCGGTTCACCTGTAAAAAGTCATACATCGAATGAGAAGCATGCTTGCACCTTTGAGAGATTTGCTAAGTTAATGCTAATCTCTACTCGATGTCTTTATGCGATATACCAAGATACAATCGCAATAAAAGCAAGCTATACTTTAAGTCTTAAGGATCTGGGACTATACATTATTTAGTAATTCATCACACTGTATGCTGTCTGCAACTCATCATCTTAATCAATTTTATACCCGAAACCCAAGTCAAACCTGTCCTTCTGTACAGCCTTTCATTGGTTGGATGTGCCTGAATCACGCCGATCATCTCCGTTTCTGTAAAGAAGTTTCATGTTTTATAATAAACGTTTTTGATATAGTTATCGTTTATTTCACGTAAAAAGACATTGTTAATTATATGTTAATTAATGATCAGAGCAATTTTGCAAATAATGGATATATATTGCACTGCATTACCGCTATTAATTACCTTGACCGTTGTGCTTCCGGTGATGTACTACTTCCGTTTGTGCTGAAAAGATGAAAATTCATGTTAATATTTACGACAGATAACGGATTTGTATATGCAATTACCTTTTTTTCACTGGTGCAAAGTCATCCCATTCGCTAAGATCGTATTTAGATAAATCACCATCATCCTCGTCATCTTCCTCTTCGTCCTCCTGCAATTTACCGATTAAATATATAAAGCATTTTAATTCAATTGATGCAATTGAGGAATATAATTTATCAATCTTGGTGCCAGATTTTTCTACATTCACGCTATTTTAAATAAATAAAATTACGTTTTCTTCTTGCTCTTCGTCTGCTTCCTTCTCTTTTTCTTCCTTGTCTCTAGATTTACGCGGTGGACTGCTGTATTTGGAATCTTTTGAATCATCATCAGACGAGTTTTTCTCTAGTTTTCGTTTTTTCTTGCGCCGCCCAAATTCATCGTACTCGTCGTCATCCTCCCGCCTTTCTTTATATTCTACAACTCCTCGATCGTTATATCCACCTCCATATCCCGTACGTTCTTCTATTTCACCAAACTTTGGTGCATTACACATATTACATTGTTGCCGGCGAGCCCAGTTTACATTACCACACTTACTGCATTGCCAGTCATCCGCGCTGCAATAAAGTTTTTATTATCTAATATCCCATCTGTATAAATAATCTAAAATTTTTAATCTCAAAGTTTTTGTACATGTTTAAGATTCAAAATTCATTCTAATAGTCTGATATATATTATTAGATTTTAATAAATAATTCAACGATACGCAGATAAAAATGACAGCTCTACTTTCAAACGTTTTGTACTTAATTTTGCTTTGGTATATAAGCTAAATTTTATTTGATTAGCCATGTAATAAATTTAGGTGTATAATTTTACACATAATTTTTATATACCGTTTATCAGTGATGAGAAATAGCTTCAAACAAAACATAACGTTACCTAAACAGTCCTCTGCTTTTCTCTGCAGCTGCTTTTCCAATTTCTTGACCCAATTTTTTCTTCTTTGGACACTCTCCTCTATCTGTATCAGAAAATTGTATGTATGTAAAAAAATTCAGAATAGTATTGCTTGATGCATGCTTTTTGTCTACAAATTACATTCAATGTTTAGCATAAATGTTTCTATAATAAAAAATTCAAAATCTTCTTGTGTTAACATTATTGTTTTACTTCCACATGGCTGCATACCTTTCCCACAGCGATTGCAGGAGTTTCGTCTGGCAAAGTTTATATTGGCACATCTAGAAAAAAAGAAAACAACGATTATTATCATTCTAATTAATCAGATATAAGATAAAAGAAGGTAACAGGGAACGTAATCGAACGTAAAAATCATCGGAGTAAAACTACGCTTACTGAGAATCAGGGCAGACCCAGTCGCCGTCGTTGACGCTACGCTGGTTCTCGTCGTCCACCTTGCCGTCCATCTCACAATTAATTTCTGCTGTCGTCCAGTGGTGCCCAGCGCACCGTGTTTAACCTTGCTGCGTTCGTGAAAAGAAGTCGTGAAACGACTTCGGCTGCAGCGGTAGTGCAACGTTATCCGAATTACTTTGTCGTACCGTAACTACTGCATCCTGTTCCCCCGAATGTAAACGCGCCCGGTCCAGCCCGGTCTACCTACTAGAGGCTACGACGAATAGCATTAGTCAAGTGTAACGGAGACCGTGCGAATATGCGAATCTCTAAATCACTTGGAATCACGCCAGATCAGTACGCGTACTGATCAGTGACGCCAGATTTCAGACGCAAGCAGCAAGCAGCGTGAGGAAGGGAATACCGCACACATGCGCAAGCCGTGTATATACATGTGAGCTCCATTTTATTCGAGATTTTAAGAATTGTTAACAGGAGCACATGATGATATAGGAGGTGGCACGAAAGTAGCGCCTCTTTCGGTCAACTATTGCAACGACAAGAGCACTTACCATCGGTACACTTACCGTCGGTACACTTACCATCAGCATACTTACCATCAATGGTATCGTCGTATCGCAACAGCTGGCCGAAAGAGGCGCTACTTTCGTGCCACCTCTTATATCATCATGCGCTCCTGTTAATAATATTTCAAAATCCCAGTAAAGTGGAGCGTTTTGAGTCGTTCCATTTTACCGGATCCGGATAACCGTAACCTTTCTACTTCCTTATTTCCGCTTTTAGGCTATGTCAAACAGTATTAGAATGCTCGTAAAATATATGAATAACGTCTTTTTTTTTATTTTTGGAAAGTGTTTTGTTGCAAAATTTTAAATCGTTAAAGAAATTTAAAACAAAAACAAACGTCTTTTTTAGGATGTTTTAAAAATGTTTTTTTTAGGACATTTCTTACATTTTTACCGTAAACCTGAGTGAAAGTATATGCATCGATATGATTTATCTTCTCGATTTAAGAGAAATGTGAATAGAATAAATTTGTATCATCTTTAATTAGGATGAAGGCTTCTAAAATACTTGTCTCTCTTCAAATCATAAATTGTCAACTTCCGGTTAGATTTTTTTATGATAGATTCACATTGCGCCCGATAAACTTGTCCAACGATACTAATCCCTAGAAAACAGATTTGATACAGTGTCAAGTTTGCAATGACTGCCAGTTTCCTTTCTTACAGTTTTATCGTCTTAGCTGCAAGACAGATGCGATTACACAAAATGGATGTGTTTACACATTTCCTAGGAATATTATAAATAACAAATTCTAATTTAAAGCATAGAGAATCATGAGCGATCGAGCCAGAAGCACGAGGATCAAATAACGAGCTCCTTTTGACCAAAGTAATTTATTTGTTTCATTAAAAACTTAGATGTTGGAATGCGACTTCTACACGTGTGACGGGTATAATATATGTAAAACTACACGCTACGATATTTATAACTATATGCTTCTTTTTTTATATGATTCCGCAATGGTCAACGCAAATATATATCATGCATATGATAATAGAACAGCGGCTTAGTGTTTGATAGCAATAATTAAACCTCCAATGCGCTAACTACCGCGTGTTAGTCCCCTACACTTTCTTTACAAGCGAACATTCGATTGTTAGACCAGAACGTAACGATATACAGAATACAAGGAGCGAGAAACAATTGGAAAACAAAAACAAAAAAAAATTACACGTAAGTTCCAGCTCATGTTCCGATATCTTTTAATTTATTTTCAATTTTGGCTTATTAAGATCTTAATTTTAAGTTATTAAAGTCTAATTTTAAAATAATTGAGTCAAACTTTTATTAAATTCCATTTCTAACCCAGGTAATGAAATGTTAGCAATGCGCTAGCATTGTCAACATTTTGTTTACTAAAAATAAACTTAAAATCTGATTAAGTTTACCAAACGGCATAAATATTGTAGAATTGCGTATCAGAATGCTTCAAAATCATAAATTAAAATCACCGGTGATTTTCAACAATTCTTATCTTTTAAATATATGCTCTTTTTTTTTTCAGTCGGTGATTATTTACGTATTCGTTCCTTGCATTCTATTTTCATGTTTCGCCGCATCCCAGTCCGCCGATCACGTCGTATCATACGTACCGAAGGTCTAGAGATATATTTACAAAATGTACAGAGCGATTTCAATCCTGCCGGAGCAGATTTTAGTGCATACTGCAGTATCACCGCCTCTTATTCTCCACTCCTTGTCTCACAGTGTCGCCGTTGCGCCGGTTGTCTCTTTAATATCCTTTTATGTATAACATTTTTATATACAACGCTGCGCGACGAACGGTGACACTGAGAGGCCGGTCGCTCGTACCAGCGGCGCGCGATGCAAAACTGGAAAAAAAAAAAAAGGAAATACTTTCTCCAGGCTGGCGAATCGCAAGTCTGCGGAGATAGCGATCTGCGGTATACATAAGGTAAAAGAAAAGTGAGGGAGATCGTCATAAAACGGGATAAAGTCGATCGTGCTTCGCTTTTCTTTCATTTAGCTCTGCTGAGATATTTTTAAATTACAAACAAATAAATAAAACATGTTGCGAAAACGCACTTAAATAATTCTTGCTTTATATTTAAGAACTAACGACACAACATAACTATACTTTTTTTTTGTAATCTCTAAGAGAAAAAGAAAAGAATAGTAACATTTATTTTATATCTGATCAATATTAGTCCGTTTTATGCTATCTATTTCTCGTATGATGCGCACGACTTAAGATATACTTAACGTATAAGATACGACGTATCTCTCTTGTATAAAAGTTTAATTGAAAAATGGAATACCATGACCGATTTGACCAATATCTCTCAAACTTTTATTAATCAGATTAACCAAATCAACGACACATCTTTCTTTTATCAACGGAACGATAAGGGCAAAGGCGATTCAGCGATCGTCAGCTGATAATGAAACACGACATTCACAATTCACGACGCACTCCACATTTTTCCATCCGCTGCTTTATTCATTTCTCTCGTAGGTGTCAAGTATCAGACAGGCGACATGAGAAAAGTTGGTAAAACCGGCCATTAGATTCGCTTCGCATTATGCTGCTTTTATCTCCGTTCCAAAGGAAGAGACGCACGCGTTTGTCGCGAGTGGTTTTCTTTGTTGGATTGATCGATCAACACGATTTGTGATCGGAGCCTCGTTTCACAATAGAAAATCAGTTACGCGTGTCGTAGCGTGATTGCACTTTTCATTTCGCTAATGCCGATGAGACTTTGTACACTCAACCGCTCGGATCCATCGACAAGAGAGGAGCATTAGTACTAAACACGAACTCGAAGACCGTGAGACCTTAAAATTAACACGCATACTCGTTAATACATCTATTCTTCTTAGTAGCACCTTGTTATACTTTCTGCGTTTAAGTTAAAAGAGTGCACAGTTCTTTGAAAGGAAAATATAAAAAAAATTGTACAAGAGTATAGCACGCGCGGCTAAAAAGAACAGACATATCGAATCGACGCAGATGCATTTCGTTTTTACAACTTCGACAAAAGGAAGTATTCCTCTGCTTTGCGTACCGTACTTTCGACAACGCTAGAAGGGCCGACTGACAAAGTACACACTTGTTTTTTTTTTCTTTTTTTTGATTCTCCAACTTCTGTTAATCGATGTAAAAGTAAGTTTAATTCAAATTGCACATTCTATTATAGTGATAGATCTATATATTTTACGTCTGCCCTTCTAATCTCAAGCCATTTGCCTCAGAATTTAAACAAACATTCTTCTAAATGATGCACCTTTTCACGCACGGTTTTCTCTCAATTGAGATTTTTGGAAAAAAAAAAGAAATCTGACTTCGCTCCGAACGTTTCGCACGAATGTCGCAACTTCTCTCTCGACGGGCTAAACTATATAATTCCAGTTATCTTACACAGTTATTTACACAGGTGTCTGCTATACAGTCTACAAGTCTCTCGCGCGAAAGAAGATCACCACGAAGTCGTCAGAATGCTCCAAAGATGGATGACGAGAATGACTTCCCTTCTCTGAGATAAATATACTGAAATGTTGGGCAATGTATTGACCTATCCAAGTAGCTTACTCTATCAACCATTACAACAACCCATTACCGTCAGTACATTTAGTACAGATAAAGTTATGCTAATCAAAACAAAAAGATAAAGGAACGAAAGGAAGAGAAACCTACTATCGTTAATTATCGAAAATCGTTAATGATCGAAAATCGTTAATGATCGAAAATCGTTAATGATCGAAAATCGTTAATGATCGAAAATCGTTAATGAACGAAAATCGTTAATGATCGAAAATCGTTAATGATCGAAAATCGTTAATGATCGAAAATCGTTAATTAGTCATAGATTCACTCGTTGCTGCTCTCCTTTCCTCCGCGCGGAGTTTGCAAGCACGACGAAACGTTCGGGAGCGATTGCAATCGATGCGTTTATTCGACGCCAGTTGATTTACACGCTATACTCATACGCAGCGGAAATCAAGAGTTATCCTTACAGATCGAGCAAATAAACGGCCTATAGTTGGCTTTACTGCAACGAACAGAGCGAAGGCACCTTAAAGTATCAAGTAGCGTACAGTATCCAGCACCTATGGTTATTTGGTTTCATCATGCTTCGAGTGAGAATAGTTCGGCGGAGCCTGGATTCAATTGTAACATAATAATTCTGATACACTGTCGAAATTGATCCCAGCCTCCGCACACAGACGGGCCTAATACCAGGATCCAGACGGATCCCTCTCGCTTTAAATTTGGTTCCTTTTTTTTTTTTTCTTCCGTGGGCGATTCGCTGTTCGTCCGCTTCATCGAATTTCGCTTATTTCGGGATTTTTTTATTCGCGCGAGTCTTCCTTCCTCGTCTCGTTCGTCGATTTTCAAAAAAGAAAACTTAGAAGACGACACTTTACTGTGTGTGAAAAAGAAAAGCTGTCGGATAGATCTCTAAGATAGAAAAGTGTTGAAAAAGAGGTCTCCGGTGAATAGGTTCACCTTCCTTGATGATCTTACGGGATCATTGCTAGAGCTTTAGGCACCTACGAGTCTATGGAACTAGAATTTAC